TCTCGCGCTCCCAAGGAAGCTCGTACCAGCTTGCAGAGCTCGACGGCAGCATATCCAAACTCAAGTTCGCCGCCTTTCGTCTCATCCCATATCACCCTCGCTCCCCCTCATCCATTGAAGTCACGCAGTTCATCGACCCTCAAGCCCTCGCAGGAGTCAATGACGAGCAGTCTTAGATGCGTTCTTTCTATTTTTCTGCTCCCTCTCTCATTTTTTCTCTCTCCTTGAACCGTTCTATCTTATTACACATATTTTAGTTTTATTGTTGGAAGATCGACCGAGGGCGGTCGATATTCAAAGTAAGGAGGGGATGTAAGGATTCCATATCCTCTACACCCCGACTAAGGCTTCATAATAAGATTCAAGGACTTACGTCTCGACATCCGCGTGACTCACTGATGCGAAGAAGCATCACGCTTCGCGTCCGAGTCACGCGGACACATTCTCTTTCCTTACCCTCATCTTCTCGTTATTCTCAACGACCAGCTCGGTCCTTCACCCTCATTCATACTATACCCTGGACTCATCACCTAACTCTCTCTCGTCATTCTTTTAGTTTCACTCCTTTCGTCCCAAAAAGCAGTCAAAAACCTAACAGCTCTCGTCATTCCTGTGCACGGCGAGCTCCCTATTACTACCTTCATTCAAAAACTAACATACTTTAACTCATTTCCGTTACTCCTACCCTGTCAGGCTCAACGCCACCACTCTCCGTCTCATCAAAACTCTCCCTTTCGTAATAACCAAGACCCTTACCTTTTCATAGATAAAATACGGCCTTGTAGACTCGTTTTGAACGTTGGTTGATTTCCCCGCTACAAGCTCGCGTCCGATCCTAAGAACAATCCTATCGCTTTGAGTTACGCCATTCCCTTATCGAACTCAATAGCAGCACTACAACAGTTAGAATGGAGGTATAGAGGAGAATAGAATAGGCTCTGAAGGAGCATAAGGACATGGCGGAGGAGCCATGATTGACAAATAAAGAGAGGAGCATCTAGCGACGTATCACATATGAGGAAGAATGGCGACTTCTACTCGGACATGGACTTATCATAGAATTTTTTTTTTTACGATACTATGGACTTTTACCTACCTAATTTCTCGGTAGATGGCTGGCTTGGAAGTTGTTCAGGAGAACAACAGAGTTTAGAAAGGGGGTAATGTTATGGTTCCCTACCCTCCACTTCACTTTGTCACAGTGTCACCTTTCACACTGACACCTTTCACCCTTTCATACCTTCACCTTTCACATATGCACCTTTCACATCTTCATGTATCACAGAACATTCCATCACATTCCACGACCTTCCATCATATGACTTCTCTATGATTATTCCTATTGGACATTTACATTGTAGCTCCGCTTCAATACTCGTATATAAGACCTGTAGATACATCATGTATTCTCTAACTTGACCTTACCAGTTATCTGGTTATTGTTTAGCAATCTAGTACCTTGTGTATTGGGTTGGATCATAACAGATCGCCTCTGGCTTCGAGCAACCCTCAAATTTACAGAGAACTGTGTCTTTTGATTTGACACCATGCCAATGCAACAGGTGATCTGCGACGAGGAGCTTGTTCATCTCTACAAACAGCCCGCAGGGCTGGTCTGTCCAATCGCATGCTCATATGCAAGTCATCTCTGCGGGTAGTTCATTCGTAACTTTACGGAGTGTCTAGAGTAGGAATCATTGAGTTCCATCGCCCCAAATCTCCTCATCCAAAGAAGATTACCATCAGCATCATGGGTCCTGTGGCAACTAATATCGACCGGCTTCGGGTCATGAGCAGGGGCAGCCATGATCACCGCACTGGTGTCTGCTAGTCTGTGAAAACCAAACTTGCCCTCTCTAATTTCTCCTTCTTCATCGTCCAAACATCTGCGCTTGCGCATGGTGGGTGCAAGAGAATAATCCAAACCGTCTTCCTTGGATTCACCGGATCGGCGAGTTTTATGCTTACAAGGTTGGGCGACTGCTGCCCATCAAAAGTTGAGGAAGATGGCTCCAAGGCGGTGCCATCACTCAGATACATTGTAGTGTCAGAGTCGAACATGGACGGCAAAAAAGTGTCACCATCAGTTGTCGTGTCCATCATGGCGCCAGCGTATGTATTGGTAATATATGTCGTCATCAAGGGGGTAGACACTCCCATCTGTAAGTCTGCATTTTGCTCTTGGGAGAATGGAAATTGGAAGCCATACGAGCGGGGATCTGCTGCTACCAAATGCTCTAGGTTAGAAAGTAATGTCAAATAAAACTAGGTCCATTCGTATACAAACCATCACCAAAGCCAGGCTGGGTCCATGCATGGCCTCCAAGCGATCCTTGAGGGGCAGCAGTGTGCTGCAGAGAATAGTATTGGTTCAGGCCCATCGGGGGAAAATGCGGGAGACCAGCCACTGGAGCGGTGAACTGGTTCAACGTCGGAAACGACGTCTCATGATCTTAGACACCCTGAACAGCCGTAGACCTAAAAAATAAGTGAGCAATGGTGGTCACTCAGTTGGGGTACCGCATACCGCTGTTGCGCCTTCAGTTGTTCATATTCTGCGCAGGTATCAGCCCATCTACCAAAGGCCATCAGTTTGAGTTGATGTTTTGAAGCATAAGCACATACTCAGCCTGCATGGCAGCCACATCGTCGGGATGAGCCAGATCTCGGACATTGTCTGAGACCATGTTACCAACGGCTTCAGGTTCGATTCTAGGTACAGAACACGGAACAATAGACTGGCTAAGATGAACCGCGCCATTCGACTCGAGAGCAAACACCAACCTATCAAATGACATCTGAACACTGTTGTATGAGGCACGAAACGTGGAAGGCATTGTTAGCACACAAATACACCGACTTGATACATTGGTAGACTCACATAGACATATCAATGATCTGAACAAGTAAAGTAATATCAAGTGGCTAAGATGAAGTGTAGAAGGAAAGAGACGAGACGTAGAGAAGTGAAGGAGAGGAAAGTGCTAAGTTTTTAACTCACAACATGTGGAGAAGTGGTAGACAAAGCATGCTTGTGGACATGTATTCTTCCCTGACAACAAGTTGAAAAAAGGCAAGTGTTTATGATTTCTTCACCATACAAAATATACCTGTGGACTCCATGAATTGCGATCCACTGCTTTCAAGTATCGTGCGCGCATCAATCTACAGATCATAAATCTTCCACGCATCCTTTGTATACCTAGTTTGTCAGCATAATGTAAGCACTGGCGCGTCTCCACCAGAAAAAATGACATCGCATGTGTAGCGATAAACCTCCGTCAAGGTTCCAAGCTTCACAATAATGTCCTTCTCAGAGTGTGTAGCCATGGCACACTCAACTACAATAGTGAGCTTTGGCAGCAGGCAGCTGAATGCTGTGCGGTAGAGAAATAGCAGATGCCAAGGCGCATAACATCACAAAGACCTAAGAATTTCCATGTGCAGAGTCAGTCGTATTTCGTGAGTTGCATTTTGAGTTGTAAACGTACAAATATTATTGATTTTTCTGTGTCATGACCCAACTTATTCTTTATCTTTGACATTGGAATGTGAGCACAATACTTTTTTCAAGTGGAAACCATGATTTGACATTACCGTTTATATGAAGAATTGGCAAGATACCTGGCGATGAGATGGAGAGCAGTAACAATTGCAGTGTTCTCTGCACTTCCTCATTTACAAGATACAGCACATGTTGGCTGAAGAGTCAGATCACTGTCAAAGCATGGATTTGTGCTCACAACATCACGGTGAAGCCTGTATTGGCATTTGAACACTGGTGTAGCCAAAATTGGCTCCTCATCATGCCGAGGAGCTGGCTGTTATTGATGACTAACAGTATGATGTCGCAGATAAGTATCTGAGCCCTGAACAAGGTAAAAAACTGGAGGTACGACCGCTATATGACTATGGAAAATGGGAGGGAAGGGAGGGAGAAGAAAGAAAGAAAGAAAGAAAGGTAATAAATACATATGCACGGACTAACTAAATATCAGCATCGGCAAAAGGCGGATTGTGGATAGCACGACTGTTGAAAAGCAACACTTGCAACAGCGTCGAATTTTTATGCACGTAGTGTTCCCAGGTGCCTGAAGTCCAACGACCAATAGCACAAATGTGCTCTGGGGATACTCCTGCAGCAGCCAGAGAGGTAGCTCCGCCAGCGTGCATTGAGTGACCTGAAACGCTGTCAGGAAAAAACATCCGAAGACATCGGATGAACCAAGAACACGTCAGTGGTTTCCCATTCTTTCGCAACCAAAGAAAAGGGTGCAAAGGGAATTTTGAGTCACACGCAACAAGGAAACACGTAAAGAGAGGAAAAGGATCAGAGCCGATCAGCACATGCTGAATGACCACCCTATTTCCTTCATACCGCATATCCGTCTTGTCACGTTGGATGAAGAAAGAGAAATCCGTGTCGGAGACTTGAATGGAGGTGTGAAGAGAAAACTTCACAAGATCTCTGATGGAGCGATCGTCGGATGCTACGAGTTTGCCCAGACATAGAAGACCGTAAAAGCCGCAGTGAAGTAGAGTAACCCACAAAAGGTCATTGTGAGTTAAAGGATGTGATAGTGAGTGTAATACGTGCGATAAATCATCATGCAAAATAGGCTCTTTGCATATAACCAGTCTTCCTAAACGTCGAAGCGCACCTTGCAGAGTGCGTTTAACTAAGAGAGAGTGCCTGGATTGTCAGACATGAGGGAAGTGAGGTTCCAATTGATTAACGATTCCGGAGAGATAAGCTTCGACTGAACGAGGTTGTATATGATGCGACATGAACGTAATGAAGTAGGAGAGAGTATCGGGAGAAGGGTCAATGGGGAGATGGTGCATGTTGCAGAATGCAACATAAGAATTGAGGTGCGATGAGTAAGCATGATTAGTGCTGTTTTCGAGGGCCAATCCTAGCAAAACCGAGCGCTCAAAGATGAGACGCTCCAGGGACCAAGAAACCCTGTTGGGTTGTCTGGCCCTTCCTGATACCAGAATCATTTTTGGACCACCCCCAGCGTATTTCGAGGGGGTTCAAAAGGGAGGATAGTTAATCCAGGTGAGGCATTTTGGGCCTCAGCATTCTTCCAGTGCGATAAATGGTCAGCGACCATGTTGTCCATGCCCAAAATGAAGAAAATGCGAAAATCAACCTGAGCCGCCAAGATAGAGTCCACTGCCGTCATAAGGAGCCAGTTGTAAGGGGGCAGAGCCGCAAGGGAGTTGAACATGGATACAGAGTTAAGGTTGTCAGTGAAGATGGCAACCCACTGATTGGGTTTCAAACGCCCTACTGAATCAAGTAAGGCGGCAGTGACGGTCAAAGCTTTAAAAAAGAAGATTGTATTGGTTGGCGCAATTCCAGGTAAGGACGATTGAAATCCGGTGTTGAGAGAAGGATACCAAAAAGCCAGACCAGACCCTGATGCGTCAGTGTAAACTCTCAGAACATCATCCGAAAGTTGCGCAAAGTTCCAAGTGACGGATTTGAAGAAAAAGATTCCTTCAGCCGCGCGCAGATGGTTAATTACCCAAGAAAGCTCCCGAACAACGTCCCTATTGACCCAAAGAAGAGCTTTCGAAACGAGTTTACCTGAAGTCTTTGCGTAAAGAGCTGAAAGACCAGGCTGAAGAAGTGGGTAGACATTGAGAGCCCAGTTAAGCCAACCAGCTAAACGCTGAAAGTCTCAAAGAGACCTTCATGAACCTCGTTGAGCGAAATCTGACAGTTCTTGGATAAGACGAGTGCGGGAGTCAGGTGACATGCACTCGCGCATAAGATTGGGATCAACGTCAAAACCAATGATGGGTAGCTCCAGCCCAAGCACTTGCTTCTTCTCCTCATGTGGTAAACCGATAGCGTCCCAGAGTCGAAGGAGTTTGACAAGGTTTGAAGGAAGAACCTTTTGGTACGGAGAGTAGAGCTCTAGACTGTGTTTGTCTTTGAAAGAGAAAGAGTCGTTGATGTATATATAGAGGAAATGAATGAGAATCTTGAAAATCGCAATCCAGATGACTAAAGCCATGAAAGTGTGATAGATGCGCTGTGAAGCTCTCCCTCCGAATATGTTTCTTCGATCAACATAACAACGACCTTGAAAACTAACAATTTGCTTAATCTGCCACAGAGGGTGCATAGGCATGTGACGGTAAGCCTCGGACACATCAGCCTTCCAGAGATTAAGAACAGCATGAGGTCGATTGCATCTAAACACACGCAAACCATTTGCCAAATCATGGACATTGTCTAAGGTGACGCCGGCAATGTTGTCATGAGTGATCATCGAATTAAGCGAATACTTTCCCGCACTGTGGTCCGTGACCAGCCTGTGCTTGTTGGTACCCGGTTTAGGTACAGCATGAATAGGCATGCTGTACATTCCCGGTAGCAGGTCTGGACCAAACACTTCGGAATATCGCTCAACTGCAACCTCTTTCTCAATCTGCTCTTGCAGAAAGTTCCTTTCGGCATCTGTCTTCGGAGGTCTGTCAGAATTGTTGTATATAAGTGGCCAGTCATTGGGGTGAGTATCAGCGAAAGGCCAGAAACCTTTGCGAAGTCCAGTGCAGACTGAACGAACGAACAGCTGGTTAGGATGATCTGACAGAAGAGATTCGAAAACGTCAACTTTAATAGGAGTGTCGACTTTAAACAAAGCAGGATTATGATGAATGGTGTTTAGGGCCTCCATATTCAGGAATTCACATGCAGGAGGACGTGGCATAGGAGCTGCTGACTCTGTCCAAAGAGCGGTACGGCTGCAACCAGAAACTCCTTCTCCCCATACTCCTTTGTGTTTAAAACACTGACCAATTGCAATATTTTCATTTAGGTCCCTTGTTCGGACACTCCATCTTCCGATGGAAACCTCTACATCCTCTCCAGTCACAGCAGTGAGCGAACCTACACTTGCCGTCGGCCTTTGTACAGGTTCCTCGATTCCATTTATGACAGGGATCATCCCTTCCTCCAACTCCTTCTCGCCTATTCGATCTTCCCCCGGAACTAGATGTGGATGAGGAGGAATTGGCACCAACACCAAAGGAGGTGAGGAAGGTCGTCCTGAGATGTTCAAATTGGGAATAATCATTGAGGCATAAGTTTCTTTGCATGGCCATTTGATTTCTGACAGACCAGTCAAATTCGATGACTCATGAGTGAAGTCGGACTTCCATGGCGTGAAAGAGTTGGCTAATGTAGGTGTTATACTGTGTGAACTCTTCTCATCATTGCGGGAAAATGAAAGAGATGGCCTCAATGTACATGGAGAAGGCAATATTATGGTCCGACGATGTTTTGATTCCTCCTGAAGATTTAGAGACTCGGAGAGCGAGCTCAATCTCATCATCAATGACGTGGGTTTTCTTCGGGTCAAGTTCAGTCGTGTGTGCTGAATCGAGGACTTTGGATAGGTCGACGTATTTCCAGGGTACAATGTTGAGCCATTCGCTTGGCAGGAAAGGCGGACATCCCGGTGTAGACAAGATGTCATTGACGACACTCTTTGGGTCAGCGGCGAAGTTCTCAAGCTGCTGATAGGTTTCTCTGATATCCTGCAGCAAAGAGGCAAGCGCTGAAACACACTTTTGAGACCAAGGGAACTTGGTTGAATTGACGGTTTTGGTTCGCTTGAAGGAGGGCTCATCATCATTCTCGGAATCGGACTCAGCTCTAGATTGTCTTTTTCCACCCTCAATCTCTTCGACATTGGCACTTCCCCTATTCTCTCTATGAGCTCCCTCTTCCTCATAAGTCCCTCAATGCTCACGTCCCCGTTCTGCTGCTTGGGAGTTGGATGCATCGATACTGTCGAGCATTCTGATAAAAACTTCAAGGGATTGGCCGACATCGTTTCCGTTCCTAACTGACGGTGACTTGAGTAAGACTTCTCTGATTGCAAGTATGGTGCAGGCTTTTCCATTTCATCCAAGATGATATTCATTGACGAGCTTGTTGCACTGTTCAACACAGGAGAAGTCTGTCGTACCCTCCGTATATTCCGTCGAGGTAGTGGTTTGAGATGTCTCTCCATTGTCTGACATGAAGAAAGAATTTTCTGATGAAAACAAAGTTTAAGAAGTTGCTCAAAATTAGCTAGTGAAGCGACGTGAAAAGTTAGAAAGAGGGCCACAAGTACAATCTAACAAAAGGCATACCTAGCGAAGCGACAGGAGAAGTTAGAAAGAGGGCAGACCAAAAACTAACCCGAGTAGCTCGCTAAGTAAATGATACTCCACTATAGGAGCAAAGGAGGCTAACACGTGGAAAGATCGTACTGGTCACAGCTACCAATAACCTGTACGTGTCACACCCACCCGGAGTGGAAATATATTTGAGTCAGACTCAAACAAAAATTTTCACGTCGTTCGCAACGACGCTGGGTATCACACGGCTCATTAGCTTAGTAATAAATAAAATTAAACCCAAATATTCGGTTGTGACAGTCTGATGAGATCACTTCTTTTAGATGTGGCAGTGTTGTGAATACCCACTACCCACAAGTCGGCACTTTCACAAAACTCGTATTTCTAGTTACTTGGACACAATAATTATTATGACTCTAATCAAGTCATTGCGAGGTCGATTGAAATAGAATTGAGTGAGATCGTTAAAAGTGTTGAAGTCGCGCAAAAATGTCACCTGCCGATATGTGCCGTGACGGAGTTTCAAATACATTTCAAATTGGAAGTGCCGACTGTTGGGTGCCGCAGTGCTGGTCATGCAATGGGCTGGTTCGCATTCGCAAGTCGAGCAGTGGTAGGCGAGGAAAGCTGCGAGCTTCTTCCTCAGACCCTAACACATCCAGGCTGTAATTCAGGGAATTGCAAATGGGCTATACAGCTGTACTTTGTATTTTAGAGGATACTGTACTTTTCACGGTACGAACGAAAATTGACAAGTGATGTTATCCAAAACGGCATACCGGCATCTCCCAAATTTCAAACTCCTCGCTTCGCCTGCCAGGTTACGAGTCTACCCTCCCTCCACGTAGTAGAGAATTCGGAGCTCTGAAAACACTGGATACCGATAAATTGCATCGACAGTCATGTAGATCGTACAACATACAAATTGATACCAAACTAATCAACAACCTTTTAATATCTAAACAGACACAAAAACCTAGGCAATTGCAAAATATTTCTCCCACACAGTCTTCGACACGATATGCTTCGGGCACCTGCGTCCTGTCCATTTTTCAAATTGCGCATAGCCCTGCTCCAGCAGCACCTCAACCCCCATAACCCTCGCCCACTTGGGAGCTGCACTCTGCGCGAGCATAAGAAGAGGTGTCGAGGCGGGTTTGTATGCCATATCTACAACTACGCCATTCGCGGTCGCGTCAAACAACGCTGAAGGAAGAAGTACAGCCCCCGGTAGAGTGCTGTCAGTAGTTGTCGCACTCGCTGGGACAGTGGATACAATGACGGTTGGTGCAGGCCCTTCAACAGGCCAGGCGTCAAGCGTCTCGATCAGCTTGACGGGGGCATCGGGGAATGCTTCGACGAGCACCTGCGCCTTACTTGCTGTCCGGTTGAACACGTAGATCCGCTGGGCTCCCAGGGACTGAAGCGCAAAGATGGCAGCTCTGGCCGTTCCTCCTGCACCGATGACGAGAGCAGCAGCAGGCGCACCCATAGATGGCGCTCGAGAGCGGATGGATTCACGAATGCCGAGCCAGTCGGTGTTATCTCCGCAGAGGATGCGGTTTCCTCCTTCGATTACTGGTATGATTGTGTTCACAGCTCCAATAGCCTCAGCGGCTGGCGAAAGCTTGTCAAGCAGGGGTATGACGTCGAGTTTGAAAGGAATGGTAACAGAGGCGCCTCCAAAGTCAGGAGCAGCCAAGGTGGCTTTGATCTCTTCACCGACATTAGCTGTCTCCAGAAGCTCGTAAGTGTGGGGAAGCCCGAGGACCTCAAATCCAGTGTTGTGGAGAGTCGGGGACATGGAATGAGCTATGGGATTTCCGAACAAGAAGTGGCGTCTCGCAGGAAGCTGACCCAACAGGTTCAGCGCTTTCTGAATCTGCGCAAAGGAAAGCTGCCCAGGTGCTGCCTTCGAGGGGAGAAGGGGGTGCGTCACGGGGCTCAGGGTCGCATTCAGTATACGTGACATCTGACCCTCCACGCCCATGTTGATCGCAATGATCGGTTTCGCACCTCGCTGCAGGTTAGCCTTTGCAACGAAATCATGCAACGCAAAGTTGTCCTGCAATGTGTCCGCCTTTCCGACAATCTTCACAATGTCCCCGAGTCGGCTCGCAAGCGCGTACTTGCTTCTCACCACATCCTCATTCCACTTCATCTTTCCACTCCAGTCGTGCCACGATGCGATGATTTGGGAGAATCCCTTGCGAGCGGCGAGTTCTGTAATGAGCTTCTCAGATGCAGAGATCTCCACATCGACATACTCCACTCCAAGTCGCAGCGCAAGCCCAAGAAGCTCAAATGCGTCTTTCTCCGAGTTGTCCGGAAACACACCGCCTTGGCCGATCGTGCGCACAGTGAATATGATCGGGAGACTCGTGGTCCGGCGTAAGGCAGCGAGCTGTGCGGAAACATAAGCCTGCGAAGGGATAGAGCTCAATGCGTCAGGGGCGCGCAGTAGGTCCACACGCAACTCTACTGCATCGACGCCCGTCGTGAGGTCTGGCATGTAACGCAAAGCGGGCATCACATCGGGATAGGTGAGTGCCACGAAGTAGCTACGCTTCCCAGCGGCAACATTCTCCGCGAGGTTCGGCTGCCCTGTAATGTGCTTAAAGAAACGTGAGAGCTCTGCATTGGTTGCCTCGCCGCCGTCAACGGTTATATGGTTGGTGAAATCGTAATTGGCGCATTCAACAAACCATGGTTCCCGTCGTTTGAATACCTCGGTAATCGGCTCGCCGTACGCAGGACGTGCACTTTCCTCACCAAGGTAGGCCACAATCTCCTCGATGTCCCTCAGGACATGCACGACCGGGCCAGTCTTTGCATAGTTCTTCAAGATATTCCTAGCTTCAGGCGTCTCCACAATTCCTCCACCCATACTGATCACGTGTCCCGTTCCAGCTTCCTGAATAATCTGCTTCAAACACTCCGTCTCTGCGTCACGGAACGCAGGCCACCCATTGGCACGTACGAACTCGCGTACGCCAATGTTGTGTTTGGCTTCGAAGTAATGGTCTGCGTCGATGAATTGGCGAGAGAGAGCAGCACTCGCGAGTGTTCCGACGTGTGTCTTGCCTGAACCGCGCATGCCAATGAGGATCACAGATGCAGAGGCTGCAGGGGAGGGTGTTCCGAAAGTAGCAGCGGTAGAGCTCTCAGCGCGTGGGAGCTCAATGCCCCCGACTTTAATGCCTATCTGGATATATATATCAGGACCAAGCTTGAGGGAGAGCGAAGAAAGATATGACCCATACCTTGTTCTCCAAATCATCCCACCAGTTAGGCCAAGTCTTTTCGACGCAACGTTTCTCCTCGATGATTGTGTCGGGTACGATAGTACTCAAGACGCTAAACGCCATCGCGACACGGTGGTCGTCATAGCAGTGTACGCTCGCGCCACGGGTCAGGGTATTGAATGGGCAACCATATACCTCAAGTCCATCATCCAATTCTTTGGTCTGCACACCAAATTTGGCTATGAAGGTTCAGTCAGTCATGAGGGTGAGTGAACAGCGATTAGACACAATCAAAGCACCCACCCAATTGATCAATCATCGCCTTGATGCGATTGCACTCCTTCACTCTCTGGTTCGCAATCCCAACAATCTTCGTCGTGTTCCCCTCCCCGCCCTGCGCAACGGCAGCAAGGGCGCACGCTGTCAAAAATGCGTCCGTCATTGGTTCCATATCCACCTCTCCAATCGCTTTCAGCTCGCCCCTCTTCGGACCAGTGACGGTCGTTTCATTTGCAGTCTGCACCACCTCGCACCCCATGCGTGCAAGTACATCTACGGCGAAGCGAGCATCACCCTGCAAACTTTCGCTTCCGATGTTCTCGAGCGTGCACGTTGTCCCCGTGATGGCAGCAATAGCAAGCGGATACGTCGCGCTACTCGCGTCGCTTTCAATTGCGTAGTGGGCAGGGTTCATGTATATGCCCTGAGGAATTCGGTAGATATCGGTCCCCGGGTCGCGCGTGACAATCACTCCGAATGTGCGCATCATCGCAATTGTCATGTCGATGTATGGTTGTGAAATTACAGCGCCGCCCACGAGTTCGAGAGTTACCGCCTCCCTCGCATACGGCGCGCAGAGAAGGATGCTGCTTACGTACTGGCTAGACACGCTCGCTGCGAGACGGATCACGCCGCCTTGGAGTCCTTTTGGCGCAATGCTTAGTGGCAAGCAGCCCTCGGATTCATTGTAGGTAATTTCAGATCCGTTGGCGCGCAGCGCATCTACGAGAGGGCCAATAGGCCGCTGTTTCATGCGAGCATTGCCTGTGATGACAGTGGCAGTCCCCGCATTGGCAGCGGTGGAGGGAGACACGAGCGTGCAGACAGTGGTGAGGAAGCGTGCAGCGGTGCCTGCATTCCCAAGGTAAATTTCCTGTCCTGCTGTAGGGACTTGAAGAGCTCCTGCGCCACCTGTAACCACCAGTGTTTCACCCCCGTCTTCCCACGCAAACGAAGCGCCCTACGCAAAACGAGTTAGCAACAGCAACGATGGATGGAGATGAAACAGCAAGACCTTGAGCTCTTGCAATGCCGCCATCATCACTTGTGTATCATCCGAATGTAATAAATTCTTCAACTTGCACGTGCCCTGCGCAAGCGCGGCCAGTACTAGGGCACGATTAGAGATACTCTTGCTGCCTGGTGTCGCCATCTTCACATGTTGTGTTCCCGGTAAAGTAGCACTGAGATCGACCTTAACTGTAACAGCCTCTGAAAGCGCCTTGGCAATAAGGGCATCGTCAACGGCTGTCGCTTTCTGCTCGTATGTGGCTCCAATGCGGGAGAGGATGACCACTTTCTTCTGAGGGCCGGAGTTTTTCTTGTCAACGCGCATGATATCCAGGAGCCTGTCGACACTAAGGTCGCGAGCGCCAGGACATCTGCTTACTCTCTGATCTGCCAAGCTTACAGGCAACCCATACGCTCTCAGACACCTCACGAGTCTTCCAACAGCCACCTGCTTCAATACGCCCATCCCCCGAGCGACTTCCGCCTCAAACATCATACCGATACTGACGCATTCTCCGTGGAGCATATGTGGCGTGAGAACAGCTTCGATGGCGTGGCCAATTGTATGTCCAAAGTTGACAAGGTTACGGAGTCCGGTCTCGCGCTCATCGATAGTGACGATATGGGATTTAACATAGATACTACCTCGGATAACGGAGAGGAGGAGAGATTGAGAGGTAGAGCGCGTGCTGATGTGACGACCTGCAGAGCCTGTGGAAGGCGTGCGAATAGCATTGTAGATCAATTGAGCGTTATTTTCGAGGGAAGCGAATTCGGTTTCATCCCATATAGCTGCGGTCTTTAGGGGCACGTTATGAATGGACTTTAGGAAGCTAGAAACAAGCGCACCTTGACGACCTCGGCCATACCATTGCTAAACTCACGCTCTGGAAGGGTTTCGAGGAATGCAGCATCAATGAATATGTATTCGGGCTGCCAAAATGCGCCGATGAGGTTCTTGCCAGCAGGGGTGTCGATGGCGGTTTTTCCGCCCACGGAGGAATCCACCATTGCAAGAAGTGTGGTGGGGATCTGGACAAATCGCACGCCACGCATGCTGTAAGAAGGTTAGCAGTAGCCAGAGAAGAACGCATCACAGGAAGGATTAGGAAGATCGAGGATGAGACGGGAATCATGCAGAAAGATGGATCGTGATGGATAACTTGCAAGGAAGTCTAGATGGTTCACTCACAAGGTCGCAGCAACAAAACCAACAAGATCACCGATGACACCTCCACCAAGAGCGAGGATGACGGTGTCACGAGTGCAGCGCTCAAGGAGGAGAAAGTCTTCGATATCGGCCTTTCCTTCACGAGACTTTGTCGTCTCTCCAGGCAAAATAACACGAGAGAGGAAACGGGGTTTCGCAGAAGAAAGCTGAAATGCGAGTCAGATTGAAATGCATGGCAATAGATGAAGGAAACGAATGGAAAGGACACGCGCCTTGTTAATCTCTGCACTAAAAGCCTTTTCAAAGGCAGAGAGGTAGAACTCGGCTACATTTGTGTCTGTTACTAGGACATACACAGATGCAGGAAGTGTGGTGAGCACTGTACGTGCAATGTATGGGATCAAATGAAAACCACAGTGGATGGACTCTCGTCCAAGGATGGACACTTTCAAGATGTCCGGGACGGTGTCCATGATATGTTGTTTTATCTGCGATCAAGTCAAGGGAAGAAGGAAAGAGAGAGACGCGATGCGATGCGATACGAGCCGAGATTATGCTTAAGTACCACTGAAACGCGATCAGTTGTGGTCTGATAAATGTTGATCATCACGCCGCGCTTAATCTGGGAATAAATCGGCTCTGATACGAATTGACAACCCACATGACATTTCGCGTTAGAACGAGCACAAAGGCGGTGACCATTAGCCTGGATGTAGCATGCATCACCGCTATTCCCTCACTAAACCAATATGCCACTGTTGCAGTGCTCCTAAACCTTATGGATTTTAATGCAAGGGTCACTTTAGATGGTTACTATTTAAAGATCAGCGGTACTCGGGTCCCAACGGCATCTTAGAATTGAGCTTAAGGCGGAGACGGCGTTGTGGTGAATGGCCTGGCGTGTGCTTAGTGCGCGCGTTGGCATCTTAGTGCACACTAAGGCAGGGTATACGTCTACCACTCCGTCGTCGTCGTCGTGCCGAGGATCCAAGGGCATTGCAATTGTGGTTGCAGCCTGTGACTCAACTAGATGCGTTATAGTGCACTCGAGTAAGATTAGAACATGAAATAACAGTTTGGCATGTACGAGCCCATCTTACTTTCTATACGACACCTTACAGCAGCTTGGATCACAATTCGCTTTTCAGTCGGGTCGCTGCCAGGGAACCTTGGCCACATGACTCTTACGTACAGTCCTCTGAATGTGCACTCCTCAAGGCCTCACCCTCTAAACGCCGCTTCATCAGCGATAATAACGATTGCGGTGCCATTGGTTCGATAACATTGACTCTGAGAGCAAACAACTGACTTACATGACTTCGGCGGCCTAGTAATTGCTTAGCCAGCCCTTGGATACTTGGTGACACAGTGCTAATTCGAGATGTGGGTAAGAAAATGAGTTCAAGCAGTTAGAAAACATATACATTCGTGTTTCACCTGAGTGAAGGGAAAGTTTCATTGTGATTCGGCATGGGTGAACCGTATGGGTGGACAAGTTTGTGACTACTGTTCACACGTCAGCTGAATGAAACACTCTCGAGAAGATCAGTTATCCGGTAGATTTCTCGGGTCACGGATAAGGTTCATCGTATAGAATTCCTTTCGTCTATCCGGGTCCCCATGATATACATTTTAGTGCAGAAACGACGCACCCTGAGTCTTCCATTCGAATGAGTTTTAACCGGTAAGGTACCACTCCGAGCCTAATCCCATGGATTATGCACAACAGACGTAAAGGCTGCAGCAGGGCAAGTAGGTATGCTGTGGAATGAAGGGGCGATTACAGGATGAAAAACTAGTTTGTTTCTAGACTGTATGTGTTCTTCTCCAACTGCAACATCTCCTTGTCAGAAGGATTTCCAGATACACTAATTTAATTCATACCTCGGCTTCAAGCTCCCTCCTGACTCTATATTCCTCATCTGCCTTGATAACTAGATGGTAATCATCTAGGTCCTCAATCACGAAAGGATCCTTCTCGTTCATTGTGAGCAATATTTGCTTAACAGCTGAGTCACTGTAAGCGTAAGTGCCAACGATCGGTCTATGGTTCCTTTGAAAGACGAAAAATGACTGCAAACCAAGTTAAAAGCACCCCTGCGCATGGTGAATCACCTCAAAGGGGGTCGAATACACGAGCGCACCTTTAATGGCCCTCATGTTTGAGCGACCGCTTCTCTGACAGTAAACCTTACAACTTTCCACGCAATTCCGCAGTCTGGTCTACTGATGTTCCCAGAAACGAGGTATAAAACACACCAATCGTAGTCAATGAGAAGAAGGCAGAACTGTTCTCAGCGTTGCCGTGAAAACGTGCGCCTGAAGGCAGTGGTTGGTGACGGGCGCGTGAGTAATACAAGTGTTACAGCCCGGCCGAGAATGGACCCGTCCGAGTCAAGCACACGCATGTCCTTCTATTTATGCCATCATCCTCTTAAGTATCTATGCTGCCCCTCGCGAGCTGCATCATTTCGAATATTTCTCGACCACCACGACCCATTCTTTTCAGCAAAAACGCACTTGGTGTCCGCACAGACTCCGTAAGTGATCCACTTTGCTGTGCACCTACTAGACCCGCAGCGTCCGACTTCCCGGAGAGTTGCTCAGCTTGGAGCCAAGACGGTTTTGGGTGGACGATTTGAGACTAGCTTGATGTTTCGCATTATTTTGTTGCACCGAATCGCTTTCCGGAATCTCCCCCTGAAACTTATCGATTGAAAACTGAGCTGACTTTGATAGGCAGAATAATTTCCGCCCCTCGCTCCGTCACCATGTCGGTATTGACTGGAGCTGTTCCCATCGGTGTGTATTTTACTGGTTGAAGACGACTAGAATGCTGACCAGCATGAAAGCTACCACCACGCTCAGTGCTATTGAGCAGTCCAAACGATTAGCGGCATACACTGCTGTGGACAAACACATTCTCCCAGAACATAAGGTGAGTCCCATTTTCATCTTCATCTGTCTTTTGGAACTTATTATTCTTTGCGGCAAGGTTATCGGAATAGGATCTGGTTTGCACGTACTACGGCTGGGGTAGCCTCTTATTTACCGCTTTTCAGGATCTACTGTGCCCTATGTTGTGGAGCGAATCGTTGCACAGGGGCGCGAGCTCAACAAGAGTCGCGTGTTCATTCCGACTGGATTCCAGTCGAAGGAGCTCATCGTCATGTCGAACCTCAACCTGGGCGATGTCGATCAATTTCCTACCATTGATGTCACCATAGATGGTGCTGACGAGTAGGTTTCTTCTGATCAGAAAGGTTGCTAAGCCTGACGACCATCAGAGTTGACCTTGACCTCAATTGTATCAAAGGTGGCGGAGCCTGCCACTTGCGAGAAAAGGTGCTCGCGGAGGCTGCGAATACGTATGTTCATAATCATATATAGAGTCTCGGTTGTCTTATCAGTGAGCTGTAGATTCATTGTGGTAGCCGACTATCGCAAAAATGCGGAGGTCCTTGGGACGAACGTGCGTGCCTGGTCTTTCAAGTGAGAAATGTCGTAATCATCATTTGCAGTTCACTCCCGGTGTTCCAGTCGAAGTCGTGCCATTCGCATACGCCCAAGTTTTGCGTAAATTGCGCGATGTTCTGGGTTCTCCCAACGCTACCCTGCGCATGGCAAAGGCTAAAGCTGGTCCTGTGGTGACAGACAATAGCAATTTCGTCATTGACGCGCCGTTCCCCAAAGAGATCATGATGGACCCTTCTACTGTACGAGAAATTTTACTACTGCCTCAAGTTCATATTAATCGCGATTACTGCAGATTTTGGCAAAAATCAAAATGCTCACAGGTGTTGTGGAAGTTGGTCTGTTTTGTGATATGGCTCAGGCCGCATACTTTGGTAACGAGGTCAGTGAAGGCGTATCTTGTCTATTTATATCTCTGACGTCTGACGTCAAAATTTTCAAAATTTGGCAGGATGGCAGCGTGACTGTGAAGAGCAAAGTCGGGTCTAAGGTCATCGAACAATCAATCCCTGCTTCACGATGACAGAGCACAATACCCTATTTTCGATCGTGGATCTTGTACACGAGACTAGTTGAGGAATGGATATATGGAGCGGATTCAAAGTATAGACCAGTTTATCTTACACGAAGTCTTGACCGAGCAGGGATTGGGACACCGCTTTTAGGCATACACCACCTGCAACACACGCATATAGAGGCCCGTATCCCTACTGCATTGAGCTAGATCTGAACGAGAACACACTCAGTCAACATTGGTTACTCTTGAAGAATTCTCAAGTAAACTCTAGTGTCGTACAACGTTAACTCTAATAGATATTATACAGAACTTGAAAGACGCAACACTTCAAATTCAGCATGGACAGTCACAGCAGCTGCACCACATCAAGCTCCCGCTTCCCTTCGCAACAACTAGCCACCTCATCCCCTCATCAAGTCGATCTTGTCTCCACCGCCAACATCACCAGTTTCAATCTCATACAACCTTTTCCGTCTCAAATTCAGGACATACTCTATATCTGCAAAAGATAGAGTACTTAAGGAGCATAAAGGACCAGGGGGAGGAAGGCAGGCTATGTAGTGTAGCCGAAAGGTGGGGATACCTTCTAGAAAGAAAGGCAAAGGTGGAACTCAACTCGTCACTGAGTTGGGGACCAACGTACATCTCAGCACCACAGTCATTTCACTGACATCCACTGTAGGGGAACGCCCAATCCCGCACTTTATTGTCTAGGCACGGTAGTAGGTCAAATTTCGTTGATCAGTCGTTGTTTCACGATTCGTGCGTTTTTTCTGTTTACCATCAATATATGCATGAAATAGAACGGGAAACACAAGAGGGAGAAAATTTAGTAGCATTCAATATCAAAGGTCATTTCCAAAAAGAACCAGTATAGTCCTGGAGGCCACACTTTTGAGATTTCCTCGCGCTATCTTGATAGCAAAGGAAATTGTGAGCCATACTTCCAGTTTAGGCAATGCAACAGTCTGGGGCCGGCGAGTATGTATAAAAAATGGCCAATCCTCCTAGACAATGAATGGTGCGAGGTTCATATTCGAATTTGCCAGTAGTGTTTCTCCTACAGGAAAGAAGGCCAACATTAGCCGGGTAATAGCTATCGGAGGATTCATCGATAGCCGTATCAGTCGGGGTGCGTGCTGTTGGAGAAACCTGACGCAGAGCCTGTACACGGGGCAGAAAGCATTTAACGTCAGGATACTAGAATCGCGATCACGATCGTATGATTTTCCCGCATACAGCGTCATCAGTAAACAAAAGATACAACGGGGACAACTCCTTGATGCTATCTTTGTTCTTAAAATGCGCAGGGTTCGGACCAATCACAGGAGAGCAGTCATAACAACTCTCCGACGACTCCAAAAAGCTCTGCAGACTTGTGAACATTCTCTACAGCATAAGAAGCATAAATTTTACCTTTCAATTATACTAGCAGTTTGTTGTGTCAAGTCCGAGTCTGATAAGCGCTTGATGGAGATGTACGAGCCAAACTCAAGTCAGTGCGGTCTTTGGATACATCCTGTATATCAGTTACAGTCACTATAGAACAAATGTCGATCATAAATCACTCATCCTAGATATTCTCCAGAGGTATTCAGAAATCAGTTTGTGATACATCTTGCTAACGCCACTTCGGGTACAATCCTTCAAATCGTTCTGTAAGCAAAATTCAATGCGCGAGAGCGACATCACATACATGTACACCCTAATTGACCAACGCGCTGGCTGTCGATGCAACGCCTCTGGCTGCGTGAACTTTTATAATATTCCACGATTTGCCTGTCTAACTTTTCCCACTTCCCCAAGCGATTCATGCGCTTGATATCCATGTCGATGATTTTGATATCAAACGAGCCTATTTGCGCGGATTTGGGCCGGATAATGATAGAGCAATCCTTGAACGTCGCTGAAAGAAGGTATGCCATAAGATAATGCCGGAGGTGACCAGGACTTGGGATTGTATGATTCCAGTAATGATAATCAGACTGGTAAACTTTGACGAAGTCCTCCCATTCCTCCATAGAAGGATCAGGAACCGAAGACCCGAGACCGTCACATGGAAAACCTGGCAATGTTTGTGTGTATAACTTAGATAAGCCCTCTATATCGAGTATATCCAGTGTTCGTTGCAAAGTTGATAGGAGGGAGAGAACGGGACTGTCAAGAAGTGCCTGCGCAAGAAAGGATGCGAACGATTCCCGGAGATTCTGAAGGTCAGTCGATTTGTCTGCCGTGAAGAAGCGTGCCAGCGATTGTACCAAGTAATCCTATCCAAATCTATCAGAAATCTGTGGAGTGATGCACTGAAAGCCTACATCGTCTGGTTTTGTCATTCTGCCCTCGACGAAGAACCGCAAGTTATTGAGAGACCCGTCGCTTTCATACCACCCAGCCCACAAAGCATCCAAGGCCTTCCTAACACGCGTCTCGTCGCAAGAGAAAAGGTCCAAGGGACAATAGGCCGTACCTACGTACCCTTGCTCCATTTTGAAGCTCATATGCATACAAAATCTGCAAACTGCTGTCTTCAAAGCGACAGTCTCAGGCGAGAGGTGGCATTCTGTAGGTAAAAATCCCCATTTCGGCTAAACAAACAACCAGTCAGATCTACATATAATCCCAATAGATTGACGATCACCTTGATTTCCATTGCGATGGACAAACCCCCAATGAGATCCGTAGCTAACACACCCTTCTTCCTGTGAACATCAATCTGGTCCATCTGCCTTCTCCCTGCTGGGCGATCGCCATCACGGAGGACAACAAGTGACCTAAGCCAATGTTCATCGAGTACCACCATCACAAGACTCGGCAGAAATTTAGAAGGAACGAGTTTTGAGATGATGTTCTCTTGGAAGGCGATCATAGGATCGTCTGGTTGTTCAGTGTCGATATCTAGCGTGTTGTCTGATGACCTGTGAGTGACTTTACGGAGACGTAGGACATGATCAGAGAATTGGACATTGTGAGGTCCTCGATACGAGAATACGATAGTCGCCCCTCCCTCAGAGATATATGTCCAATCCTCAGGTTTTGTTTCAGTAATCAACGCTGGAGTCATTGCAGGAGTTGGGCAAAGATAGGCGTGCTTTGCGACCGATAATTGATAACACGTGCTGCATAACCACAACAAGCGCCAATATGTGACACAAGCGCTTTTCGGAAGTTCAATTCGAAGGCCGATCACAGTGTTTTGACCTTGCCACTACAGCTTTTGTGGAACAATAGACCATGATGTGGAATCCCTATCACAATATATATTGTCCGGTACTATATGAAGTCTGGATTTTTCAACCCCGGGTGTTTCTTACCAGTCCAACGATCTTGTCACTTGCAAGCTTCACGAAATATCTAATACCATCAGAATCAGAATGCGATACCCAACTCCCTCATCAACCAAGCCATCTGAAAGTTCGCGGGCTATAAAACATCCTTCTCGATCCCCTAAAATAAATGCTACCCCCTCCAAAGGTGTCCATGCCCGCAAGCATGTTCTCAAAGCATCCAAGAATCGACGTGCTTCGCATTATGATCCCAAACCGGTCTGTGCTCCCTGGTGCCCTCTCTGAGGCATAGCATGCTCACTGACTTCGTTTATAGCCATGTATTACAGTCCACGGGTTACCTGGTAATACTGGTGGTCTCTTACCACCCGATGCAGTAGACCCTCGCCCACCCGCGCTTCCCTTGGACGGTTTCGAATGTATTCGCACATTAGGTATGACATCGCTATTTTAGAATCGGGAGTTACGCATGACTCATTCGATGTAGGTGATGGAGCTTATGGTCATGTGCTACTCGTACGAGTGCGTGACCAACCCAACTCAGGGAAACTGGCGCGGCCAGGAGCCTTATTTGCAGTCAAAGTTCTTTCCAAAGAAAGGACGAAGACCACAGATCAGGTATGTACACTACTGCATTATATTTCTGATTATAACCTTTCAACCAGAAATACCCCGCGGATACTAATTCAGAGAGGATGCACCTATCGGCATTGCCCTGGAGTCCCTGGGTGAATGGTGTCGTAGGCGCATTCAAAGATGAATTTAACCTTTACCTTATGCTCGAGTTTATACCGAGTGGGTGTTTCTACGACGTTATCCAAACGCGTGGCCCTTTCGACGCTGCAACTGCCCGGTTCTATTTCGCCAATATCGTATCTGGGGTTTATTTCCTCCATAGCGAGAAAATTGTGCATCGTGATCTCAAACCAGCAAATATCCTCGTTAGACCCGATGGGTACTTGGCCATCGCAGACTTTGGATACGCCCGTTTGGACGAGATCGGGAGCGACGCAACCACAGATTGGCTAATGATCGGGACACCAATCTACATGGCTCCCGAGACCTTATGTTACCAACATATGACAGGATACAGTGTTGACTGGTGGGCGGCAGGCGTTACATTGTATGAAATGCTCACGAAGAGGACGGTTAGCATCATAGATTCCTGCCCTATGAAACTTTTCTCATCATCACTTCCAGCCATTCTTCGGTACAGACGAAAACAAAATATATAAAAGGATTTCCTTAGGGAAGTACAAGTGGCCTAAAGGCCTCCGCTTGTGCGCATCCCTCAAGTCCATTGTCGCAGGGCTCCTGACCACGACGGCCGAGGATCGTCTGGGTATTAAGAGTTCCGTTCTCGAGCACCCATGGCTCGACAACATTGATTTTGATAAATTGGATGCCGGGAACTACATGGTATGTCCCCTTATGTGAGCGAACACATTCGCTATGTCTGACAGATAGATGATATAGGCCCCTTGGATCCCTGAAGCACCTGCGCCCACCCAGACGTGGTTAAACAGGGGCCTTCCGCCCCAGCATTGCATTCCTGGACTCAAAGTTTGCGTACCAGCTGTGCATCGCGAGTGGGATGACCGTCTACGCAAGAAAAAATTACCTAAATTTGCGGATCAGTTGTGCACCGCGAGTAGATACAGGAAGCAATTACCTACCTAGCTAATACCAGCTGCCATGTCTCTTTCATCGTTAATTACCGCATGTTCATACTTTCTTATATTTCTTTTTGATGGTCAAATCAAACCTGGTTTTCACTTCAATTGTGGCGGACTGGGCGGGCAGGCACAACCGGTGCATCTCAAGCATCAACGCAAACGAATTCAAGCAGTTTCAGACGCAACCGAAGGCTGAGCCATGCAGCGTGTATTAAGACAATAAAATACGTTATTATACAGACTCGACATCCAAATTCCAAGTCCCTATGGATCGATCGTATCGTATAAAAGTAACGAAAGTGGTGGAAGAAAACGTGGGGGTGCAGAGGGGGAATGCAATATACCATAACTCAAAATCCGACCTCTGATGGTCATTGAACGTCTCTGGCAGGGGCAGGAGTTGATAGGTTCCAGAACAATGCATCTTGTGTAGGTAAGTCAGGACCTGACGTTCCCTCGCCGCCATTATTGGTAACCCCGGTCACCTCTGCCAGAATGGAATCGCGCTCTGCGATAACGCCACTAGTCTCGTCCTCGCTCTTACCCGATGACAAACTCGACATACTCAGCGCACCGTAACTGCCTCCGCTCGCAGAGGCATCTGATCTCTCGCTCATCCTGCTAGGCACACGCTCTGCGTCCTCTTTCCCGCTCGTCCCGCTGCCTATAGCGCTCATGCGTCCATCAGATCGAAGACTCCCTCGGCTTGGCACACGCAGGCTTTCAGGGCGCTTCAAAATCGCATCGGCCAATATACTATTCTGCCACATATCCTCTTGGTCCTCCTCTGCTTCGCTCATGCCCATGTTTTCACTATTATTTTCTTGAGCAGACGAAGATGCCGAATTGCGCCGTCGTTGCCTCCCACGCGATGGCGATGACCCTGCCGAGGAAATTGTATCAGGGGTATATTGACCTATGCCGCCGCCGTTCCTCACGCTGCTTCCCGAATTCATGGTCATTCTCAGACCGGAGAAGAAAGGCGTCATCCCTGCACCTCCATAAGTACCTGGAAAGCCAGGGTATGGATGGTAGGATGAAGCAAGGAGTGCTTGAACGTGTGCGGGTGGATTGTGGTTAAAATTTAATGGTAGGCCGTTGTGAGAGATATTGGGGCTGTGAGGTTGCAGGCGTGGGGATGGTGAGGTGGGAGAGGAGTAAGACGATGAGGGAGATTGAGCTTGAGCTTGAGCCTGAGCCTGGGATTGCAAGGTTGCAAAAACAGAGTATGCTGCCTGAAGCTGCTGCATGAGGTGATGGACTTGAGCTTGTAGCTGAGGAATATGGTCAGTGAAACAATAACAACAAATACCACTGCATAATGGGAGGTCCGGTGAGGATTAAATACTCACTTCAGCTTCTCTTCTCCTCCAAGCCATCGTATCTTCATTCAATCGCCACTTTAGCTCTTCATTTTCCTTCCCTACGCGTTCAGCCTCCATACGGGCTTTCTCTTCTCGTAGTCTCGCAGCCTCGAGTGCACCACGCATGGACGCGAGCTGGGTTTGGGCACGTAATGGGCCAGTAGGGGAACCTATATGAACAGTATGAAGAGGCACTCCTGGTGGAGGCGTCGAGCCCCGCGAAGCAGTTGGTATTGGCGGACCCACGACTTTATGTCCATTCATAATAGGACTTTCAACTGTACTCGAGTGTGTGTGTGTGTGATCATTAGGAGATGCCTGAAGAAGGTTCAAAGTAGGAAATGTGACATGTGGAAGTGTTGGTGAAGGAGGGGAAGAACCGGAGGGAGATGGCGGTGGTTCAATACTCGATCCAAAATTCGGGTGTAACGGGGAACTGGATGCAGATGCAGAGGTAGATAATGTAATTCGTGCGGGAGAAGAGCAGTGAAAGGCAGATGACGGTGCCAAGGGAGTGGTGTGAGAGACAGATGCTGAAATTACACAACCACCATTAGACTTGTCAGTTCCACGGTGCTCGGACATTAATCGTGGAGGCTTGATGTGAGCGCCTGCTCTGCATGCCTGTAATTGTCCGTCCAAATCCAACGTGTGGGTAGACATAGATACGCGGAGTGGCATAGACCGAGATTGGGGGCAAGAAGTAAATGAGGATGCACGGTCATGACTGTCGTGTTCTTCTGTGGAAGTGGTCGGGGAAGATGATTCTAGCATGGAGGAGGGGTCGTCGTGACAGGGGCTGTCAACAGGTTGAATGTGGTCAGCAGCGCCATGAAGGTGCGTGTGTTCAGAGCGTGAAGTATGCATGTATGGGTTATTGGACGTGACGTGACGCAAAACTGATGCTGGCTCAGAACTGGATGCTAACATGCAAGCAGGTAGCAAACGGTCCTCGTGTGGTTCAACTGCTGGCGGTGATTCTACGCTCAGATGTGATACCAAATTCTCTTGAGGAGGATCTTGAGTGGGTGAAGGTAAACGAGAAGTGGATGACGCGACTGGCGCGATATTATCGTTACTGGTGGTCGACCTGGACTCTGACTCGAACACCGGAGAATCGCTACCGCTGTTATCTTGGTGAAGGGGCATTTTAGACTGTATAATCTTGGGTGTAGACTTTGCCTTCTTCCCGCCCTTGAGGAGCTCCTTATGCGGAACTTTTCCTCTTCTGCGTCGCTCCTTGGACCGAGAAGCTTTCTGCTCCATGTCGGCAGATGTAAATGGTGCTTTAGGAGTGTTCGAGTGTTCTTGTTGGGTCATATCACACTCACCAGGAGTGTTACTGGCGATATGAAAAGTAGAGAGAGCGGCGGTGATGATGGATTGAGCAGAGCGAGTCTGCTGTGAGTCGGATCCGTGGTGGTTCCCGGGATTGTTCTCCACGTGCTTTGCCCGCCAGAGGAGGATGGATGCAACAGCGAGAGCGAAAGAAGAGACAGTGAGTAGAACAATGTGTGCGTTGTCCTCAGCGACCAACCAGTTCTGTACGCGCTCTCGCTCACCCTCATCCATAACGAAAACGAACGAGCAGAACGTTGTCAAACTAATCCGCCATAAACAATTTCACATTTTCAGTCTCCGATTACGATAATTCTATAAATAAATGCCCCCCTCTTTTATTATGATCTATGTATATGCGGGAGCGCCACGCGCCCTCCGAGGTCTGCAATGCTTGCATGCACATACAAGTTGACTGTCGCACTATCATCGCACACAACAAGCAAGCAAGTCCAGAAATCGCACAAGGTTCTCCAGCTTCTTACCCCGAACTCTAAAAGTTTAATCAGGTCAAAAAGAGAAGCAAGCACGACCAAGAGGTATGTCTCGTCGATGGTCCACTGAGTTAGCGGAAATGCGGATCCCATGCGGGCGGAGCGGAAACGACCCTGCACATGGCCCTGACGAGGTTCAATCTGATAACTCCTGTTGCTATGAAGCAATCTCAATGCGATGCCGTAGCACGAGTATATCACGTGCATGTCAAGAGCGACCAGTGTCAAGCTGCCTGTTCTTTGCATCGTGCGGACGGGAATTACCATCCAGAGGTCTATAGGCGTGACAGATGAGCGCTTGACTCGATATAGAGCAATCTAGGACAGCGTGAGTCGCGACGAAGCACTCTATTACGCCCGGTAGCCGCTGAATCGTTTCCGTCGACAGTATCGTGATTACGCCTCACCTTAGTCGTGGCATCTCATAGCCAAGCCAACATTTCGCCGCTGGCCTCATGATGGTGTAGGCGTTACGTACATCGTGCATGCGCTCGACATTTCCAGTAGCTGAGTCAAAACTTAACGCTAATTTCTCAGGTCATAACGATCCTGAATGCGAAGCGAGCATCAACGTGCGTATTCAAGGTTTTGAGGTAGCATCGAGGAAGAAATCGGTTGGCAGTGAATGCCTGATATTCGCACGGGTATCAACACCGTGGAGCACCGTGGCCGAACGTGGAGATCGCTCTGCAACGGGATGAGTAAGGTGCCGATTCGGAGCCTGTCGAAGAGTCAGCACCGTTCGTCCAATTGAGCGGGAGCCTTTAGTTTCACCGTTTCTATTCGATACTTATTCTCTCATTAGTATCTTTTTGCATCCATTCTTTGTCCCCTCCCGCCCACACGGCGGCTCAATCATGCAGCGCTTCAGTGTTAACGCTCGGACACGACGCCTTCGCACTCGATCCATTTTGATCCCATCACAGTAGTCAAAGTTTCGGAGGCCTGATCAAATGGAAGTCGAAGTTATCCGGGAAGGAGTTCATCGGGCCAGTTTACTCGCTGACTGGTGATGAAATTCCACCCCCCACTGATACTGTCACATCGGGGTTACCGATATTTAGGAGATGTTTTTACGTTGTACCAAATGTGAAGAAAATATTTGAAATTTAAACTGACATAAAGATGGGGACATAACTTCAAATTTTGGTAATGTTTTGGACGACATACAAAATTTCAAGCATTGGCGACCATATTCCCACCGACTATATGTCAATAACAATAAGAAATTTAATCCAATTTTCTGTGTGTGCTCAAATTTTGATTTTAATTCAGACCTTAAATGGCAGACAAAACATGAAATTTGGGACATGACCATATGACTACTTATTTAGGAAGTTTTGTCCGACAATTAAGACACCCTGAAAATTTGAAGTTTACACCGGTGGCAAAATGTGATGACAAAACTTCAAAATTTGAGCACACACAGAAAATTGGATTAAATTTCTTATTGTTATTGACATATAGTTGGTGGGAATATGGTTGCCAATGCTTGAAATTTTGTATGTCGTCCAAAACATTACCAAAATTTGAAGTTATGTCCCCATCTTTATGTCAGTTTAAATTTCAAATATTTTCTTCACATTTGGTACAACGTAAAAACATCTCCTAAATATTGATAACCCCGATGTGTGTGTTATTCAGTTATTCTCACCCCCCAGGACAACCCACGAGTTTCCTTTATTTGTTGCAGCATCTTCTATACTAAAATGCCTCGGTCATGTGTAACTGAGACAACTTGACTTATGACTAATCAACTCAATTGACAACATGGAGTAAATTATGTTCTATGTGTAGCTGTCAGTTTTCGTGTTGGTAAGAAAGGAAATCAGATATATTAATGAGCTAATGATATCTGATTTGTACAAATAGTTGTAAGAATATTTGTGAAGCTATTTGACCCGAAACACCATTTTGAACCTGTAAAAGTCCAGGATGAGCCGTGATTCCCAGTCATAAGGAGCCCTGTGACATGTCAGGTGCAGCATGGACTCTCGGTTCGAAGGAGAAGGGAGAAATAGTATAAGCTCAGACCCTTCAGTCATATTTCATGTAGAACTCTGGCTCTAGACATGCAAAAACCTCATAGAATCATGGCTAGCCAGCCACTGGCCGGAGGTATTGGCCATCTGGTATCTACATGATTCAAATACATGGCTGGTCAGGGATGATTATCATGATTATAAGCAATAGTGGTCAGGCTTGTTGTCTTGAGTTGTAGAATCATGGCTGGCCTGTTCAGATATATAAACATTAGGGTTATTATAATTAAAGTAGTAGTAGCTAGCCTAATATGCCTGCAGTAGATTTGTGGCTGGCTGGACCTGATTTTCCAAATTGCATACTGGCCTGCTAACATGTACCAGATGTAGGATCATGATTAGCTGGCCATTGGTTAGTAGTGTGATAATGAAGACACCAAAATACAATATGTAGGGCAATGGCTGGCCGGTCTGTGCTAAATATTTTCACTGCTGGCCAGCTAGCATTCATGTGATGTAGGACCATGGCTGGCCGGTCTGTGCTAAATATTTTCACTGCTGGCCAGCTAGCATTCATGTGATGTAGGACCATGGCTGGCCAGCCTGTGCTAAATTTTTACTGTCTCTGGCTGGCCATAATCTACAGTAGATATACCCCCACCAGCCATGACTGTGGTGGTAATTCTGCATCAGCCAGCCAAGGACCTACAGCAGGTATACCCCCACTGTCCATGACTGTTGTGATATTCCTGCATTGGCTGGCTATATTCTACAGTATGTATACCTCCACTGGACAGCCTATCAGGAAATTCTCACATTCCTTAATCTTCTTAATCTGCTTAACTTACTTATCTCAAAACTTGTTTGCTCTCTCAGATTATTTACCTGGCATATTTTCATTTTTTAGTGTGAAGCATAATAAAATGTATATATTGATATACCTCAACATTTCTTTTCTGAATATATATAAGTTGAAATGTTGGACAAGTAGATCCACCTTTCAACAAGACACTTAAGTCTGTTTAAGGACAAATAAGTAATGTGAGAATCCTGATGTGTAACTTTTGTGATAATCCTGCATTGGCTGACTATATGATACAGTAGGTATACCCCCACCAGCCATGCCTGTTGTGATAATCCTGCATTGGCCAGCTATATGCTACAGTAGGTATACCCCCACCAGCCATGACTGTTGTGATAATCCTACATCGGCCAGCCAAGGACCTACGGTATGTATACCCCCACCGGCCATGACTGTTGTGATTATTCTGCATCGGCCAGCCAAGGACCTACAGTATGTATACCCCCACCGGTCATGACTGTTGTGATTATTCTGCATCAGCCAGCCAAGGACCTACATGATGATAATCCCTGTGGGCTGGTGATATTTTTCTTATATTACAGTAAAGTCACAAGTGGCATTTCGACTAACTAAGAAGAACTAAGCATACTACATATATACTATAAATTTGCATTTTTCTTGGTAGGTTGCCTTGCTCTTGTAGAACGTCAGATTTCAGGCTTAGCCTTGACTGGCTCCTTGAACTTGTTTGAAGAAACCTTAGGCTCAGTCTTGGCCCTCTTGGAGTTTCAAAAGGGGACTTGGATTGCTGATCTCTTCTTCCCAGTCTGCTTCACTTCAACCTCCTGCTCCTGCTCCTGCTCCTGCTTCTGCTCCTACTCCTCCTGCTCCACCACCTCCACCTCCTGCTCCTCCTGCTCCATATACCTATTCCTCATATCCAACTCAATGATGGCCACTACAGAGCACAAGACATCAGGTACTACCTCCTCCAGGAGATGTAAGACTGAGAAATCGAAGATGGAATTAGCAAGGTAGATAGGGGTATCCAAAGAAGCTTCATCTTCCTCATACTCAATCGCATGTTTACACTCCCTAAAGAGCATACCCAATCCTAACACCACAGAGATGGCCGATGACGAATTGGAAATATTGGCCTTCCTAAGTTTGTTTAGGCTGGCTTCCAGCATTTTCCGTGATTCATGAATGTCCTTCAGAAGATAAACATGCTTCCAAGACCATTTAGTCCAAGAGGGCCAGTCAATATGGTCCTTTGATGGAGTCTTGAGAATGGTGAGTATCCATCTATCCAATCAAAAATTCAAGTTACTCACCATCTGTCTAGAGAATTTTGATAAATCATGAGTGGCATCTACCAATTTGAGGTAGTTGTCATCTGTGCTAAGGCCTCATAAAAACACCCATTGTCCATCATAGACATCATTGAAGAGGACACTAGCAGGAATGATGGATGGAGGATCACCAGCTGGCACAATCCTACCCTTTGTGGAACCTAAGCTAGTCAAGCTCAACTCTTCTTCGTCCGAAGAAAAAACTTCTACATAGTCCTTCTTTTTTCTCTTCTTTCCTTCTTCTTTGTCAGCTATGTTCGTCACCTTATCACCCTTCTTTGCATTTATGAAAATGACCAGCTTCTTCCCTGCAAGGCTACATCTCTCTCAATGTTACGACTTGGATGGTATCTGTTGGCGACGCTCAAACAGAGCTTGTGTCGTCAACGGTCTGTGGACATCCTTGGGCTAGCCCAAGGTTAGGGGTCGTACTTGGCGTGTCTTCAGCAAGTACGATTTGACGCCTATGTCCAAATCGGGTAGCTTATGTCACGCGGTTGCGAGACGATAAGCTATATCGGCCTAGGCTTACGACACCCGAAGGTTAATCGTAAGGATCGTCGTTAATTAGAAGGACAGAAGTCCGACTAGTTAACAGGGGCTTTGCTCGTCGACGAAGTCGATGAGTAAAGATCGAGACTATAGGCTTATCCGCGAGGAGCAGATAAGAAGATAGAATATAGACTGCTGGCGAGGCAGAAGGATCACTCTGGTGAGAGTAGGAGGTCAAGAACCAAGTAGATTCAAGTTAAGGAATATAGTACATGGTAGCGAGTTTATATAGAGGACAGGACACGTATTAGTGGATGATAACTCGTACTACCGGGGGAGGCAATCGGTAAAGGGTAAGACCATAACAGGAAGGCACGTTCGGTCTAGGTAGAACGTGCTAGATAAGAAAGTGAGTCAGAGATCGAAATAAGAAGTGAAACGCGCAGGGGCACGATCGTGCAGCTGCGGATCTAAGTATAAGTCGCATGTGCGACTGCGTACTGAGTCAGAGATCATAAAAGGGAACAGGGCAAAGGGGATGCGTCGTGCATCATATCATAGGTTACCGTTCGGACGGTAAGGGCAAGGGGACTGTCCGCAGGATCAGTCAGGTGGTGAAACGGAGCATGGGTATGCTTCGTCAGCGAAAGGATCCGGCCAAATGTACTGGCTTTGCTGAAGCGATAGGTAGAGGGCGAAAGGGAATGCGAGGATGATGAGGATGACAAGGGTAAGGTCGGGGTAAGGGTATGATGCGAGGGCTGATACGAGGAGGATTAGGAGAAAAATAGTAGGGGCCCAAGCGTCTAGATGTTCTTGTAACACTCAATGGTGCCAGAGAGAATTTACATCCTCTAACCTCATGTGCGAAGGGTCTCTTACCACCAATGTCTCAGGAACACAAGTAGCCTCCAGGTAGTGAGGTGTGTTAGTGACAATCTGCCACCAAGGCACAGGTTTATTGCTCTTTGTGAGGACCTCTATGGACCAACAAATTAATCAAGGGTAAGCTAATTAAAGCTTCAAACTTACTATACGAAGCAAGAAAAATGTTTCTAATTAAATCCTGTTGTCCCTTGAGACCCACACCCTCTCGAGATGGGAGTTTTGCATGGCCTTCTTTGTCCAATATAAGCTCGGGTTCAGCCCCAACCTTGTCTGAATCATCTGTCTCTGAATCATTCCAATCTTTATCTGTAGGATCTATTTTATTAATGAAATTTTGTCAATCTACATCAAATGCCACAAGTAGAATATAAAATGTACAGAATTCGGTCTTAGACCATTCCGCAAAGAATTCAAAACCTGTCAAAGCCCACTCCTTGATACTGTCAGAGCTGACAGAAAAACTTTTCTTGTGACTCTGCGGTTTGGATTCATGTCTAAGTGTTATTATTAGTCGGGCAAATGATATAGGGTAATTCCGAAACTGACAAGGTAACAGCCAAGGACTTCTGGGTCTTCTTCTTGTGACTAACTAGCATTACAACTTGGCAACCCATGGTACGGCGTAGTTCCTCTGAAATTTCTTCAAACTTTTCTTGAGATTATTCTTTCAATAGCTTTGAATTAAGTCAGCTTTAAACTGAACATCCTGTAATATGAACGACAACTTACACAGCCTGAATTTCCTCCAGTGCGCCCTCCTTGTTCCATTTCTCCATTGCATCTTTAACCTCTTTCTGTTGCTCAGCCGTCATCTTCTTAAACCACTTGTCACGAGTACCTTTAACAAACCATTATTCTTTCTTGAATCTTCCTAAGCGTCAATGCACAGCGCCTAAGTCAAACCCTAACCCTACCTTGAAAGCGTCTATCATTCCTGAAATACCTTTAGCGCCCACAACACGTGTCTTCGATGTGACTGATGAAGAAGACGAGTTCTTTGATTGTGAATAGATTAGATAAGATACGATAAGATAAAGATATGGTCACGTGATGCTTCTTTAATATTCTACGATGTTCTATGGTACGATTCCCTTTTCTATTTTATGATTGGCTAGTAGTTGTAGCTCAGATTCAATCTCAGTTTCAATAGTTGTATATAGGTAGCACGTCTTGGTTGATAGTTCTTTAGTTCAAACCTCTTGTATCTACACCATAGCAATCCAAGACATACTTGCTCCTCTCTCTCTTGTCCGATAACCTTAGTCGGGTCCTAGTCTCTGCCCAAGCATTAATTCGTTATTTGGGTTGTGACAGGTGGGCTGATGTAAGGGTTTATTGTATAGATGGGTGGGCCGACATAGTGGAATTATTTTGTACATGGGTGGGCCGATGTAAGGGTTTATTGTATAGACAGGTGGGCCAACATACTGGAATTATTTTGTAGACAGATGGGCCGAGGGAGTGGTGGAATATTCATTATATAGATGGGTGGGCCAATGGAGGGGGATGTTATATAGACGGGTGGGCCAATGGAGGGGGATGTTATATAGACGGGTGGGCCAATGGAGGGGGATGTTATATAGATGGGTGGGCTGAGGTAGTGAGATATCTGTCTGACATTCACGGATTACCAAGTCCCAGATGCCCAAAAACTGAATCCCATTGTGCAACATCCATTCCGGACACCCAAACACCAGAAGCTCGAGACTGGAAACTGGAAACTTGTGAAAATGTGTGAAATTTCTATTTCCTTACACCAAACACATGAACACCTGAACACCCAAAGCCTGAAGCTTGAAAGTCCATTTATCAAATCACCGAGTGCCAAGTGCTAATAAACCTGAAGCCTGAGACCCAAAATCCGAAGCCCAGAACCCAAAAACATGTCTGCAAAATGTCCATTTTTCATTCATTGCACAAATCACCGAGTGTCAAGTGCCGAAATACAAAATTTGAGACCCAGTACACAAATCACCAAGTACCAAGTACTGAGGGCCGAACCCCAAAGTCTGAGGCCCAAAACCTGAAGTCCAAAACCTGAAAACATGTATATAACATATCCATTTTTTAATCATTGCACAAATCACTGAGTGTCGAGTGCCAAAACCCAAAACTTGAAACCCGGTATGCAACATGCCCATTTTTCATTTACATTAAACAAATCATCAAATGCCGAGTGCCAAGGCCTGAACCACAATGTCCAAAGCCTGAAACCCCAAAATATGTATACAACATATCCCAAAACTCGACACCTGGTACACAAATCACCAAGTGCCGAGTGCCAAGGCCCGCGCCCTGATGTCCGAAGCCCAAAACCCAAAACCCAGCAATATGTATACAACATATCAATATTTCACTCATTGCACAAATCACCGAGTGTCGAGTACCGAAACCCGAAACTCGACATCCAGTACACAAATCACCAAGTGCAGAGTGCCAAGTGCCAAGGCCCAAAACCCGACATCTGAAACCCAAATTCCAAAGCCAAAACCCAAAAACATGTATGCAATATTTCCATTTTTTACTCATTGCACAAATCACTGAGTGTTGAGTGCCAAAACCTGAAACTCAAAACCTGGTGTGCAACATGTCCATTTTTCACTCATTGCATAAAACACCAAGTGTCAAATGCTGAAACCTGAAACTCAAAACCTGGTGTGCAACATGCCCATTTTTCATTTACATTAAACAAATCATTGAGTGCTGAGTGCCAAGGCCTGAAACCCAAAAACATGTATGCAACATGTCCATTTTTCATTTATGGCACAAACCACTGAGTGCCGAGTGCTGAAACACAATACCCAGTGCTACAAATGGACATGAATTCTGTATTTGTATGTATTATCCATTGATGTAGGGTTTAAACAACTTGGGGATTGTATTGACTACCGAGTGTCGGTACTTTGGACTCGGGACTCGCTAGCCAATATAGGCAAAGATAATAATAAAAATGGAAGTTGTTGTCCGAGTCTAGGTGAGTGTATTGGTAGTCTTTTCTTGTCCATTGGTTATCATTTGACCAAGATATAAGCTAAAGAAATCCGAAACATCAGCGAGAATGAAAAATGAAAGTTATTTTTATGCTTAACTTCCCTTAATGAAAGTTGTAGTCCAAGTCAAGGTGAGTGTATTGGTAGTCTTTTCTTGTCAATTGGCGATTTCATTACTCAGTGCTTGGTTCTGATACTTGGTACCTGGTGTAATGATAGTTGTGGCACTGGGCTCAAAACTCGTGTTTTTGATACTCACATTAAACAGTATTTGTCTGACGCATCCCTGACATTCCGATCCTGATCCCGATGCCCGACCCCGACCCAAAAGTTTCGGACCCAATGTTTTTGCATCGGACTCATCCTTCCTATGTCCTGTCTAGTCGTATCTATCCCCACTGGTGCATATTTACTCGTTTTCGCATTATTGAATATTACAGACAGTGTTATTACATGTAAGCATAGACCATTGCACTTTTGACATTTTTCATGATTTTCAGTATCTTGCCCTTGCATCCATGATCCAACCTTTTAATATATAATGAGCATAGCTTATATTATTGCCTCTTATGACCAAGATCAGCTCACAATAGGCTGGAGTTTGTGAGCTAGTGTGCATACTTGCCATTTCTCCTGATAAGGGGCCCATACCTTCAAAACATTGAATCTCCATGATCAGAAACCTGGAGTGCATTTAAAATATATTAAGTATCATAGACATAAATTTACAGACAAATTCACCAAGAATTGAGTACTAAGGAAGTGAAATAGATAAGAAATGGAGTGTGGGAAACTTCAAAGACCCAAAGCATCGAAAATGGTCAGTGAAGCAATAATAGGACTTTAATGCTGAGTCAACTCATGTTTTTACTATATCCCTTCCATCCACCCCCTACCCTCAAGGCAGTAGGCAGTATGGGTTCCTTATGTAGTTTACAATCAATCCTACATATTTTTAATAAAATCTTTGGCCTGAATCATTTATAAATGTGACTTTGTAAAAATATGTCTATTGTCACATTTCACACATATGCCTGTCATTACATCAATCCTTCATGGATCTTTCTAAACTATTAGGGCTATTATAATGGACATATATGGGTGTTATTCCAGGTCTCTGATCCCATCACAGGCTTGTCATGTTGGATATCTCAACATAATGTGCAAGTCTTGCTATTAATATTCATTCTTTTATCTTTATGCTCACTCACTGCACACATGTACAAATGCACACCTCATCTTTACATCATTGCTAACATGCCATACAAATATATAATCCTCATACCTGCATCATCCTACCTCAGTCTATTTGTTCTCAGACTGAGGTATGACTATACATTCATTATCATACTCGACACTGACTAACATTTAATGTAGTCTTCAAATAATCCCCAATTGACTCCCAATTGACAAGAATGACATGAGTATGAAAATCAGTGGTTCTGAGCCCAGCACCACAACCATCACTACACTGAGTACCAATACTTAGGACCACCAATACACTCACATAGACTCGGACTACAACCTTCATTAAGAAAGTTAAGCATAATAATAATTTTTTTTTCATTTTTTCATTATCATTTTCCTATATTGACTAGCGAGTCCCGAGTCCCAACACTCAGTAGTCAATACAATTCCCAAGTTATTTGAACCCTCATCAATGGATAATACATACAAATACAGAATTCATGTCCAGTTGTAGTCATGTGTACCGGGTGTTGAGTTTTGGGTTTTGGTACTCGACACTTGGTGATTTGTGCAGTGAAGGAAATATGGATATGTTGTATACATATGTTTGGGTTTCAGGCTTTGGGTTTCAGGCTTTTGATGTCAGGCCTCAGCACTCAGCACTCAGCACTTGGTGATTTATGTACCAGGTCTCAAGTTTTGTGTTTTGGCACTCAATACTTGGTGATGTGTGCAATGAGTGAAATATTGATATGTTATATACATATTTTCAGGTTTCAGGCTTCAGGTTTCAGGCTTTGGACGTCGGGTTTTGGGCCTCAGCACTTGGCACTCGGCACTTGGTGATTTTTGTACCGTGCTTCGAGTTTTGGGTTTTGGCACTTGACACTCAGTGATTTGTGCAATGAGTGAAATATGGATATGTTGTATACATATTTTGGGGTTTCAGGCTTCGGGTTTCAGGCTTCGGACATTGTGGCTCAGGCCTTGGCACTTGGCATTCGATGATTTGTTTAATGTAAATGAAAAATGGGCATGTTGCATACCGGGTTTCAAGTTTTGGGTTTTGGCACTCGACACTCAGTGATTTGTGCAATGATTAAAAAATGGATATGTTATATACATGTTTTCAGGTTTTGGACTTCAGGTTTTGGGCCTCAGACTTTGGGGTTCGGCCCTCAGTACTCGGTACTTGGTGATTTGTATACTGGGTCTCAAATTTTGTATTTCGGCACTTGACACTTGGTGATTTGTGCAATGAATGAAAAATGGACATTTTGCAGACATGTTTTTGGGTTCTGGGCTTCGGATTTTGGGTCTCAGGCTTTGGGTTTATCAGCACTTGGCACTCGGTGATTTGATAAATGAACTTTCAAGCTTCAGGCTTTGGGTGTTCAGGTGTTCATGTGTTTGGTGTAAGGAAATAGAAATTTCACACATTTTTACGAGTTTCCAGTTTCCAGTCTTGGGCTTCAGGTGTTTGGATGTCTGGAATGGATGTTGCACAATGGGATTCGGTTTTTGGACATCTGGGACTTGGTAATCCGTGAATGTCAGACAGATATCTCACTACCTCGGCCCACCTGTCTATATAATGAATATTCCACCACTCCCTCGGCCCATCTGTCTACAAAATAATTCCAGTATGTTGGCCCACCTGTCTATATAATACATATTCCACCGCTCCCTTGGCCCACCCGTGTACAAAATAATTCCTGTATGTCAGCCCACCCATCTATACAATAAACCATTACATCGGCCCACCTGACATCTTTGAGGATATATATAATATCAACATAGATGGGCCCACCTGTCTCCATTGGAAATAATATCCCTCCCAGCCCATCCATCAATATCGGGGATATACATAACATCGGCCCATAGTCCGCTGGCCCATCTTATACAGGATATTATGTAGGTCGGGTGACCCATATAATACGGAATTTGTCACTGAAGGGGCTCATGCAGTTTACATTCAATGTTGGATGTTCAGCCATATATGAATGCTGAAGGTAAACTGCATTCATTTAATGGTGCTAACATCTGACATTGAATGTAAACTGTGTTCGTTTAATGGTACTGGGGTTCTTCACCATTATTGAAGCCCAGTACCATTAAGTGAATGCAGTTTACCTTCAGCATTCATAGATGGCTGAACATCCAACATTAAATGTAAACTCATTCACTTAATGGTACTGGAGTTCTTTGCCACTATTGAAGCCCAAGTACCATTAAGTGAATGCAGTTTACCTTCAGCATTCATGGATGGCTGAATGTCTGGCATTGAATGTAAACTGCATTCATTTAATGGAACTGGGGTTCTTTGCTATTATTGAAGCCCAGTACCATTAGGTGAATGCAGTTTACCTTCAGCATTTGTAGATAGTTTGAAAAGGTGAACACTCCACCACAACTATCTATTCAACATTTACATCACTGTCATACCCTAGGCCTCAAGACTAGACTGTAAAACTCTGTATCCTGTAATACTTCCCTTGTCATAGGTATTGTTATTGAAAACTATATCAAATAAGATCACATGGTGAGAAAATTAAATTACATAAGCTAGATCTTAGATCTTCTCCAATTTAGTCAAATCATGTGATGATGTTTGGATCAAATGAAAATTTAAATGTTCGAAAACTGATTGATCCAATCATCTACTATCCTGTTGCCATGTCAAACACAATGAACATCGAGTTGATGAAGTTGCATCAATTAATCACTTCTAAGATAGATGAAATCATGAGCTTGGATCCCTCTGCACCACCAGTCTTCAAGGATGGTGTTCTTCAGTCTCATCTCTTGTAGAAGACTAGGTGGGTACTTATTCCATTATTTTAACACTCTTACTTAGTAGTCTAGGATGAGGCTTCACTTACAGCTCAAATCCTGCAGGTCAAGTGAGCCAAGGACTAATTATGACCGACCAACATCCTCAATTTCAGATTATGAAATTGTGCATTAATGTCATTATCAATCTTCCCCATCCCATTCGGATGCCAGATTTCATTGCCATCAACCTTCCTAAGTGCTTCTCTATTTTCAAGAGGCTTGACAGTGCACAGTAACTCAGCACACTTCCCACAGCTCAGAGCAGAGTTGATTCCACAAAAGTCAGCAAAAAGTGAATAGATGATAGGCTGCGCTTGGTTAGGCCAAATGCAGTCAGTGGAATTATATTATATTAAATTGTGTACCTTTAGCTTTGAATGCTCATTTGATAAATTCTTTGTTGCAGTTTTCTTCAAAGACTTCAACTCGGACCCAAACTTGCTACTAAACTCCAAGAACTTTCAGACTTTCGACAACATCCTTTGTCACCCTTAGCTGCTCTGTGAGTATTTTTTTTGTCACAAACAACTCATCAGTCATGTTGGACAGCTGCTGGTTCTCTGCAATGAGCTGAGCAATTGTTGTATGAAGACTCGAGCCATTATCATACCCATGGTCCATTGGCAAAAGACTGCTTTGCTGGAAGCTCATCTGTGCTGCTATTTGTTGGTTATGGTTACCAGGCACTGGATACAGCTGTTGAAAACTATTGTGTAGAGTATCACCTTGAGGTTCGACCATCCCTGAGTGTGATGAAAATTCTCTGTAAGAAAATAGAGTGAGAGATGTGTGTCCAAGTTAAAGAGTTCCCTCCTGTGATGGTTGATTTGAATGACAAAAATTTTGCACAGATGTGAGGTGCATTCGCATTCTGGACAGCATCTGTAGAGGAACCATGTATGGGTATGATGAAGGGGTCTTGACATCTGGTGAGTGCATGTGCTTTTGGTGGTCTAGAGTCTCATCATTAACATGTTCTTGGAAGGATGAGTATGTGGGATCAGGCTTTTGTTTGAATGTGAGTAGCATATTATGATTTAGTTTTGAATGATGCACTTACTGCAATGGATTGCTCTCAGCACAGAATATCTGACTGGCTGGTGGGGCCATGACTGGGTTGTGATGTGCCCCAGATTTGGCTGTGCACAGGGTAGGTACCTGTTATGTCTTGTTGTGCATGCTCTGTGCTCATTTGTGGATAGTTCAACATAACAGGGGCACCACTTGGGCGTCTCTGACTCGGAGCACCTTTGGGCATGCACATCGTGGAGGGAGAGCAGCAAAGAGGTGAAAAACCCTCCAGAATGTGGAGGATCCTGGATTCCTAGGTCAGCCTGCTGCACCATATAGTACATACTTCTTGTCTGTATATATATCATAATCTGATCCACTTTCACTTGAAAACCCAACCATAATCTGATGTGTAAATCATTCAAATTGATGTTAAACCTAAGGTCTGCTTAACACGCAGGCGACAAACCCGCATCTGGAAATCTCGTTGTTTCATACTTGGTTTTACCTGTCAAAACTGAACCTTTTTGTATCTGCATTGGTGTGCTTTGCCTTGATTTGCATGCTATGCTTTGTGTGTATTTACAGGCTATATTTGTACTCTATGCAGATCCATTTATTTTCTCATTTCCACAGTGACTGTGCCCATACCTCCTGCATCTCAGACAAATGTTCCTTAAGATGGGTTTTGAATTTCTTCTCTTCTACAAAGTATAATCATCCCATTGAGAAGCTTGGGTCTACTTCATCAGTAAAAATAGCCTGCCTTTTCAAGCGAAAATTGACATCAATAGCTATAAATAATAAATATAGCCATCTAAGCCTGATTAACACCTAATCTGGTTCAAATATGAAGAAGCTTACTGTTTGGCTTTCAGCACTTCTTTCCAGTCTAAGGGCAGGTTTTTGCCAGGTTGTGGGCAAGCCAGACAGAGGACAGCACATTCACCCTCTTTAATACCACTCATGCCAGCTGGATTGTAACCATGACCAAACTGTTTCAGCATCTTTAGGTCTCACCACTTGCAAACCATACACATGAAGGATTCCTAGCAATCCTGAATTGGAGGCACTTTAGTTCATGCAAGATCAGAAATTCAGAGTAGACAATCACAAACCTTCTTAAGCAAACCTGTATTGTTGGATATGTGAACCAGTGAGTGATAGAACCCATATGCAGAGGCCTTGGACTCAAAAGAGAGAATCTGGTAATGTTGCAAGATTTGGAAAGTTGCTGCAGGTGATGTATCATGCTCTATTGGTTACTGACAGTGGGGGACAAGTGATATATCATTGATACATCATAAGTCTATGCCTATGGTTTATAGGTGTAGATATATACTACCCTTCCACTACAATGACAGGTAATTGATACATCATAATGACATTATCACCTGCAACACCATCTGCTGCTCTTCTCAGTTGGTGCCACCATACTGGTTTTCATTCCTTAACTTAATCAGCATCCCTGAGTTGCCTAGATTGCATTGCAACATGACTAGCATAGAGCCACTTGAAGGACACAGTATACACATTGGAGGAATATTAGATGGGGTATTTTTTTTTTTTGAAAAATGATGCCTTCATTGGCTGTGAATAGTCAGGAAACTCTGCTCATACTTGTTCCTTTGATTTTGTAGGGTCTGTTTTTCTTGCCTTAGTCAAATGAGTCCCAGAGGGACTCCTTTCCCCAAAATGATGTCATCTTGCCTATATTTTTACTTAGCTTACCTAAAGTTGCCTTTGTGTCTCGCGCGGTTCTGAATAAAATAATCTATAACTTGAATGAACCGGGTGTTCCTTGTGACTTAGGAAGTCCAAGACATAGAGTGAAGTTTAGCGCTCATAACTCATTAGCAGCGAACGTTGGCTATTACCCATTCAAGCAGGTATGGTATGGTATGATTTTAATATATCTAGTTTTCTCGGACCGCAAGACAATATATCGTCAGCCATCGACAAGGTTATGAGATAAACATGGTTGTCGTACCACATGATGCAGTCGTAAGCAGCTAAGAGATAACTTTTTGTGGGTTAATCAGATGTATCAGGCACTATTACTCACCAGCAGTGGCGCCCAAACCACTGAGACTTTGACAACTCAGCATTCTGACTGATCGTGCTAGTATAGCTTTAAAAGACAGTGGATGAACAGGAATTATATCACATTGTTGTCGGACCTGCAAAGGAAAGAATTGCAAATGATGATGGTCCGTCCAGGATGTTGAGACATGAGATGTATGAGCAAGACGACAACAATAAGTACAGAGCATTTAGTAACGCTTATTATGCAAGAAGTCAGGGCATCCGAATCATTGCTGCAAGGACATATTGTTCCATGATATGTTCAGTGTGACGAAGACCCTGATGCCGCGCCTGTCTCTTCTTTCTGAGTCTGTTGTGCCAGCAGTCGCCTGAGGATGATTGATTAATTAGCCAAAGGAATTGACTCAAGGATAGAGACGAACTGTCTGGCGGCCAAAATCATTCGTGCTTTCCTTTCCTGCAAACTAGCCTCACGCTTCTCCGACGTGTCCTCCCAGTTGGCTTTACCGGTGTCAGGATGATCTTCAGGTGAGAAAGTGGAAGATAGTGCTCGGTCTTGTAGCTTGTAACGGGATATAAGATTTTCTTTCGGGGTTGGTGCTAAACTTGTCGATTGCCCTTGAGGAGCAATTTGCCGGAGTTGTGGGGAAACCTCTGCACGAGAATAAACAGTGAAATATGCTGGAGGAGGCTACAAAAGAGAATGCTTGAATCCATGAGAGTTATATCAAGTGAGATATCTACACACCGCATCAAGATATCCACGCTCGAGAATTTTATTTGAGGTAATCTCGACGCTCCCTGTCCTCAGCAAGTCATAACGGATGTTATCTCTGTGACAATGGTAAGCCAATAATCCGGCGGTAAGGTATCAACATACTGTGGTATGGTCGGAAACATGGAATGTATCTGATTGACCTGCGAGGGATTCAGCATAATGACTCAACGTAAAAAGTTTCAGACCAACCATTTCCTGCGTCACATTCTTTGGCCTGAAGCCAAGAGCTGAAGATGCTGACCTGCTGGAAGAGTCGCTGGCTGCTGAAGAAACTTGTTAGAAGCGTAGATATTAGTAGAATCGATAGCTCGTCACTTACATGAAGTTGCCCATCGGAATATAATGACGATAACTGCAAAAGCAACGATAGCGTTTACGACCTCGCTCATTGAAAGAAACCACGGATGACGATGCTGCGAGAACTTCGAAACGGATTGACGTGAAAGCTTTAATGCGCTGTCGGTGGCAGTGTTCGTTTTGCCGATCGGAATCCGGGTAGAGCCCGGACCGAAGCGGTCCATCCCAACGGGCTGTGATTACTACTAGTCAAATACTTCCTATCAGCTGGCTGCACTTAACCTGTTCCCTTTGTTTTTGCGATGTATCAGCAGGGAACACGTCGCCGCATTGCACTGCTCATATGCGATGTACCTGTTGATACCATTCGGGAGCAGCACGGGGACTATACAAGGATTTTCGGAGCCTTGCTAGAAGAATCACTGAAGCCCATTAATGAGATTCATCCAGCTGGTTAGTCGGACATTTATTTACGAATCTGCTACAAGGCTCAATCTCACATCACTGAAACAGACTCGCAAACGACGTTCACACTTGAGCCTTTCGACGTGCGCGCGCAGATTTACCCTAGAGAGGATGAATACAATGCAATACTAATCACCGGCTCTGGTGCGTAGAGACATACGCATGCTCATGCCATGAGTATGAATCTTGCTCCTGTCATGTGCAGCATCTACTGCCCACGAATACGAACAGCCAGGTAGAGAATGGATGAAAAAGTTGATTGAGTATGTGAGGTTTGTCGCGACAGAGAAACCACAGATAAAGATTTTTGGTCAATGAAAGCTTACATTTCATACATTCCACAAGTACTGACAATCGTTTAACAGGCATATGCTTTGGACATCAGATCGTCGCGCTTGCCATGGGCGGGACATGTGTTCGCAATACTCGTTTCGAAGTTTCTGCGACGAAGCTTCAATTGACTGAGCTCGGAAAGAGAGTGTACGGCGTCGAATCAGGCGTATTGGTTAGATATCTTTATTTTCTATTGCTACCGTACTTATTCTCTTTTTCGAGAACATTCATCTAATGAATCGCGACCATGTTCCCACCAAGCCGCCATCATTCCATGTTCTCGCTTCATCTAGCCAATCGCCGAATCACGGGATGGTTCTCTTTTCCGAGCCAGACTCCCAAAAGGATGCACCGCACTCAAATTTCTGCCTGACCGACATTCATATCCTCACCAGTCAAGGCCACCCCGAATTCACGGAGTCCATAATGCGTCTACTTCTTCACATGCGGCGAGAGCTTCTGGGCCCTGAACTTGTTTGTGACGGTGAGAGTCGTGCAGGCAATCAGAATGATGGAGTTGCGATCATTGGAAAGGCCATATGGGGTATTATGGGAGTAGAATGAGCAATGTATCCTGAAGCTAGGCTCGTGACCAGAAATTGACGCATATGGTCAGACTGCTCACGAGTCTATCCTGAAGCCATCACTGGCAGGTGTAACGGAATGTATCGGAAACTCCAGGCCTGTACAGGTTCAGCTTGCTTGGGAAGCTCATATCTGCTTGTCATTTACGCTATTCATTTGGATATATCTCATCATAGCCAGTTCACAGATCTGAGGACTTATTCTTTACAACTATTCGTGTTATGATACAAAGGGGCCGTGGGTAATGAAGACTTATTGTCCTCAGTCTAAGCTAGCCTGATGTAGATAGTACATGTAGTATGGTATGGCGAAGGAGTATTGGAGGTTGGTCTATGACGAAAACTTGGTTGAAAATACGAAGAGACATAGGTATCGAACTAAGGCCAAGCGCTGATGTGCTTGCCCCCCCTATCTAATTGACATACTTGGGCTCGATCAAAGAACCATGATATAATGCGATCGTTAGTGCAACGGGGACATGGGGTAAGGACCTGAGACAGACGAGAATTTAGCTTCGAACTTCGAACAACTATCAATGTGATATGCGTCATGATTCCATGGAACCGCTCGAGAAGTTCAATAGATACATTCATGCCCAAACCCATCTCATTGGGGTCTCTTGAGCGACTCAGACAGATTTGAGCACAGTAATATTCAAGGGTGCCACCTAGAATTCGAGTCCAGTTTGTTACTATACATGTAGTTGTTATTTTGTAGCTGGCGCAGCCCCAAATCAATGTGACTCAGCGATATCCCACCCGCGAGCAAGCTAGCCAGAATTCACTGCCCCCTTCTTCGCACCACCCCAATGGACCAAGGTCACACTCTGCGCAGATCAGGAACTTGAGCTTTTTTGCTGCAGCTGCTAGCATTCCGTCAGCAGGGCACGCGAATAAATGGAAACCAGTGATATACAGATACTGACCATCTTGCTGGACAGGCCTTGTAAAGCCAATGTTCTCAAATTCCATCATATTCGGACTCACCAGCCACCATTGCGCAGTCCCAGGTGTAGTTGGCAATGCTGGCAGGTCTGGGTGAAGAGGCCCCTTTTCGTTATCGAGCTAACGACATCACTGAGTGACGTCGATTGTATGGATTAATCAGAAACGAGTCGGACCTCGACACCATCATGCTCCACCCATCGGCCGACACCCGCTTTCAATATTACGCTACCGCATCCGTTACGGGGACAGAGAAGGTCGAATTTGTGTGTTAATTCTCCAAGATCAATATTGCGCGACGTAACAACCGCAAGTATGCCTTCATTGAAATCAGATAGTTTGCGAATTGTGGAGCGGTCTCCAACATTCGAAGGGCGTTTCAATGCTTCCAGAGCACCGGGAGGTAGAGACTGATTTGACATGATGATTGCGTGTCGTGGTACTAAGTAGCTGAACCTTGGTAGAGATTTGAAAAATGCCGAGTTATTATATGATCACCTGATCATTGATAAGATAAGATAAGATAAGATAAGATGCTGCTAATAAAATTATGCTTAATTGGCCAGGCCGTCGCTTTTATTCCATTTTTATGTGTTTTGCTAATTTATATGGTTTTTTGTTTCTTAAATTTATGAAGCTGAGATGCGCAGGAAGTTTCAGCCTTCAACGCGTTTTTATTTCACGTGATGTGACATGTGACCTGCGGCGGCGGGCAGGCCCTCGGCAAGTTGCCCGACTCCCGCGCAGCTGCGAAACTTTGTAATATCGACAGCTCTCAGAGTCTCAGAGAGCTCCTTCAAAGTCTTTCTTCCTTTTCAACACCCATTCATACACTCCGCTAGAGGGGCCCTGGAGTCCCACCTCTGTACACAAACCATGTCCTCTGCGAAACTGACATCTCTCGCTACCTCAACACTTTCTCTCCTGCTCGAACGGCAGCGCCTCCAGGCCTCCCACCCCACTTTACATCTGCAAACAATATCAACCAATTTACAAAAGATTAGGGATGGGGTCATGACCCTTCGCTCCACTTCCGATGATGAGGCTGCAGAAAATCTTAGAGCACACTACGAACGGCTGTGCGGTATGTTTGGGGAAGAAGCAGAGAAGGCTGGGCTACACACGTGTGTTGTGTCTTCCATGATAAAAAATGTTTTCTCAAATCTTACACAAGTATACCCCCTCCGATGCCACCGTCACCCCCACCTCTACCTGAACGCGTTCCAAGTCCTGAGACAATCTACCAACCATACACCGACGATCCCTCGCCGGATACAGATGAAAATGGAATTTTGATGCAACAGAGGCAGATGATGGATGGTAAAGCTCAAGCTCGCCACCAAAAACGATTTTTAATATTTAATTTAATAGCGCAAGATGCTCACCTTGACCACCTTTCTTCTTCAATTGGTCGACAGCATCACATTTCACTCCAGATAGGCGACGAACTCGAGGTACACACAGGACTTCTTGATGCCCTAGACACTGAGCTCGACGGTACCGGTGCCCGCATGTCCAATGCGAGACGCAAGCTTGAACGTGTTGCTCAAGGCGCGAAACGAAATGGTAACTCCTATCAATGATGACCTGCGGACGTTCAATGCTCATTTATTGGCCTTAGGCTCTACAGTCACAATTGCTCTTCTCATACTAATACTCCTCATCCTCATTGTAGTGTTCAAGACCTGATGAGGGCTATATTCATGTATCGCGCACATCCTACCTACGGTGAGACTTATTGAAAGGGACTTTCTATCTGCTGGCAGTATTATACCTTTGTGTTAATATTTTTCTCATATCGCTCGCTCAGACCTAGTGTTGACGGACTTGTCAAGGACAATATTAATGTCAAAATGCAACTGCTCATCATAAGCTACAGGATACAATGTACGATAGAAAACCTATAACTCTAGGTGTTAATGAGGGTGTCTACCAAGATAATCTTATAGCAAGTAACATTGGGCATTCCGTGAAGACAGACCTTGCTCTGATCCTAGAGATTAACTCTTAGAAGAAATGACTATATGTGACTCGTGTATCAAGTTGGAGGACCCGGGTTTTACCTTTCTTCTCACGCCACTACTAGTACACGCTCCTGCGGCAAACTTGAAACAACTACTACATACTGACCTTAGGATAATCGTCAATATTCAGAGTACACATCCACTACCTGCGTCCTCGTTGCATAGCTAGCATCCTGAATGGGTGTCGCTGGTAGCCGTATCAATCAATCACTATCGTAAGTGATCGATTTTCTATACTCTTGCAATTGAAATGCTCCAAATTTGAGTCTGTTTCGGATACACAGGCCCGTTAAACTCATGCATCATGATGCAAACATGCCGATCAAGTTGATGATGGACCATTTCCTTGCCTCTTCCATCGAACCTCATGTGCTGTGACTTAATCATATCTACACACATGCAACACATCCGCTTTCAAACATGGTACCAGGATGCCTCGGACTTTCTCCCTTCATTTTTTCTCAGTTATTTGTCGGCTGGCATGCCGACAGTAAACATTGGATGTCTTAGCAGCTTTGAACTAAGGGATACGGGTTCGTGTCTTGAATTGGCGTACTCGACTCAAATTATGAAGATTACGACTGGGGGTGGTCACAGTCCTCTGCTCTGCGGGAAGATTGTGAAGGGTATGATGACTGTTCCCATCTTCAAGTTCAGCTATCTACCACTTCAATCTCTGCACGCAAGCAACGTGGCAGTGATAAGATGATATCACTGCATAGATATGGAAATCTCAGATTCTCCGACCGGTACTAAGTGTTTCTCTTTCTTACTACCAATCTGAACCATGGATACAGAAGCCGCTTTATGATCAACTATTTAGGACGACGCGAGCAACGCGGTGATTCGTGCTATGGTGTCTTCCCCGCTGGGTTTGGGATGGTTCCCTGCCAGTGCATCAGTGGCATCGACATAATGATCAGTTTTTGCAAGTCTTCATGAACTTATCTTCTGGATTCTCTAAGAAATTCCCAGTTCACATCTTCTACCTCGTAATTGCACGAGGATTGAGTATCTGAACTTCAACCCTTGACGCGACGCCAACGAATAAAAGCGTTTGCGAAGGTAGAGCGTTCTTCAGAAAGATGGAGTCCCTTCTCAAAATACTACTCATTCTCTCGCCTCCTATTGCGATGCACGTAACATTCACGCCTCCCCCTATCCCCACGGGTGACCATGATGCCCATAATAAATTCATTGAGTGGATTCTTCTTCAAGATGCTGACTACGGTCTACCGATTACAAAGGTAGCTGATCATTTATTTTCAAGATCAGCTCTAACGAAACTATCAGGCAATTTCATGGACTATTGCTTTTACAGAACTCGCTATCACTACCTCACATGCTATGGACACCAACATTTTCATTTTTCCCAACGGGTTACAAGCGGTAATTGGCTCACTCCGTGCAATTCAAGACGTTCCCGTCACTTCCCCTTTCCTTTTTGGCACCTCACTTATTGTCATTGGGACATTCATCCGCTGGCGGTGTTTTCGCAACCGTGGTCAGTTTTTCACATTCGAGCTCAGTGTTCGCAAAGGACACCAGGTCATCACGAATAGACCGTACGGGGTGGTCCGTCATCTATCTCACGCGAGAGCTGTTCTGCTGTCCATTGGCCAGTTTATATTGCACGGATCACTGTCTTCATTGGTCAGACGCTCAAGGATTTCAAACGTACCTGCGTTGAAAGCGATTGCGGTGGTAGCGCTGATGGGGAGAATGATTGTTATAGTATGCCTCATCATCAAGATCAGGCACGAGGATCAAATGGTCAGGTCAATTTCCAGGAGCGGAAGAAGTGGACCAAGGCAGCCAAGTGCCACCTCATTCGGGACGTGATTTGTCCGGAAAAAAGCGATCACTTGAGGGACACGACATCAATGGCCTGGAAATTATTGAAGAAATCAGGCATCGCAAGAAGTACCTTGTCTCCGATGACGACGATGAATCAGAGGACGTTGACCGGCGCGCCATGCTGTGGTAATGAACAATAGTTTTTCTTACCAATATACTAACATCGTTTTATATAGATTTCAATTTCGCGCTGCATGCAACGAGTTTTTTTAATCTTGTGTTGTGCCCATCTCTTTGTACCGTCGCATTTCGCTAATTCTCATTTCATCTAATTTAATCCTTGTTTCCATGCATTTGACGTTTCGCCCCTTCTTACTATTTTCACCACTTTGTCACACTTTGCATGCATTGTTTACTCTATTTTCAACCACTTTTGCGTACTTGGTCATTGGACAATGTGATGCCCTTTGCTCCATTATCACTACTGTTTTCACCGGTCAATACCTGACAAGGGCTATAGAATTAAGAGGGCGAGTGTTTTTTTTTTTCAAAAAATTTCCGTCGTTGTGAATTATAAACGGTTCCTTTGAGAAACCCGATCGAACCAAGAAACATGAGAATAAATGTAAATTCCGAATGAAAAATAGACTCGAGGTTTTACTGATGGTTTCAGCCTAGGTGAAACGAGTTGAACATTTGATACAAAGAAACTACCGTAGTCCTCCTTGTACAGTACGGTAGTAGTACCAGGGGTGCTTACCAGAACAAATTTGAGGCTGTTTGTCAAGTTCGAAAACAGACTTCTGACACAGCCGCGCTTGTCAAGAGACCAAACAGCACGTTACCTAAGGCTACTACGGCAGTTTACTTTCATCCTTCAACTTCCACATTCTCTCGGTTGGTTCTCTGCGTTGGCTGTTGACGGGCGACTACGCAAAAGTTGAGTCGCTCGCGTCTCAGTGTATAGTACTGAGCGTGAGCCTGCAATTCTCACTCGAGGCGCTTATCGAACATCTCACGAGCGCACGGCAGAACGCGTCTTTCTTTTCTATCGTTCTTCCGATTATTTTGATTCACCTTACAGTCTCTCAACTTGATACCTTGTTACCTATTGATTCCAGTGTCGTATTGTGTCACCACAGTATCAAAATTAACCCTGCTTGCTGGAACCACTCCACATTGATCAACAATGTCCCCACCTACGAGTTCGACATCTTCATCTTCAATCACTGGTCCTAGTGGTCAGAACCCGCATCCAATGCTGGAGAACAACGAAGAGAAGAATAGCGTAGTTATCAAAGTTGGGATGGTTGGAGACTCTCAGATTGGCAAGACGAGTCTCATGGTCAAGTATGTAGAAGGCAGCTTTGATGAGGATTATATCCAGACACTTGGTGAGGACCCGTTACCTCTCGTATTGTGCTTGTCATCCTAATGATCTGGGCCGCAGGTGTCAACTTCATGGAGAAAACGATTTCTGTCCGGCGTACCACCATCACATTCTCAATATGGGATTTGGGTGGCCAGCGAGAGTTCGTCAACATGCTGCCGCTTGTCTGTAATGATGCTGTGGCGATCCTATTCATGTTCGATCTTTCTCGAAAGTCAACGCTGAATTCAGTGAAGGAGTGGTACCGCCAGGCTCGAGGATTCAACAAGGTTTGTTCTTATTTGATAGGATATTGTTATTGCTTATTGCCTATATCAGACTGCTATACCATTTCTCATTGGCACGAAATTTGATACGTTTGCCACGTTCCCAAGAGACGAGCAGGAGGAGATTACCAAGCAGGTACGTCTTTACATCATTTCAATGATGCGATCTCGTAATCAATTTGATTAGGCAAAACGATTCGCTCGTGCGATGCATGCTTCGCTGGTTTTCTGTTCGACATCTGCGTCGATAAACGTTCAAAAGATCTTCAAAATTGTGCTCGCCAAGGCATTTGATCTCAAATGCGTCATTCCCGAGATTGAGGGCGTTGGGGAACCCATTCTGATATACGTGGATGTGTAATAATCGAATATTGACTCGGGCGACTGAAGTTTTGGAACTGAAGGGGGTCTGGATTCTGCGGGTACCAGGCGAACAAAGGTAATGTGATGTCTCGTGGTTTTGACGAAAAGGTGGTTTACGTCCATGTTCGCGTAGGTTGTGTCAATGCACTGCTTCTTTTGAGGCATTCCATTGTATCACACTTTGACCAACATTCTCGATGCAGATGCCCCGACATACGCAGTTTGCGGATCATTTAACGTGCAGAAACTGGAAGACTTCAAGTTCAGCCATTTCCCCTTCGTCTTTCCTTTTGATCAGTCGTTTTATCTTATCACACCAGTCACCGAAAATCACACCGCTTCCCTCCACAATCCCTGGAAATACCATTGTCATTTACGCTGTCGCCTGCTCTTGTCCTTGGTCCTCCACGCAAGTTACCTTGTTATTGGATCACCCCATTCTCATTTTTCCACTTACCTAGTTACAGAACCAAACTCACCTGAACTGCTGCCTTCTTACACTCGTTTAAGTCCTGGTATTTCCGGAGGCAGTGCCCTGTACTTTTTCCATGCTCAATACACACTCACCATGTCTTAATTTTTTCCGTATGGTAATTTGTTATTTAAATCCTCCTCGATGCACCACAGGATAGTCGCAGAAAGGCAGGTTGAAACTCATTAATATTTAAATGGAGTGCAGATCTGAGTTGGTGTTGCTGATTCAATAATAATAATGGGTTCTCAAACCTTTGAAATCTGTTTTACACTGTACTCATCCATGTCCATATTACTAAGCCTTTACTGCTCGCACTGTCAACATGTATGGCTAGGTCCAACAGTTTACTCGTGCTAAAAGTTTATTGTGGTGTACTATCATAAACTTTTTATGACTAGATAAGCACCAAACAGAAAAGCCTGTATTATACAGGAAATTGACATGCCGTTGACTCCACTGATTTGAAAGAAAAAGCGCAACAAAACCATACGGACGACGAAAACAAAAACGACGAGTGTATGCGAATGTATAAATACATGACAGGGACGAAAAAATCTTTCGAGCGCGCCAGTGCACTACAAATAATAAATAATCATTGCGGGCGCTTAACCCATTGCGTGTCCATAGTTGACGCTCTCGCTAAGGTGCTCATTGGCGGGATTGTACGTGAATCCCCTAAACTGTTCTTGCACGGTAGACGAAAGAGCAGAGTCCTCAACAACGGAGTCTTGAGGATCCTCGTTAGTGAAGTCCGGGTCAAAGTTAGCCACATCGAGTACGGATTCCTAGAAGCACATTTCTGGGTATAGCAAAGAAGAAAAAGACCGAAGTTACTCACAACACTTGGCTTGAACGGAGGTTGAATCTTTTTGTGGAGGAGCCTAGTGTAATTCATGAGTGACGTAAAACTAGTCGAATGATAAGATACGTGCCTGTTCCAGTCAACATATTTGGCGAAGAAAGGATGGCGCTTGATCTCTTCACCACCATTTGCCCCCAGGCGTCGGGCAGGGTCACGCTGGAGGAGACCGATCATGACGCTCCTGGCCTCTGATGGCATATCCGAAGGGAATTGAAGTGGGTCACTGAGGATGCGTTGATACATCACATTGACATTCTCGTCATAGAAAGGGGGTAATCCCGTCTGTGATTTTCACCATTATAATTATGGTCAGAGACAAGTGTTTCGAAGGACCTACCATCATCTCATAGAGCAAGACACCAAGCGTCCACCAGTCAACCGTCTTCGTGTATCCCTGGCTCTCGAGTAGCTCTGGAGCAATGTACTCTGGTGTGCCACAGAACGCTATAACGACCGGTTATATAATTCCATTTGAAATCAAAGTCATTCTCACTGTTTGTTTTCTCTGTCTCTGACATGTTGAGCTTACAAAGACCTGACCGGACGACAATCAGCACATCAACCCCCAGATTGTAATGCACCTACCAAAATCACAAAGAGCGATATGACCTGTGTAATCGAGCAGTATATTTTCAGGCTTCAGGTCGCTATGGGACCATCAGCGAAATGGCGCAGCTACCCGCATTAAGAACGCACCGGTAAACTACGTTAAATCCGTGCAGATGCTCGAGTGCACATAGAAGTTCTGCGGCGTAAAATCGGCTGCGATCCTGATCAAATTTACCTTCCCTCTGTAAATGATAGAAGAGTTCTCCGCCATTTACTGCGCAGACATAAGCTGTCACCAACTTGATAAAGGTAAAAATACTCACCAAATGACATTACGAGGTATAACTTGTCAGGATTTTGGAAAGAAAATTTGAGTGGGACGATAAATGGATTGTTGACCAGCGCCAGGACCGTCCGCTCAGCCAATATATGTGTGATTTCGCCGGGGCGTGACGCGATATGGGCTTTTCGAATCGTCTTGAGAGCATATATCCGCTGCGTATCTTTTTTGCGCACTTGCATGACTTTACCAAAGCTCCCTTTGCCAATCACTTTCAACAGATCAAATGCGTCAATAGTCAAAGACTCATTCCTTATTGGTCTGTAGTCGATTTTGAGGTGAAATGAGCCACTGCCAGCGGTGGCAATGTACCATTGATCTGAAGCATGCTAAATGCAAAGTGCGGTAATCAGGGAAAAGCACGGTCTCAAAAAAGTGAACTTACGTGTCCGTCAAGTACAGGAGTAAGATCTACACGGGCCATGAGTAGGTCGTTACCCATATCTTCTTGGCTATGTACCGCGGCAGCGGTTCGAAGATATGACGAGACTGATATTGTCGATGTGCGGGACACGTCACTAGTGACATAGATAATTAGAGATGTCTGAGTTATCGCGCATAAACTACACACAAGTCTGCCCGGTATGACCACACAGGGTTGGCTAGATCTCCGCCCATGGCGTCTATCAGAACTTGATTGTTGTCGAACTCGAGAACAACATATGGAAGCCACCACAATCGCTTTCTTTGCATACTTTCGCGGTTGCTGCTCGACCTTCGTGCAGGTGGGTTGTCTAGTGCTTTTTGGATGACCTCTGGGACGTGCACGCCAGGTGCTAAGGAGAGACCGCGTCCTGTATATATGTGACATCATAGTGTATTTAGAATAGTACTGTTCAATGGTGGGACAGTGGCCTTACCGGAGAAGATACGAATCGTGAGCATACCAGATCGAAGATGAGCTTGCTGGTCGAGAGCACCAGGAGGCTTGGGAGTCGTCGGCCGCGACGGTATCGGTGTGACGGATCGTGAGACGACGCCATTTTCTTTGGAGTCCTTCGACTCTGTGTGGTAGTCAGGATATGAGATCTCATGGAAAACAGCGACCGGTAGATGGGAGATCAACAAAGGAGTCCGGCGCGCATGAACTTACTTTTGGAAGTGCCTAGTTTCCAGGACATGTTGGATGTAAGGAAACAAGGTTAAGTACGAATTGATCTGTGAGAAGGGATGAAAAGACGTAGTAGGGGCGGTGATGGACCGGTCTGGGGACTCCAGTAGCCTATGAGTAACTTATGTGGCTCAAGATAAGATCTTTATACATAAGCAGATTCAGAAGTAAACAGCCTTCTTGTAGTAATTCACCATGATCAATGTCGCCGTTAGATATCCTCCGTCACAGCATTTACAATATTAATACTACTGTTCTTCTCATGACCTTCATCAAGTGAGCACAGCCTGGAATCGATGCATCATAACATTGCCCCACGCCATCATTTAATGTGGGCATGTAAACTATGACCAGTGTCGTAACAGTAAAAAATTTCGATGCACCCGTGTGCAATGTGTCTTTCAACTAAACAGCTATGATGATCAAACACAAACTACTCTTCTGAAAGTAAGATGCCTTTAGCACGAAGCCTTCGCCATTGTCCCCGATCTGCTCATTTGCTACATATTCGAGGGTGTCTGATGATAAGATCCGTCCATCAACAGATGGCCCATCACGTTGAGTCTCTATGTCGCCAACCATCGTGAAATAGAATTACAGCGAGAAGCTCCTCCGCATGCGCTTTCAGGACTGTTGCGGACTGGCCGTAAGGGTCCTTTCGTGTAGCTTGGCTGTCCAATTCCATCGAAATCTTGCTTGAGCATGTCAAGTCTATCAATGACGACATAGTGGTGCCGAGCTTTAATAGCTCGGCAGCACCCGCGCATTCAACCTGAAACATGTGCAATGCTTGAGCGTTAATGCCCCTAGTGACGTTCTGGTAAGATACAGGTCGAGGAGAAGAGTCATCTCTTCCCACACGTAGGTACATTTAGTACGGATCTGTAACAAAAATAGTATGACTCTCTGACATTGACATTGAAATTGAATCCACATCCGGACCGAGAAATGCTCACCAACTATTGCGGGGTTCAGATCGAGAGCAGCTTCTTCGAAATGTGGAATACGGGGGGGAAATGCCTCCCCGCTCGATGTCTATCACATGGCGCAAAAATTGAAATCGAGCCCAGAACCTGAGAAGCGATGAAAGCTCGGTCACGAGATAGATGCCCAGCCCTCACCTGAACCATTGCTCTAAAAGGTTGTCCAGGGCATCAATGTGTGGTGCTACCCACGTTGTGCATTTGTGATATCGTGTGTCACAAGATATCCGCTTGAATAAGTTTGATGGTCGCATCCAAACAAGTGCTTGTTGGATTCCAATGGCTAAAGGCCATATTGTAGCTTCGAGGCTAAGGTCCACGTCTTTAAAAATTAAGACTCCGTGATCCAGTCGAAGCAATACAGGTCAGTAAAGCCTGCATGTCGCATTGTCCAAGCAAGTTTTTCATTGTTTGATCAGCTCCGTTGGCATGGGCTCGTGACATGAAGTGATGTCACCCAGTATTATATATAACTTTTATATATTAGAATCATTGATATCTCAGCTGTATGCACTGAACGTACGAGGTAGATGGATGCTTCATGTCCATCTCCGAAAGAAAAACCTCATGGTCAGTTGGTATCCTGACAGGAATTAATAAGAACATGAGTGACTAGTTGATTGTCGAGAAGTCATAACTCACAGGCACAATGAGATCCTGTACACTATGACTGAGCTTCCATAGAGCTGTACGTCGTGTTTCGTTCCATGATTGTATTGAATGGCCGGGCGTGTCTAACTTTGTCAATGAACTTATCGATTCTCTTGGCTCTTTCGTTATTTCAACTTGAACTATAATGTCGTAGTCAGTGGGAACTCTGACGACAACGTGAAGAAGGAAATGGCGAGTTCCCTAGACATACTGATTTTAATGTTCTTGGCATAATTGACCTGTCAGGTGATGAAGATGCAGATTCGGAAGACAAATTATATTTTTGGGGTTACGCTTGACTTGTTCCACCATTGGGTAGGTAGCATGTACAGGTGCAGTTCGTGCTTTGCGCAATGCGCGGAGTCAAACAACTGCAGTAAGCATTAGCATAACATTTAATTGTCGGTAATAAAAAATAAAAAATAGAAATCCAAAAAGATCCTACAAGTGCATTAAGGGGGAATCGAACCCCCGGCGGGTCGATGGCAACGACCCAGGTTACCACTACCCCATTAATGCGATGGAAACAAAGCGCCTAATGACGTATATCATTATAATAATAGTACATCATGACACATCCATCCTTTGTGCTCTTAAAATGAAGAAATGGTTTGGCTGTATCCTCCAGTGGTCCTAAACTGTGCTACGACCCGTCCACCATAATTCACTATCACATCTCTCTCCCTACCTGCAATGTTCTGATCCACGGTAAAGGTTGCCGTCGCTGGCCTGCCATCATTCCACGCAAAGTCGAGGGCGACCCCCCCACGTATGCGCGCGCCCTTGATTTCACCAGTGGACCACGTGGGAGGAAGAGCAGGTAGGAGCGTAACATGGAGTGGAACGTTGATATTCGCAATGTCAGGAGCTTGTAGCAGTGCATTCTATCGATTTGAATTCGAGGTTCAGCTGCACATTTCCCACACAAAATGACTTCAATATCTTACCAAAACAGCGGCAGGATATCCCAAATTCGCATCGATCTGAAAAATTCCATCAAACGTGTACAAGGAAAACAGGTTGGGCGCAAAATTTCTCTCGATGGTGTGCTGCACTGGATTAGCATCAGCGGCATGATATAATCGCTAATTCTCACAGTAAGTTCTTTGTAAAATTCAGTCTCGTTGGCAAGTTGCGCCCACGCCGCAGCCCTCCAAACTTTTTCCCATCCTGCATCCGCATCGGGACCTCTTCCAATGCCTCTATGGAATAAACTGGTTTCCGCAGCATTCAAAATTTGTTCTTTGGTATAGCGCATGAAAGTCCCGTTGACAATAAGACCACCTTGTAATTCAGGGGAATAAGATGCTATCGCATAACCGGGGTACAACTAGTGAAGGTTGTAAGCTCGAGATGATGGATGTAAAACAAGGGCCTACGCCAATCAGATGACTAAGATGCCTGTGAGTGTCGTCCGGCGTATCCATGTCGACTTTCCACTCTGAATATAGCGTCAATATATCGTGCATACACAGAGGACAAGACAAAAACCTTGCAGTTGGCCCCATCGTCCGATACGCAGCCCTTTGTCCATCTGCTGGCGTTTGGAAATGACCGCTGTGCATTTCATGAGTAAAAGGCAACACGGATGGTAGACGGTTTCCCACCATCTAGAAATGCAATGTCTGTATCACCAGCTGCCTCGAAACCGTTCTCGATTGTATTGAAGAGCTGCCAGATCAGCTGCTGAGCATGTGCGCAACCTGGCCATGGTCAGCAATATTCAAAAAATTTCAGAGTCTAGCTGACCGAGAGTAATAGGGACCTGCTCTGGTGAATTGCAAGGTGCGGTAACAAGGGTCGAATCATTGAAGTGCAAGTCCTCGATGAGCTTCTCTAGATGGAAGCTGGCAACAGACTGTACAAAATTCAGTTAACCGCGGCTTCCAAAGTCCCATAGTGGAGCACCTTGACTAGTGGCCATCCTTGTGTCTTCCACCATTGTACATCATTGGTGTGGTCAAAATGATCCCATGCATGTATCATCTATAATGGAACTAATTGAGCTCGCTCCAGACACAACAAAGAATAAATACCATCCAAGCATTAGATTCTAAGGACATAAACATAGGCACTCATTCAGTAAGAAAACTAAGAAGGGTCGTGGTACCTGGATAGTTGGCCCATTGAGCAGAGTTCCCGCCAAGTTTCATACCGGTATGGCCAAAGATCTGTTGCAAAAGTTCATGCATTCAATTCTAGAACAAGTCCGCAGACGCACATTCATTTCACCGTGTGTCACAAATCCTTCACTAATGTTGTACAGAACCTGCGCAGTGTACGCGCCGCGAGGTCCCCACGTATTCTGCAAAAGAGAGAAAACGGTCAGCTTCGGCCAAGTGCTCAAGTAAGGTCTCTAGTTACCTCAATATAGTCAAAGAGTGAGTGAGTCACATCTAGATTAGACATTTCGGCAGCCCAATAGTTCATTTGGATATTGATATTGGAATCTAGTCGTGAAATAAGGATACCTTCTTCTATGGAGGTAAGGTACTTACGATAATCTGTTATTAGTTGGTCAGAATCACAGTTAACATATGCATCAAATCACTCACCGGCGCCCCAAGGGTTCGAATACCCATCAGCCCACAAACCCTGTAAATTTGCAGGCAGGGTGCCCCTAGCACTGCTAGCTAGGAGATATCTTCCATAGTTGAACAGAACCCATTCCAAGTAAGCGTCCCCAACAGAAGTTTGGTATCTAGCAAGAATTTGATCAGTGGGGGTATTGAGATCCGGAGTCTGTCCCAAGGAAAGTGAGAAGGGGGAAACGAGGGAAGTATAGTCTTTGATGTGCCCATTCAGCATCTCGGCATAAGATGTACGATTGGCGGACGAAAGCAACGCGACAAGATTGTTGTGTGGATCTGGTCCTTGAAAAGAATAGTTAGCAGCTACGTTTCCAGCAGTCATGTCATAGTTCGTTCCTCCAACCCAGCTGATCCACACCTCGGATGCACCAAGGACAGTTAAAGTAGCATTAGGTGGTGATGCCCCAGGTACCGTAGAACACGAGACCAAGCCGCCAGGTGCCTGCGCCTGCGCGAGAATCTCATAAAGCATGCCAGGGATGGAGACGTAGTTCCTGATACTCAGTGTAGTATCATCCAAGCAGGTAACATTCGGAGCTGGAAGGCCATCGACCCCGGCAACAGTGTAGGCGTAAGTCACAGCTGGAAGGACGTGAGAAGTCGTGCTGTTCAGGTATTGTACACATGCTTGAAGAGGGTGGGAGCAGAAAGATTCTCTGAGAGTGATGTTCAGACAGCTTCTTGACACGGGCAAGGAAAGACAAACCGGAGAAAAGTAGTGCTTCCATCAGACCAGGTAGTACGGGATACCGCTTCGTCCAAGTCCAACCACCTTGCATAATTCGAAACTGAGCCAGTCGAATCCAAAGTTGCGACCAAGTGTCCTGCGCTGGCGTATGAACCTGTTAAAAAATGCGCGGGTCACCCATTGAAAACGGTGAGCATAGATAGTGGGTATGCGAGAATTCGCTCAAGAAAATTGTGTCCGCCTACCATACGTGTCACCAGGTGTCATGATCTCGTCGATATCTTCATAGTGGAATGAGGAAAGCTGCGCGACTACACTAAAAACTTAGATACGTACTATCGATTGTCCCTGTAGGGCTAGAAAAAATAGCTTCGCGAATGTTCTTCATTTTCACAGCTATTTTAGATTGCTGGGAAGGCATGTGATTGCCCCCATTGTACGACTATGTGAAGGATCAGTACGTCGGCATCCTGTACATCGGAAGGCTTTTAGAGTGGGACACGTACGGGATCCTGGAAGGGACCTCCCGACCACAGGGACTCAATGTTAAGCTGTGTGACCTCTTGGCCAGTGCCACCAGGTAACATCGCTGTGCACATTTGGATGTCATTTGGTGATCACAGTCACTATGAACAAAAATTACTCACCACCCAAGTACCCATTCCCGATGGGCAAAAATTCTTGAACCCATATCGTCCCAGGTGCGGTGTACCAGAGGCCATTACCAGAACTCGGAAAGGTAGCAGGCGCAGAAGGCACCGAGGAGACATATGTCACAATGCCCAAAGCGCTCAGTAAGCGTCCTTGGACTGAGTATGGGATGAGTCCATGAAGACTCGTAGAAGCTTGGAGAAGGTAGGCCCAGAAGAATTTCCCAAGGACTTGAAAGACCTCCATCTTTGCTAGTCACTTCTAAACTTGCGAAGTGATCGAACAGCTAAGATTCGTCCGGACGTTTATTTCGCAATTCCTTTCCTAATGATAGGAAAGCTAGAGGGCAATGCACATGAGACTCAGGATGAGCACAGTAAACACCAGTAGAAGCGAACGATTTTTTTGGAACGCGCGGTCAGTAAATCATCTATTACAGCCTGAGGTGTTTGGAGATCTATGTGAAAAGTTACACGTTGAAGGTCACACAATTGCTTGCGCTATTTTTAGCCACATTCATCACAGTGCAGATTACGGCGGAGAACAACATCGCATTAATGGGGTAGTGGTAACCTGGGTCGTTGCCATCGACCCGCCGGGGGTTCGATTCCCCCTTAATGCACAGTGATTGTAATTTTTGTGCTATTTTTCTCGTTTTTATGATCGCAGCAAGCAACTAATACACCCATCTTACTTGCAGTCCTTCGGCAGTGCAGATAATCTTTAGATTCACAGCAAGTACATAGCAAGGCAACATAGTCCACTATGCAACTTTGACCCCACCCCATGCAACCTTCTGTCCAGTCGTCCTCGGTGCGCCCTCTCCTTTTGAGACATCAGCACTCTTTTTCTGAACCTGAGGAGGAGCTGTACGTGGTGGTAATGGTGATGCTTTGATACCGTCAAGTACGCGCGCTGCATGTTCCGAATTACGAATGAACCACCCTGCATATCGCCGGCCAACCGTTGACTCAGCGATGTGGACCATATTCTAGATGATTTCGTGAGTTCACCAAAGTGAATGAGATGAATAAGATAACAAACCTGGTCTATCACAAAGTTCAAGTCGCTTATGGACATCCACTCGCCACTAAGTAAACTCTCAGAAGGTCTTGGTCCTTCATCATTGTCCTTCTCGCCATTCGCAGCAGTACCACCAGTATTCACGCGTCCAACACACCGTCCAGCGTTTTTCATGACCATCATCCAACTCAACACCTCCTCTTCGTCTACACCGGCACCGGATGTATCCAGGAAGCCAGTAAGCTTCTTTGCATCAAGGCTTGTGTAGAGCTTCAGGAGACTCTTAAGGCTCGAGACTGGTGTAAGCGACATGAAATGAGATGTCGTGGCCCGGAGGTGTCGCTGGGTCGGATCACCAAGGACTACGCTAGGGCTCTGCGAGGATGTCGAGGTCGGCGTGGGTGGGATGAGCATCGAAGCGAGCGCAGTAGGGTCATCATATGGCGGGGAGTTGGCACAAATGAATTTGGGACAAGCATACAAGAATAACTCTTCAACTGTCGACAGACCTTCCTCGCTAAATGAATTGAAAAAAGTGAGTGACCGCACTTGGATGGTAGTGTCAGACACATACCCTCGGCCCATACGTCCAATTTGGTCACCGTATCGCTCGCGCACAATATTCATTACATTGTCATCAAGCCTGGTCGGCGCAAGCACATGGCAAAGGGCAAGCAGAGCATACATCCGATCTGCGGTTTTGTTAATCTAACAAGGAGTGAGCATAAACAGCAGAAAAACATAAGCACATGGGAGCCCGCACCTGATCATATTGGTAGCTGCGAGTGTGATATTGCCGCGCACGCATCACCCAGGTAAGAACGCCAGTGAAAACACGAGCTGCATCAGGAATTCTTCGTAACATAAAGTAACATACACCAGAATGATAGGCAGTAGACACGTGTACAGCCGTAGGCGCGGTGAAGGGAGCCTTTTGGCCGAGGCCGACGTTTTCCATGACCTTCAAGGCAAGCGTAAAATCACCAAGGAGAACATGCACGCGCAGAAGGCCGATTATGGAGAAATATCCAAGCATGCGATACAAAGGCTTCGTTCCGTATTCACCAACTATTTCTCTAGCAGAAGAATTGGTCAATACAAGCAGACTTTAAAGTGAATCGACATACTCAATTTCCTCATCACTTTTCCCCTCTGCACGTGCTTTCAGCCATTCATTCACGCGACTCTTTTGGATAAGGGAATACAAGACATTAAGCACGGAATACGAACTCCAAGCTTGGGCACCGCCTTCTGAGCCTAGCATGGCAAGTTCATCATCAGTTTTTGACGCAGGACGCGAGCGGAAAAGAGCGAATGATTGGAACTGGTAGATGAACTCGTCAATAATGTCCCACAACCAGTTTGCAGGGAGGGATAAAGGCACGGGACCGTCGGAGTCTAACAAATATCATCAAGAGAATGATCGGAATACCGTTTTGGCACGTACTAAGGAGGTAGTTAAAGAGCTCGCAGCTATTCTCATATGAGTGGAACCGGTCGTCGACGTTGGGTTGAAGTCTTGAGTACACGTGTCGGTAATACAGTTCACGATACAAGATGAGGAAGATCTGATCATCGTTGACCAATGGTGCAATAGTTTCTGCTTCTGGCCACTCCGTTTTTGCGTAGTATTTCTCGGTAAGGCGAGTCCAGCCTGACTCGTAAGCGAGAGTTACCTCCTGGAGGTTATTATCCAAGACAGCTTGGTGAAAATGGACGATAAACTACGGGTTGTTGAACATAAGATCATGAACTAATCGATATAATACTCACGCGCTTTACAACGTCCGGAATTTGTGCAAATGCAGCTTGCTGCGCGATGTGCTGTTGCATTGCTTGCAAGGAGCCTTCGTCGAGCTGAAGATTTGGGTCATCGTACATTTCATTAGTTGACGAGGGCATCGGAATAGGGATGTCGACATCTGTATCGTTGATGTCATCGTCAAGATCTGGCTCGGCAGCCCATAATGCAACGCGTTGATGAGCCATAGTTTTTTCTGCTTCAAGGACGCCTTTGACAGTGAGCAAGACAGAAACTTTTGGGTTTGCGGATTTTGCCGCAACAAAGTCGGCTTTCCTCATTAGGCGACCAGACTTTCAGAGCACTAGGTAGTACGCAGCTCCGTCACTTTTCCAGTCAGCGCGGTTCATCCTACAAGTTCGTACTTCCAAGATGCCTCCACGACCGATGAATGATGAGGAGGTCCTGAGTGAGATGAATAAGATGGTACGTCTGTGCATGGTCTCGCATATATATGATGCCGATGCCCTATCCTCCTCGGTTGAAATATAAACGGTATCTAACATCATAGCTCGTGTGCATAGGTTGCTTTCATCAAGCAGGAGGCTCTGGAAAAAGCGCGCGAGATCAAAGTGAAAGCTGACGAGGAGTTTGCTATCGAGAAGGTACGCAGCGTTGCTCCACTCTGTAGTCCTTCATGTGCAATGGATGTCTGTCTTTAAAGGCAAAACTCGTGAAGCAAGAACAACAAGCTATTGATGCACAATTTGAGAAGAAGCGCAAGGGTGCTGAGGTCGCACAGAAGATGTATGTTACCTGATTCCCCTGATATTCGAATGACATACTGATCGCCTAGTGTCATTCAGCGCACAGTCTAACTTGACCAACAAATCACGATTGAAGCTTCTACAGCGTCGTGAGGAGCAACTGCAGGAACTATTTTCTATCGCTCGGACATCGATTCTAACATTCGCTGAAGATGAGGGGCGTTACTCTCAGTTCCTCGAAAGCTCTGTCGTGCAAGGCTTTCTCCAGCTCATGGACACAAGCGTCATATTGCATGTTCGTGAACAGGATGCCGATATTGTGCGAAAGGCAGCAGAAGGAGCTGTAGATTCATATGGTCAGATCAGCGGGCGCGAGGTGTCGTTTGAGTTGGAGACGACTCTGAGCAAAGATTGGTAAGTCGGTGGACTTTCCTGGGGTGCCATTCTCTCAACAGACACATTCTAGTGCGGGCGGTGTCAAACTTATGAATAGCTCGCGACGAATTACCATCGACAACACGTTGGATGAGCGACTAAGACTTCTGGAGGACAAGGTCGGTCTCACTGAATGATGTGTTCATCCTCGTTTAACATACTTTTGTAGATGCTCCCCGAGATTAGAAGAGACTTGTTTGGGCCAAATGAGAACAGGAAGTTCTACACATGAGCTCACCATACTCCAGACTCGTGCACCCGCCAACAGGCTATTCTAGACACGATAGGAATACATCCATTCTTGACTATCAAGTAGAGATAAAAATCTACCGAGTTACTGTGCAGCAGAATACATGCATTTTATTGCAATATTTGTCCAAATATGATTGGAGTGTTATACTGGGGAGGATTATAGCCCTCAAGTCACTATATAGCTAGAGATAACACATACATTCTAGATCGAGGAAATAACAAAAGAAGAGTACGCATAACATACGAAAGCGAACCCTGACGTAGTACCTGTCCTACCCTTGCTGTTTATTCCCCTTTCTCTTCTTCGCCGAAGCTACTCCCTCTTTTGACATATCCGCCTGGTTAAACCGCATTCCGAACTTTCCCGCCTGCTTTTTCCCAGTCCTCAGCAACGCGCGCTTCGCCTCGCTGTCTGGCCAATTGTTTAAATCAAAATACGAAGGCGCATATTCGAGGAGCCTGTCAGAATGTCAGTGGAAATACACGGAGACGATGCCTGAGGACGTACCATTCTGGTCGCACATCCGTAACAGTCCGTACATAAGGTCTCGTCGTGAGCACGAATTCATTGAAAATCACCCACTCCGGCTGCGTGTCCAGCCCGCATGATGGATGCAGTGCCACGACCTACCGCAAAAATAAAAACCATTGGCATACCAAATTACCTGGAGCTGCCATAACGCACCTGGTTATCTTTCACAGTCACATAATTCCCCTTCTCTCCTCCTTCTTTATGCGCAACTTGCATGAAAAACCCACAACACAACGCCTGCCTAATCGCCATAAACATCTTCTTCTGATCTTGCACGCTGACGAGCTCCACCTCAAACCGCTCCATCGTCCGTTTCAGCTGCTCACGTACGTTGTCTGCTTGCATCAGCGCCCGAGCGGAGAGGTAGTTGTTCCAGGTCCAGTTTTTGTCGTATTGATCTAGGGGTAGATGTAAGTGAACATGCATGTATATAGAAGAGGATAACTTGCTTTGAATGTAATTATTGTATACGTTGAGAAGTGTGAGATGATCACCATCAGGGACGGTAAGCAGCGCCTTTGCAGCATCTGCTTCTTTTCGCTGGTTATTCGGCCGCAGCCATACATTTGGTACTGCAAGAGCGTCAAATAAGAGTATATGTCAAGGCTGAGTGCGCACCTGATAACATTGCGGTGATCGTCAAGATTTCATTGCTACACTTGAACTCCGGGCTGGCGATTAACATCTTCGAGAGCTAGGAACGTGCGTCAGAACCGTGGAGAACAAATCCATCACCAAAACAATCGCCTACCTGTGGATCCAAAGGGAATTCAGCCATGATACTCCCCAATGCCGTTAGGTTTCCATCATCATCCAACGCAGCGAGGTAATTCAACAGCTCCAGTGCTCTCATTAGCGTCTCTGGCGCCGGGGCATCCACGTAATCAAACTTGACAAGATCCTACACATATGTCAGCCCATCTGAAAACATCCACCCTCACGTCACGCTCACCTTGATCCCCGCCTTAACAAGTTCCAGCACCGTATTCGCCAAATTACTCCTCAAAATTTCTGGGTGCGTCTGTTCCTCGAGCTCCGACATGAAGTCCTTCTCCGTGTACAACCTAAAGCATTTGCCTGGTCTCGTTCTCCCGGCCCGGCCTGCACGCTGCTGTGCTGACGCCTTGGAGATCGGACTCACGAGTAAGCTCTCCACACGGATGCGTGGGTTATACACTTTTTGCTTGGAAAATCCTGGGTCGACGACGTACACGATCCCATCGATCGTCAGCGACGTCTCCGCAATGTTGGTGCTGATTACAACCTTGCGTCCTGGGGGGCCGTCCGGACTGCCTGCTTTTGGTGGCGGGTCAAAGATGCGTTGCTGTTGTTGCGGCGGTAGTGACGAGTACAGTGGGATGCACATGATGGGGCCTACAGACTCGGGGTCAGAGTTGATTAGGTCATCCGCCTCGGCCTTGATTTTCCGACACGCATCCTCTATCTCCTCCTCACCCGTCAGGAACAATAGGATATCACCTGGCTCCTCAGCGCGATGGATCATGAGCACCGTGCGGATGGCAGCCTCGACATAGTCTGGCTCCGGCTCCTGAGTGTAGAACACTTCGACGGGGTGGGTACGACCTGGCACCTTAAAAAGCGGGGCGGGGGTGCCGCCAGAGACAGCGAAGTACTTCTGAAACTTCAGAGCATCTAGAGTGGCAGACATGATGATGAGTTTGAGGTCTGAACGACGTTGGGCAAGGGTTTTGAGGATACCCATGAGGATGTCGGTAGCGAGGGTACGTTCGTGGGCTTCGTCGAGGATGATAGTAGAGTAGCGGTTGAGATCAGGGTCGTTCATGGCTTCACGGAGGAGCATTCCATCGGTCATGTATTTAAGAAAGGTGGTACCGGGTTCGGTCATATCTTCGAAACGTATTGAATAACCGACCTGTCGACCGAGTGAAACTAAGGAAAGAAAAGAGCTCAGAATGTGATCAATGTACAAAGAAAAGGAGCCCAACCGTCCATCTCATCCGCTACACGCTTGGCCACAGACATGGCAGCGACTCTGCGGGGCTGGGTACATGCCACCATTTTGTTCTTGGTATGCGGAAGATCAGAGTAGGTGACGAACTGGGGTATTCTATCAGTGACAAAAAGAGTCTATAAGTGACTGTTCAAAAATGACAAGGGAGAATATTTGTCTTGGGGGTACCAACTTACTGCGTGGTCTTGCCTGAGCCGGTCTCGCCGACCATAACAATGATTTGGTGTTTGTTGAACTATACATGCAAGTCGGAGTGAATGGTGTGAGATAGAAAGAGGAGCTTACTATTTTGTAGAACTCAGTCATCTGTGCAAACACAGGAAGCTTTTTACGAGCTTCCAATATCTTTTTGTATTGTGCAGTATGAGGCTGCTTTGTGAAAGGGTTTAAATCATGTTCCTGAGCAAATTAACAAGTCAGCTAGCCAATACCAATGCTAAGTATTGAAAGGACATACCAATGCCTGACGGACTTGATCTGCATTGACCATCCGGGGTACAAAACCATAGAGAGGCTCTCTCGAGGAGGGGCTGGCGCCATTGAGAGTGCTTGCGCTCAAAGTAGCTCGTTCAGTGGGATGTCGGTGGGCAAGGTATGGGTTATCCTTTGGCATTGTCATGTTTGCGGGCCCGGGGAAAAATAGTACAAGTACAACCTTGAAGGTCGTGGTTCTCTCATCAGGGTTACATAATCATAAATTCCCGCCCATTCTCGCTCTCGAATCAGGGCCTCTTATTTATGACTGGTCTCGTTTATCCGTCATCAGGGATGCACAGCGTGGCAATCGCACTAGGCTCGAACCTTGGTGATCGATTCGCCAACATCGAAGCCGCGTTGCGTTTGATTGAGCAACCCGATAAGCTGTTGACCAGCGTGGCTGCTAACGCCGTATCGGTAGTGGACACGAGCTTTATGTATGAAACTGCGCCCATGTATGTTACAGACCAGCCAAGATTTGCAAATTGTGCGTGCTTAGTGAGTTCGTCCGTTCAATTACTAGGGCTGTTACTTAGTTGAGGGCCTCTCCCTAGGTCGAGACGAACATGGAGCCGTGGATATTATTGAAATTACTTAAAAGTATTGAATTGACAGTAGGAAGAGTGCCCTCTATTCAAAATGGACCTCGTGCGGTTGACTTGGATATAATATTATACGACAACGAGATCATCGATACTCGTGCTGAAGGCCAGAGAAACACCCTTGATGGCCTGGCCGGTGAACTTGTCGTACCACATCCTCGCATGGCAGAACGAGAATTCGTTTTACGTCCTCTAGTCGAGTAAGTGTACGAGCATTGGCTATCGGCGACAACTAAATTTGCAAAATTAGCATGATCCCAGAAGTGCTGCATCCAGTTTATAAGAAATCGATGCGCGCACTTCTAGGTGACGTTATCAGGCAGTCGAACGTCGACTTTCCAATGCTTAAAGTTACCCCTTTCGCCGATTATCCGATCGCAGAAACAGGACAGCTCCCGGGCATCCATCAGGTACCCTCTATGCGAAGGTACTGGACCACCCATTGTTCAGACGACATCCAGCGACCAACGAAAGTGAGGCTGATGGCAACTTTGAATGCGACTCCAGATTCATTCTCGGACGGTTCTGTTAATAATACATTGTCAGCTGCTCTGACTTACTCTACGACATCCGTACGAGCAGGTGCCGATATTATCGATATAGGGGGTTATTCAACTCGTCCGGGAGCAGCATTTGTCTCACCTGAAGAGGAGTGTCAACGCGTAGTGCCTGTAATTCAGGCCATACGGTCACATGAAGATAAGGACGTCAATACCGCTCTTATCTCAATCGATACATTCCGTTGGGAGGTTGCGGAAGCTGCCGTCATGGCTGGCGCAAACTGCATCAATGATGTGTATTCTTTCACAGGTCCTGAGCACCCCATTACGCAAATCTCAGAGAATCATCTCTTGAAAATGCGAGAGGTGGCACGAAAACTCGCTGTTCCTGTCATCTTGATGCATTCACGCGGTGATGCAGGCTCAAACAAAGACTACAGTCAGTACAAGGGCGGAGTTCTAGAAGGTGTTCGGGTTGAACTAGGAGAAAAAGTGGAGGCAATTATTAAAGGCAAAGGCGGAGTGCGGAGGTGGTTCGTTATCGTCGACCCTGGTATCGGTTTCAGCAAGACGGTTGAAGCAAACTGCGTACTGCTTCGTGAAGCTTCTTCTATGACAGCGAAAATTCCCTTGAATCCACTGGCAGGATTCCCACAACTCATCGGAGCGTCTCGGAAGTCGTTTCTCGGCGCAATTTTAGAACGCCCGGATGCCGATGGGACATATAAGGGGAGAAAAACACAGCCGAAAGAACGAGGGTGGGCAACGGCAGCGACCGTGGCTTGTGCTATTCAACAGGGCGCAAGCGTTGTGAGAGTCCATGATGTACAAGATATGCGGGACGTCGTGGCTGTAGCTTCAGCTATCTGGAGTTAACATTTGATTATCACCTTACTACTTATTAGAATGCCCAGATGCGGATAGGACATAGAAGGGGAGAAAAGCTCAGGTGAAAGAACGAGGTGGGCAACGGCAGCGACCGTTGCTTGTGCTATTCAACAGGGCACAAGCGTTGCAAGGTCCATAATGTACAAGATATGTGAGACGTCGTGGTTGTGGCAGCTATCTGGAGTTATCCTTAGCAACTGACTACTTACCAATTGCAATGTACTACTTGCGGTAAATTTGCCGCATAAGATCACATCAGGAAATTCTCACATTCCTTAATCTCCTTAATCAGCTTAACCTACTTATCTCAAAACTTGTTTGCTCTCTCTCACATTATTTACCTGGCATATTTCATATTTCTCTACTAGATGTACCCGAGTGTTCGTGCTTTTTTACGGTCTCGCGTATTGCTCTCGATCCACAACACAAAATAAATATCGGATAGTCATTAGTAGATAGAATACCATCTCAAGAACATGGCCCAAATTTTTATATACTAAAAAATTGATCTGTTGTGTTGCTACAGCATGAGCGAGCACCTCTAGTCAATCTCACCTAGTGTTCGTGCATTCGTCACACTGTGTCACAGGTTGCCGACGTTGCCGATTCGAAGTCCGCTACACTTGCGCTACACATACGCAAGTTCGAGGCGCCCGCTCGACGACAGTAGTAGAAATTCGATAACATGTATGTATATTATTGATTTGAATACAAGTTCTATGTGATATGGTGATGCTACAGTGTGTGTGAGTAGTATGTGCGCGAAGAGTGCTTTGCGGAACACCATAGTAAGTTGCAGTGTTGGAGATTTGAAGCTTCTGGCCGTTACGCTGATTCTCGCGAAGTTTTTGGCAGGCCTTTTGGAGTTTCTCCTCATTGCCTTCACGTGCAACTTTTGACTTGACCATGCATGTCAGGTGCTTTGCTGGTGCCGTGAAAAATCCATTGCGGCATGGCGGGATTTTAAAATGATGTAACGTCTTGTAGTAGATTGTCACGCCAGATATCATATCCTTCACTTGCACATCAATAGTCTTCTAAATCAACCTCGGAAGTTGTCATTTTAGCTAGATATATGTCTGGATCAATGTTCTAAACACTTCCGAGGTTAAGATCGGTGTGAGTCTGCCTTTCCGACACTGATCAGTGTGCAAAATTGTCTCCAAACGGTATATATTGTATCATGACACTTGCACAACACAATGATTTAAAAAATGAAAGACATAGAAATATTCATTGACAATGCAGGATCATTTTATTTCTATATATCTAAATGATTTGTGGTGATTTGCATGTGCTAGCGCAAAAACACGAACACTAGGTGAGCACGAACTCGTGGGTACATCTAGTAGTGTGAAGCATAATAAAACATATATATCAATATACCTCAACATTTCCTTTCTGAATATATTCAAGTTGAAATGTTGGACAAGTAGATCCACCTTTCAACAAGACACTTAAGTGTATTAAGTCTGTTTAAGGACAAATAAAGTAATGTGAGAATTTCCTGATGTTGGTATAGACCACAACTTTAAGGGCATCTGATCCAAATGGCATATAATCTGATGGTGGGTTTTCCGTGCCACCAAATCCTCTTTGCAACATAAGTACCATGGATTGCAGGAAGCGCAACCCCGCAGACCTTTTAGAAGAGCAGCAGCCCAATCGCTCTACCTCATCTGCAGGGACATCTGATAATTCATCAAAGGTGAGCGATTGTAATGTGGGCGATGGGAACAGGCGAAGTGATGCCAAATCGTTGATGCGATGCATGCTTAACCTGGTAGGGATTCGTGTTTGTTGGGGCGAGCGTCTGCTTTGGAAGACCCGATCTTCTGTAGCAGACACAAGAGTGCATTGTTCCATTGGTGCTACATCAATGGAGAACATGAGCAGGGACTACCTCTCAAGGACTGCTTTACTCCTTTTGGTTGTCTTCGGAATGGCATGCATAGAGGTCTACATCAACTGCCAGAGGTCCTAGCAGTAATCCAATGCACTGCTCTTAATCAACAGTTTCCCCTCAGGCCATGGGGTCTGAGTTGTAAGGAAGCCTTTTGCAACCAATCATGAGCTCATTGGAAATCAGAAAGCCAACTTACCTAGTACATGATGAGGTTACTAATTTCCCCTTGACAGATCATAGACAAATGAGGATTGTCCTTCCAGTAAAAATTCATGCAGGACACAGGCCCACAGTACGTATACGTGTAATATGGAATGAACCAAGGTTGAGATGCTAGAGGTCACCACACAAGTGAAAATGACACAAGAATCAATGTACGTTCAGTAAAGTTCAAAGGGATATGTCAAGTGACAAGGAAAAATAATCAGCCACTCAATGCAATTGACATTTCATATATTGTAGCACTATCCCAAGGAGAGCACATCCGTTTACTGCAAGCACCTGTTTACCACACATCCATGTGAAAATTTCAGAGTGAATAAAGAGACGAAGCGTTGGTGAGAAGAAAAGCGAAGACTCGAGATGCTAATCATTTAGAAAAATTTGACAAAACGAACGAGAAATTTGCCAAAGCGCTGAGTTACAGGCTGTTGATCAATTGATCAACCAAGACGAAGCTATAACTCAAAGTCGATGTTACGTAAGTCAGACTGTCGAGACTGTCCTGGAATGCGTCTGTTCACTTAACACGGCCGTTTTATTCGCTGCATACAGCATACCACAGTACTTACTAAATATACAGCTGTATGGCAGCAGCCTAAATTTCGGGTTTGGCGTTCAAACGTACATTCATATGAATGGTTCCCCCGCACGTTTGAATCCTCCAACTGTAAGGGTAACATTTATTATTGCTTGATACTGAAATTCCTTTTGGCGGCCTTTTACATATGTCACTGAATGCCTTTGGATCCTATGCATATATAGCCAGTCGTGCTGGACCCTTCTCAGCACCACGTTCTTTGACATCCCCCACAACTAAACAAGTTTTCAGTTCCAACATCCATACCATGAAACGAGCAGCAGCTTCACTTGTACCAAGGATCAATATTTTGCCATGTATATCCGACCAAGTCGACATCCAAGCGTTCCTTGGAGGAAACAAATCAGTACAAGACCTCGAACAAATGATCACACGAGGACCCGCCTTTACCTTGGCGGACCTAGTACGTAGGCCGTCGCCCGCTGTGAAACTTGAGCTGAATGCAAGCTATTTACTATCAGCATGCATATGTTGATGCACTGAAGAACCTCAAGTCGGGCATCAATGATCGGGAGTTTTTGGTAGGTGCATGTGTCGTCTGTTATTGGATGCAAACTCACGCTGCTTTATGTGTAACTTAGCTAGAAAAACTCTTGATATCGATGTCGCGCCTTCCCGACGACTCAGTATTCGCTAAAGAACTTCAGATTTTCGTAATTGATATCCGTACGTGTAGTCCTTATCGAGAAGGAAAAAGTATGATTCTGATCGGGCGTGTTTAGTTTATAAGGATCTTCCTCACCCGCCTTGCAGCTTCTTGAAGACTCCTGTGACGTCGCCTCTGTCCAGCTCCAGTAGCGTGTCATATGTCTTTCGTAGTGCTAATGGGTCTAATTATTCGATGTCCGTGCCGAACCTTGGTCAAGCAGGCCAACCATATGCGCGATCGGTGCCTTCTACGCACATTTCGTCGCGTCATCCATTACCAGATCCAGGAGAGGTGTTTGATACCCTTCTGTGTCGCCGTCCGAATGACTTCGTCCCGCACCCTGGGGGACTCTCCAGTTTATTCTTCGCATTTGCAGATCTCATCATTCACAGTATATTTGATACAAACTCCCACGATTGGACGATAAACAATGCCAGCAGCTACCTCGACTTGAGTATCCTCTATGGGCACAACGAAGAGCAGGTCGATAGCATACGCAAGAAGGATGGAACCGGTCACATTTGGGCAGATGTTTTTGCTGACAAGCGTCTCTTGTTCATGCCCCCCTCCGTGGGTGCTCTTGCAGTCCTATTTAGTCGTCATCACAATGTCCGTCTTTTTTTCTATTTGCTTAAATGGAGATATGCTTACTCTTCGAACAGTATATTGCGAGCAAGATCCTTAGCCTCAACGAGCGAGGGATATTTGCACGTCCAGAGGTTCTTCAAGAAGCGCAACGTACTGCACAGTGCGATGAGATCTTTCACCGAGCTCGATTGGTCAATACAGCATTCTTCATGCAGATCATCTTGGCGGACTACGTTGGAGGCATTCTTGGTCTTGTCAGAGATGGACTGACTTGGCGATTGAATCCACTTCAGGTCCGGAATTTTTTGTTATACTCACTATTCATTATGACTTTCTTTCAGGGGTTTCGCGAGCAAACGCATGAAGTTTCCAAACGAGGAGATGGGAACGCCGTTTCACTGGAGTTCAATATGCTATATCGTTGGCATGCGGCGATATCGCGTCAAGACGAAGCATGGATTGAACGCACTTTCAAAGATAATCTTGGTAGAGACCCTTCGACTGTATGTGTATCTGTCCTTATGCGGTGTATTGAAAGGTTGTATTTGTTTCCTCAGATTACTGTCGAAGAGTTCAAGGCTGCCGTCCACAGGGATGGTGCTCAAATACCTGACATTCGTAGTTGGACATTCGGCGGGTATGAAATGTTCACTTTGTCATGTATTGCCGGCTGACGAGTTCCAGTCTCACCCGTCAAGAGGATGGTCGATTCAGTGACGCCGATATCGCACGGATTCTACAGGATGCAACGGCCGACAGGGCTTGTGCCTTCCGTGCGAGGGGCGTTCCGGCCGCCATGCGAATTGTGGAGATTTTAGGCATGGAGCAGGCACGAGCCTGGGGCGCTTGTTCAGTAAGTCTAATGTGGGTTGCAAAGACTCAGTGATACTAAGTACTGAATCTTAGCTGAATGAATTTCGCTGCTTCATTGGCTTGAAACGTGAGGCGGTTTTCGCTCCGTTAGTTTTATTGATTTATAATGGGCTTTCAGCATACAAGAGCTTCAGTGAATGGAATCCTGATCCAAAGATCCACGTAGGAATCAATCCCACTGTGTGATTACCCGCATGTTGACAATCAATAGATCGCAGCTGAACGATTGTACGGAGATATTGAAAACCTGGAACTACATGTAAGTCTCGATAACAGCTTTGAACGGTTTGTATTTGCTGATTCATATCAGGTGGGTCTGCAGGCTGAGGAAACAAAACCTCCCATTCCTGGCGCTGGCCTTTGCCCTGGATACACTATCTCTCGTGCCATCCTCGCCGACGCCGTTTGCTTGACTCGTGGAGACAGGTTTCTTACAGTAGACTTCACTCGTGAGTCAACTAATTCTCGGGGCCAAATCGTCATTCGTCGATGCTGAACTTCTCATTGTAGCGTTCAACTTGACAACATGGGGTTACGAGCATTGCATGATCAACAAGGTGGATGGATCCTATGGCGGCATGCTCACCAAGCTTCTCTTTCGCATGCTCCCTGATCACTACCCTGCGGGCTCAGTCTACGCTCACTTCCCTTTCCTGACCCCAGAGTTTCTTGCTTCGAGCATGGCCAAGACGCCCCGTAGCGCCGAAATACGGCATCTTTACAATTGGGACAGGCCTTTGACTGTTCAGCAAGCTGCGTTTGCGGGTGCTGATATGCGCGTTGTCAAAGACTATGAGCGTCGAATTTCGAACTTACAAATGCCCCCGAAAGTACGGAACGAAGCGGTAATGCCCTTTTACACTCTCCATTATCTATTGGTCCTCACTGTTCTCATCATTCAGATCAGAAAGTCTATATCTGATAAAGTTGCTGAATACACCATATCTACTTCGCACTTTGCACACCTTACAAGTGAGCTGATAAGCAAGAGACGCGAAGTTGATAAGCACGTCGACATGATTGAAATCCTGAACCTCCTTCCCGTTTATTGGGTAGGCGATATCATGGTCCGCTCTCTGACACATCAACACAGGCCTCTTAGAGTTGAACTGTTTTTTTTCCGATCAGGTTGGTTTACCATTGATGGAATCATCGTCGCAGGCAACCCCGGAATTTTGGTACAAAGCCTTCTTTACCGTTGCACAGTAAGTCTATCTGCTGTGATTAGCCTCCCATTACTGACGTGTGCATAGCTACTTGTACCTCAATAACGATCCTGCTTCCGACTGGACTCTTCGCGAGAAAGCCACGCGCTCTACCCAGCTAATCATGTTATACCTTGAAGGTCATTTAAAAAGACTCTCTGATGGCATTGTAATTATCCTGCATTACGCTATATGCTTCGCTGCTCAATTGGTGAACCAGATTTCTATCAACGGTGTATGCGATCTTCTGTTTTCAAACCATGTGACATCGCATAAAGGTGAAATGTTCCTCTCGGACGTTCTCAAAGTCACACCGGGGGCTTCGATAGAGGAGATAGCATTGTGTTTATTCGAGGAGATTATCCCTTCTGCAGCCTTGTTCTCTGCAGTCATCGCTTCGGTGGTGAAATACTATCTTCACGCTCAAAATGAAGACTACTCCAAATTTGCTTCCAGTTGTCAAGACAAAGGGTCAGAACAGAGCTCAGCCGTCCTGCGGTATATCTGCAAAGCACTCGGTAAGCTCTCTATATTGGTACGACCTGAGTGGTGTATGGTAATCACATGTTCAGATCTGGACATCGACGTTCGTCTCTAACTTTTCACTTGAAACATGGACTGACTTTAATGAAGATGATGTCGAGTGACAAAGTGAGTCGTCTTAAAGCATCGACGTGGTTCTCCACGAGTCTGGACATCCTTTTAGTTGTCTGTCTTGCGTATCACTCTCGGTGGCCAAGTTATTGCTATTCCAGAGCAAACTGGGTGCGTCTACCAATTACCTGTGTGTCTAGCTTACATAGATATGGTAATCCAGCCTTCTGTCCTGGGATGTCTTCTCAAAGGTAAATGCGGGTGCTTAGTGTTTGACGCGAGACTTCAGAATTTTCCAGATCGCTCCTGGAATCATCTGTAGTATCTTCCGTGCGGGTTCTATTCGTCGGCCTCAGACCATCACCCATAGTAACCGGCCGCGCGTTGACACAGGTAATTTGATTGCGTTGCTGTAGGCTCTTTTCACTCCGTTGAAACAGATAAAACATGGAAGTTCACCGACATCTCCATACCCACTTCAATGGTTGTTGAGGTGAGTGAATACTGCGAATGATAAGACCATCACTCAAAGCAACTGTAGTATGATATTTAATACGGACACTACAACATCCAAAGCTCGTCACTGTATTCCAAGACACAGACACCCACACTGAATGTATTAGCACCACTCGCACTGTTTTACAGAAATCGGTTTGTAGTAATATCAGAAATTGACTGAAGGTGAAACTGTTCATTGCCATAGGTGCGCAGAGTCGAGTCTCGACTATACACGACCTACCGCATGTTTGACTCTACATTTTAACTTGCGCGTATACAATTTCGCTTGCAATGGGTGCACCACATTCTCATCCTTCGCAATCTATAAATTCATTAATTCGCAGATAAAATTATAAGTCTCATCATGCACGACTGTGAACTGGAGGTGAGACAAACCATGACAAGTACTGGGGCGTGGTTATAATACATGGTGACATTTGACAAACCAACAATTAACAATCTGTCACGTTTGATCACTAGTGCGATACCTCCGCGATGAGGAGCAGCAGTTGTTGTCCGGCGTGGAACGTCCGTGTACAAGCCTTTGGGGGAAGGAGTCAAATAAAAAAAATCACTCAAGGGAGTTAGGGACTGGCGGCTCGCTGCGGCTATGATGATTATGCTGTGGTGATCACAGCTGGCTAAGACCAATCATGTAAGATGGACGGGAACCATTCATCGATGAACCTTCATTGAAGATATGTTCCGATAGAACAAAACCTTCACATTTACAGGTCTCAAACCTAGGCATGCGGTCCAAGAAACAGATTTAAATGCTGTTGTAATTAACCACGAAGCTAAGATTAATGAACCTCGCAGTCCGCTTGCATTCATTTTAATGCTCACGAAACATGCCAGGGTCGGAGGCTGGCGGCGCCGGTATAATCGATATACTTGCAATGCAGCCCTGTGCCTTCTGATCATTTAGCGACTAGTACTCGACTTACCTTGATCTCTCGCAATCCATGAACCACCTGATCTGCAGGCAAAATGTCGTATTACAAGTCCCATGATGTAACAAAGTGAACATGACATTATCATAAATGCGACCTCAAAAAAGAAATGCTGATCATAACAAGAGAAGCGTTATTGCGTATTCACAATGCCTGGACGACATTATGGAGAATCGGAAGACCAACAACTGCAGCCAAGGCCACGAGTTGTTTTCCAGATGCAAGTGCGATACTGCGAGGAGCAGCACCAATTACCGCTGAATGTATGGTATAAGTCATGTCACAAATTAGAAGCAAGAAGCTGCTTACGCGAGCTAGTGGTAGTAGACGATGCGGACGAAACTGTCGAAGAAGTGAGGGAAGAAGTTGTCGAAGACCCAGTTGTTGTGGGCCCATTGAAAGTAATTTTAGGACTGCTGGAAGAAGTGGTTCCCGGGAGCACAGTTGACTTGGAAGGAGTAGCGACCGTGACGCTAGTGGGTCCACCACTTCCACCTGCAGAGCTTCCACCACCTGAGCCTCCAGCAGAACATTGGTCAGAGTTTGCGATGCATGTAGTTCCAGTAGGGCAGCCTGTATAGACATTAGCGTCGCTCGTGCAATCGATAGAGAATACGACATACATCCCCCGGTCAAGTCATTACAGCAGGAGTAGCCGGATTCACAGCAACTGTCGTCGGTGCAGCATTCGCTACCAGGGTTGCAGCAGGTAGTTCCATTACACGTTTGCGCGGTACTAGGACAACATCTGCAGCAGCTTTTAGAAAAGAAAAGGCAAATTGATCAAAATATTCTCTCACTCGGAATCGAAGCACTAGTTGTAGTCGGTCAGTTTTGACGATTGGGTCTAAAAAGGTGTGAAAGCACGTACGGTGGTACCATCTGGACAGTTATACGAGTCGTTGCACTGGGCTCAAAACGTTAATTACAGTGGAAAGGTTCATCGTGCAACCTTACACAAAAGTTGCCAATTGGGGCACATGCATCGGGATAGTTGGTACATTGCTCTAGTGCGGGTCAGCGAGTGTTTCCAAATACTGGCGTGTGAATTTCTTACGATATCCGCCAGGACATCCTTGTCGAGCAGCGAACTTTCCTTGCCGAACCAAGAGGGCTGATAGTACAGACTTGGTCAGTACTAGTGACGATGACTTGAAGTGGCGTGGAACTCGTAAGACTGTTGAGGCATCTGCGACAGCGAGCTGAAGATATAAGGAAAGAGATAGGGCGATACACAACAGACGCAGCATGGTGATGGTGGGGATTACAACTAGTGTTCGTCTGTTGTTTGTGCTTTTTATATATATCGAAAAATCAGGTTTTGATTTATCAAGTCAGACGAGTTTTTAGCGAAGGCAGTGAGCCTGTATGACACTCTTGGCAAGGCACCAGGGTGAAAACATTGATAAATCATACAGGCGGTGTACCACGGATCATCGATCAGACCTGACCTATATTATTATGTGGTCAGACGCGGCTGGACCTGTATTCTATAGTGCGTTGTGTTAGAACATGATCAAGTATAACACATTGAACCTAGGCCCTGCTTCAGGCAGTCATGTCAATGGCAGTCGTAGTACAACTTCAACAGTCGTTCAAAAAACTCACCCAAGAGGATCCTGAGCGCTTGAGCAGTGAGGCAGTGCATGAAGGTGGCCAGACCATAGTTAGCATTGTGTTTGATCCGAAGTTAGCAGAAAAAAATGATGTTCACTGATGATGTAAGCTTGTGACCTTGGCAGGCCCATCTCACGGCAATAGTGCAGCATGTCGACCTAGTAGACCCTAATTACACAAAGTTTTGACACGACCCTGGGAGGCATTTACGTTTAGATGGAACTTGAAGCTGAGCGCTGACCACTGTACAAAGTTTAACAATATCAGGTGGACATAGCACCTGTGGACAAACGACCGTCTGAGTCCATGAAATGGATTGCAAAGGTTGAGTTCGCGAGCCAAAACCAAAAACCAATGTCTGCTATCAGTAATAGTATGCGAGTCAATCATCCTATTCCGAGTCCAATATCCACTGACTCTGACATGAATCTTGCCAGGTGACGTTCAACGTTGATGTCATTGCAGGCTGGGCGGGTCTGACGCACATCATCATGGTGCTAACGGGGACATTCGATAATGTCAAACTAGTACGGATATAAATGCTGGAGTCAAACTCGCCAGAGCACAGACTGTGTACTACGGTGAGTCGTCGCTTGAAACGATGTGGTAGTCTATTTACTTATATTTTTGAGTCATCTATACGGGGTCCCGGTGATTGCATCTTCACGAGACATACCAAAGATCTTCTTTCCTTGTGCAGACACCCGGCGTTATCACCGACAAAGCCCGCTGCTCTATCGTATCTTGGCGTCTGATCACATCGGAATGATCCTAGAATGTGACTCGAGTCCTTTGCAACAATAGTACAGGGATAAATACTATTACAATCGGCGTAGAGATACTGTCTGCAGTGGTACCGGTACCGCCAACTCCTTTTCGCCCGGGGCATGCTCGGAGATAGAACGGAACGCAGGCCAACGCTATTCTATCATGGATATGTCGCAGACCACTTCGCCATCGGTGCTTGGAGATAGATCGCACTGATCTCGAGTCGTATTCGCTTCTGGGGCACTTCTATCTTATCACTCCTCCACAACATCAAATCTGCCAGCGACGTGAAATTAAGGCTGTGTGGGAAGAACCACTGATCTACAGTCTACTCCAACCGTTGGATGGCTGGGCTCGCGGTCTTCCCCTGTGCTTGATTGGAACGTTCCATAAACTATTTCAGACGGGCATCCACATCCCGACGGGCCATCAGAACCTAGAGGCCGCATCGTCTTGCCACTACACCCAGCGCGGACTGCATCCGGAAAATGAATGACCATACGGTCATTAGTTCTCCTGTCCAGGCGGCATCTGTTACCGTAATGACTCAAATTTGACACAGCAAAGCGAGCTTGTGACACCACGTAGCCAAAAAGATCACCACTACTGATCATCAGTGACCTGATAAAAGATTCCAAGACAATTTGTGCAACACGCGCTCCGGACTCAAGAGCCCGGCAATGTCATAGCCTATCTATAATATCAATATCCAAAGCATTATTGACAACTACTAAAAAAGTTCTGCAAAAGTCCCGCATTCACGTTCCTCGTTGCACAGCAAGGAATCGGGATGCATGTCGACAACACAAATTTTGTACGACAGTAATGAAAATGATGACGGTGACCACAGCAACGACATAAACACGACATTGTCCAAAAGTCCAAACGCAGGTATATAGGGTAAACAAGTCCAAACTTACAATCTTAACCGTAACCGAACGGTCCTGTCCGATTGACATAGGAGGAGGGGTTGCGCCCTGGTGTGGGAATATGTAAAGACGGACCGGGGCGCATCTGTTGAAAAAGATTGGTTGTGTTCATTGTTCTTCGTTTCCAAGTGTCGTGATGCAAGCTCAAGCTTGCATTCGGGGACCCTGCCCGAGTGAAAGAACATGGTGCCCAGCTTAGTATGAGAAGATCATGAGCCATGGGTTGAGGACGATCTGTATATGCATATTGGTATTAGCATCGATGTTTCGCGTGCGAATGGAGGCAAATAAGGTAGCGAGATGCGCCGAAGCGAAGAAAAGAATGTTCGTGAAGTAAGCCGAAGTGAAGAACGTTGAAAGAAGATCCAATACAATAATGGACGATCGCTCATTCCAATCGTGGAATGGAAGACAAAGTTAACGAGACGTACCGGGAACAGGATATGGCAAGCGCATACAACCATCAACGGGAAGATAACAGCCCACGCATTTCCAGTTAGTCGCCACTGATACGGCACCAGCGGTGTACTGACGATGACGACACCCGCGACCAGTATAGTACATATGAGGAGGGGGAACCAGAATCTATATGGAGAAGAAGAGGCCGTCAGCATTAGATTATATCACATCAAGGGAGCAAGAAAGGAAAAGGCGTGCAAATAAGAGAACAACAAGATGTGCGTGCCACCCGACATGGCACGGCCTTGAATGAATAGGGTGCGGCATTTTGAGTGACAAGTCGATCGAAATGACTGGTTCGCGAAGTGGTACAAGTCGTGCATATGGGCGCACCGCATTGCAGCGGGTACAAGGCATGTTCTCCGATCATCAGAATGTCCGTGTTCAGCACGACGGTGGCAAGGTGCCACCCATATCCGTCCCAGCACCACATACACATGCAGCGCTCAGGCACATGTCGGAGATAAACGCACGAGTCGTCGCTAATCATCTCGGTGAAATGTAGGCGCCAACGCAACGCGCCAATCAATCCAAAACAGAAGCAACACAAAAAGAGATGGAAAAAACAAAACAAAAATCAAAGTAAAAAATGAACGCACCTCCTGAATATCTTCGGAACCTCCTTGAAGAAATTTGATCTCTCGACCTCCTTCTTTGTTGCGCTCCATGAGATGTTATACGAGAACAGATGAGCGAGGATGGCTTGTGAGAGTGGAATACTTAGTCCGCCGAAGAAGAAGAAGCTGTATGGTCGTCAGTTCATGAAATAGAATATGAATAGGGAAGAGGACTCACAAAAACGGAATCCATCCGAAACACTCAATCGCACCGCTTACGATACCTCTCTCCCCCAGCCTGTACTGCAAAAGCACATACCCCAAATTCCCAGCTCCGAAAAATACCACAAAGGTGGCGAGCCAGATCTCGAAACTGTGCATGTAGAAATCGTCGGTGGGGAATTGGAAGCCGAGCATCACATAGTTGATCACGGAGATGGTCGCTGAAGCTGCTATTCCGTCTGTTTCACGTCAGTAATTTGTCTCGTCTTGTACTTTAAGAGGGGACGCACAGTATGAGAACATGTCTATTTGTGATGCAGTCAGTATAAGCATTTAGAGAGTATGAAGGAGGACGTACAAGCCATCATCGAGATCTTGTAATGAAGCGGTGCAGGGCTCCAGATGAATTTGTGGATCTGGTGGTTGATGGGACCCTTGTAGAACCATTTGACGAAGGGGTTGAAGAGGAGCCTTTGTGGGGCGTAAATCGGTAATATTGAGCGAGAAAGACGACGCACTCATTACACCCATACGCATACTTCTGCCACCTATTCAACTCATCATCGACAGTGAGCGATACACCTTCTTTAAACCCGCCTTTGGAGTAGGTCGCCCATCTAAGAGCAAAAATGAGTGACAACCACATATTCGAAAAGGAACGGAACGAACCTAACGATATACCCCTGTCTTATGAGTCTCAACGCCATATCGAAATCTTCACTGACATTATCCTCGCTCCAGATCTTGACTTGGGCTCTGTTTCTATCCACATCAGAGGACGAATCCTCCCCAACAAGCGCTGCATCCTGCAACGCACTCCATCTCAAAAACGCATTATGCCCAACAAAAGGCGCCACTTCCCCGTTTGCGCACATCATACTTATACATTTGTTGATTCGGCGGGTGAAGAAGGAGATGGCGTTTTCGAAGTAGTGGTGGGCTACTTGAAGCACGTCTGGGTTTGGGTTTACGTCAGTGAGCCGAAGGATATGAAAAGGAGACGTACCGCTCTCATGCTGCAGAACCCCAACTTCAGCACCTTCGTCTTCCCCAAACTCTCTTGCTGCATCCCTGAAACAATCCGCCGGAACGACCGTATCGGCGTCTACCAATAGGATGATGCTTCCGATTCGACAGGCACGGGCGTTTGCTGCCCAGGGTCTGTGTCCTGTTATCTGGTATACTGTTTCGGGTCAGCGTGATCGATCACATGGAACCAATGGAAGACGGACCTTCTTCCATGGCTAGTTGAAGAGCCCGCTCTTCGATATCTTCGATATGCGTTCCTGCGAGCGTGGGTGGTTCAGGGCTAACAGTCCGTGGAGTCCCCGCCATACCGGGTCTAGGTGTCCCAGGTATGCTGCCGTTGCCACTATTGATACTAAGAAAAGGAGCGACGAATGCCTGATCGTCCCCGTCCTTCCCGATATACTGGACCCCGTACGTCCCAGGAGACTGCCCAGGCACACTAACGATGCTCCCGCCTTCTGTTTGAATGGTTTGGGCGCTGTATGTGGTGCTGACGCTGGCGCGGTGGAAGGGCGGGTTGGGAGGCGTGAATATGTTGCTATCTCTGCTTGAGTTGATGTTTTGGTTTTGGCGCGCACTGTACGCATTGTAATCAGGGGAGTTGCGGGATGATTGGAGTTCCTCGAGGATGCGTTCAAGACGGAGGGAGACGTCGAGTGCGTAGTTCATATTGGAGGCCTTTTTGAAGCGGCCTGCGCGGATGAAGCCTGTGTGTGTCGTGTTAGTATTGAATGGCTAGAGGGAGGATGAGTGACCTTGGTGTCCATGTCGTGGTCTTGCAATCCAGCCGATCCCGTGATTTGCATAGTACTCGATACGCTCTTTTGCCTGGTCTGGTGGGAGGAGACGGAGGCCGTCGTCGTTGATGAAAAGGCTGGATGTGCCGCCCTGACGTGCGTATGTTTGCATTGCTGCTTTGATGGATGTGAGGGAGGGTGTGCTACGATGGGTTAGTGAGGATTAGGGAGCAAGGAGGAAGCTTACAGGACTGTAGCAAGGCTTTCTTTGTAGACGGGCATTTGGATTGTGATGTGAGGGAGTGCATTGTCGATGACAGGGTTTGGAAGTGGTGGGATCGCAGAGTAGTAACGACTGTTTTGGTGGTAATGAGCGATGGGACCGACTGCGAATGTGATAGTTTGGAATATTGTAAGTGTGAAGAACTGGAAAAAGTAAGCGGGTGTATAAAATATAAAAGGAAATAGTTACCAAGGATACACAGAAGAGAAGAGGCAAGAGAGCACCAAGAGCAAAATGAGTGTAGTTGCCATCTAGGCGAAATTCTGTAAGGAGGGTGCGGACACCGTTGCCGATAAAGACTAGATAAAATGAGGCAAAGAAAACAAAAAAGAGTATTGTGACTGACTGAAAGCGAGTGCGGCGCAAAGACCATTGTATAGGGGAGCATACAACATGATTGGACGAGCTGGTTGTTTTTGTTCTAGCTTTTCTGGGTCTTCTTGTGAAGGAACGATACGACTGAACCATGTTCGTCTTTGTGATTCTGAGTTCACGGTAGAGGAAGGGGTTAGACGGGGATCGGGTGGTTTTTCAGAGTATATGGAAGGTTCGTGGGTGGAAGGTAGTGGTGGTCTTGTACGCCAGAGGAGACGAATGAGACGATCTTCAAAGTCACGTGCTATTGGGATGATTGTATCGAGAGAGTCGGTCCAAATGACGAGTACGCGTTCGTCACGAATAAAAGCAGCGTTTTGATCCTTTTCTGCTTGTGGAAGGAGGTACATCGAGTCGAGTACTTGTATTCTTGTATTTGAGTCGACATAGATGCAATCGTCGATAGCTTGTTCTGCTAGAGCAGCGTGTACTGCTGCACTTCTGACTTTTACTGCCACTATAGGGTTGAGAGCAGCTACTGCAGCCTCGAAGGGAGCGAGAGCGGCAGTTTCGTATGGGAATACTCTGAATTGACCGTCATGGGTACGTAGACAAACGCCTGGTGGGACTGAATCTTCATGGGGTCTAAACCAAGCGTCACCTTGGGTTTGCTTGAAGATGTAGTGGAGGGTAGCGTCGTATCTGTCGTAGTCCATGAGTTGGGTGAATGGAGGGGAGAAGAAGCGGTGGAATATAAATGGTGAGATCAGATCTTGGATCTTGTACGTTACACACGCGTCATACGGCAATTACGTGTTGGTAAGATAAGAAACCACCCTTTTCAAAGAGAACTCATACGTTTCGGTTACCCTCATGGCTTCACCCCGTCCTTTCTTCCTAACTCCCTCAAGTTCAGATGACCACTCATCACAAGAAGGGGACTCTCCAGACTCACCACGTCCACGAAATAGTAACAAAAGACCTCCCCCTTCCTCCTTCAACTTTCCATTCGCTCAGGCTGACCCGGCAAGAAGGTCTCTAGATGCAAATTTTTTCGAGTCGTCTCCCCGTCTTCCATCAGCCGAATCTCCCTACAAATCATTCAACCGTTCTTATTCTCTAGCAAACCTACATCGCTCACCAGATTTACAACTTCCAAGAGCAAGCAGCGCAACAACCATCTTCAGGTCTCCATTCCTATCCCCTGCATCACGTCCATCAACAATTTGGTCCCCCCCACCCGTATCCGCAAATCCTTCCCTCATCGCACTCCCACTCACCCAGAAAAAACCCATTCAATCAACCCGTCTCAAATCAAAACTCACCAAAGATGACAAACCATGGCTCGCAAAGAAACGTCGTTGCGAATCAGGAAGCTGGTGGCTCACCTTCTTGGTAGCTCTCTTAGGCGTCCTCGCAGCAGCAGCTCTCTGCTTCAGAGGTTGGATTACCACAGATATCCTCTCGGACAGTCAACTCTGTATCGTCATGGACGACGACTTTGACAGTTCTCTCGACTCCACAAACTGGAGTCTTGACGTCGAGCTCGGTGGCTACGGGTATTACGTCCCACAAATCGCAACTGTCCCTGTCTAACATTTCATTAGCAACGGCGAATTTGAAATGACAACAAACGACCCTTCAAACGTCTACATCTCAAATGGACAGCTCTACATCATGCCCACTCTCACCAGCGACTCTATTGACGGTGGTTATGCTGCTGTCATGGATGGTGGGTCCTATCAGCTTCAAGGCTGTACAGCTCAGGGCGGAGGTACGTCGTCACCTCCCACTCATGTCCAACGTTGCGCTCATTTCGTGTTTGTAGTCGTAGACCAGGGCGCGTGGGTACTCCGTCGGCAAAACGACGACGGCACGGGTGCGTATCGATAACAACTCCCACGCTCCCTCACTCACTCCTTTCAGGCAATTCCAATTCAACTACAACCTCGGGCAACTCCACTACCACTACCGGATCAGGCAACTCTACAACAACAGGTTACGGTAACTCCACCACCACAGGGTCGGGTAATTCCACAACTACCGGTTCAAGTAACTCTACTGCCAGCGGTAATTCTACCACATCCAGCAACCCATGCGTAGCTGTTTCAAACGCCCAGAGCGGCGAAGTCATCAACCCTGTCATGAGCGGTCGTCTCAATACCCGTGGAAAAAGGACCATCAAGTATGGCCGTGTAGAGGTCCGTCTGCTGTGTTTTTCATCTTTTAGCCTGCTAATTTCCCTTTTCAGGTTCGCGCAAAACTGCCTCAGGGAGACTGGCTTTGGCCCGCTATTTGGATGCTTCCTCAGGGTAACAGTACGAACTCGAACTCGAGTACTAACCAAGGAACGGGAGTTTATGGCCCGTGGCCTGTCAGCGGCGAGATTGACGTGAGTCTCGCATTAGGCTCTGCCGGCAGCCTATTAACAGCACACAGATAATGGAAGCCCGTGGCAACCTCCCTTCATATCCCGCACAAGGTTCGAACTATGTCCGCTCGTCCCTGAATTATGGGCCGTTCGCGGGTGGCACTACGCCCATCTCTACCGGTGAGCGTTTATTTTTTGTTATGCCCTTGCAGCGGTATTCTGTTCGGTTCACTCGCGATTTTGTATTTTTGGCTTTCGATTGGCGTTTCTCGGTTCAGTCACTCGACTCCGATTTCACCTTTTACGTACATTTCACCGTTCTTCTTCAGCCACGTTGTTTTCACCCCTTAACACATACTGACAGGCACAAGCACCACTGCCAACCTCCTGAAGAGCATTTACGGCTGGGTTAGCACAAAACGCGGAAATTTTGCCGATGGGTTCCATGTTTATGCGCTTGAGTGGACCGGCGAATGGATGAGGTTTTATACGGATGATCGGTTGCAGGTGGGTTTTCCGCTCCCGTCTCCTACCCGTCGCTTCCCTGTTCGTTCCTGTTCCCGGGTTGCTGTATCCCGCGGTTTTTTTTTTTGCTGTCCTCGCGGTCATCCCCTTCCCGTCCCGGATTACCGAACTAACAACACCCAAAACAGGCAATGATCAACCTCAAAATTTCCTCCAAATCCTCGGACTCCTATTTCTTCAACACAGCTGGATTCCCAGGCGTAGCTATGAACGCTTCGAGCGGAAAGGAAGTGGCCATTGAGGATCCGTGGAGTACGGCGTATGGGGGAAGTCCTGCTGCCCCTTTTGATCAAGGTCTTTTTTTTTCTTGAGAGGATTAGAATTTGATGGTGATACTGATACTGGCGCTGGACAGAATTCTATCTTGTGATTGATCTGGCGGTTGGGGGGACGAGTGGGTGGTTCCCGGATAGTGTAGGTGGGAAGCCGTGGTACGATGGGTCTGCTAGTACGTTTTTCCTTGTTTCTGATTTAGGTGGGGCTAATTTTGACGCAATGTAGATGCTATGCGCGATTTTGCAAGTGTTCAGGATCAGTGGAGCGCTACGTGGCCTTCGAGTGCGGATGAGCGTGCGTTTAGAATGTAAGTTGTCTTTCTTTTTTTTTGGCTTGGGTCTGATGTGGTTTGGAACAGTGATTATGTGAAGATGTGGAGCCTCTGTAGGTAACTGGTTGGCGTAGGTGATACCAAGATTGACCCGAACGGACTAATAATATTTACGATTACAATGATACGTGCCATGGAGATGGACACGGACTGCGTCTCTCGCATTTTAAATTCTAGCTTTGGCCCGGGCTGTATGCTCGATACGCTCGTTTGTTCTTTCTTGATGATGATGATGATGTTGTTGTTATTTTTGGGGCTCCAAGCTTGTATTGAAGCCTTGATTGTTACTAGCCTCGACGTAGTGACGATGTGATGTTATGCATACTTACGATATTGCAACTGATGCAGAGACCCCTGATTAGCCCCTAAAAATGCATCAAACTCGGAAAATTAAGGTTTTTGCCTCCAATTTGTTGTTAAACGAGCATCCCTTCAAGATCATTTCTAAGAAACTGTTCATTGAAATTTTAAGTCTCCCCACTGGTGTGCTCTCACATCTAGGGTCAGTTTTCATTTGTAACTCCCGCCCGCTCATTATGCACCTGAGTGGTTGAACTTGGGTGCGGCACGCCTGGGACGTGCTTTGTGCCATCGACGGGTAGAGGACGTGTTGATTCTACTAGTACGTCAGTTACGCCGATCAGTAAGCGTACTAAGGCGAGGCCACCAGCATGTCTCTCACTTAGGTTCGTGCACGATCGACGTATACTTGCAATGACTCATCTGATTTTTGTTTCTTTCGGATTGATAACAGGACATGGCCTAGCCCATACACACGATCTTACGGCGCTGATGAGTTATTATTCGCGCTGTCACTACCACGGTCATTCCCCCGGTACGGGTGTGTGATATCAAGGATTATTCCGCGAGCTCGTTCGTTGATGGGCCATCAAGGATTGTGTCTCTTTGAGTATAGGCTCGGATCGGTCGGGTTCGTTGTTTGGCATGCAAGCGAAAACGTCACCCGCGGCCATATAAACATTGATAAGCTAAGTCTGCAATGTCCATTTGTAATTGATCGAGTATAGAGTGGCGACCTTCAAGCTGCAAGATATGATGCGACTTAATTTTGTCGCCTGCAGAACCGAACAGTGCTGCATACCTCACGACGCCTCGTCCCTGGTCGAGGCGAATGACGTTAAATCACGCGCGTGTCGAATAACGTGATAGGCGTACGGCAGCCAACTGTTGGAGACTACTAGTGTTCCAAGATTTTCGATTTCAAGGCAACGATTTCAAGGTACTTTGCGCGGAACCGACAACTTTCAACGCCACAACACGATGTGGTCGGCTCGGTCCAGTAGCGGAGCTGAGGTTCTCGTCACGACCCAGAAGCCACAAGCTCCGTAACTGTTGTTTGTACTCTTCGCTGGATTTCTGCAACAATGATCCCACCACATACAACGTGATAGCTTCTTTGTTCTGGGCTTTGAGAACGATGAGAAGCACTCAGGCTGTCATAGCGAGAACCAATGATAACTAGCGTCGTAATCTGAAACGACAGCCGAGAATGCGCTAGTCAAAACAAGACAATTTATACTCTATCTAATGCTTCTATTGTTCTAGGTCTCGTACATTGGGCCTGGCCGAAGCGCGGATAAGTTAACAATGGGTGTGGGTACCGGGCGATTCGGTTATTATCCTCTTGTCTTTCCCTTGGGCGCGACGTTCTGTATACATAAAATGAGACTCGTCGCCAACATTTGGTGTAGTAATTCAATCAATTTATGTAAAGCACCTCCTAAGGTCCAAAACCCATGATTAGATGATATCCATTTACATTCGACTCATAATTATTAAATGTTAGGGATGTGAAAATGTAAATAAGCCGGGATAGATAAATTTGCTACGACAACTTGAATGAGCGTCGTAAGATTTTGGGTCCAGTCCCATTTTATGATAGGTTTAACGGCGCTCAAAGTGAACTCAGCATGCAGGGCAACCCGGTATTATGCAAAGTTTGAAATTTGATGTGTTCTATCGAGAAAATACAGATGCCAATTATACAATAGATGGGTTCTTCGTCTAGAAACAAACAAGGTACAAAAGTGCAACAACAATGGATTATAGCTTTTGAATGACAATGGCAGAAGCAGCTCCACCCTAGACAAGGTATCGTCTGAGCAACGCAACAGCATGGAGAATTATAAGTCACTTACCCCGTTGCAGATGCCTGCTGCACCGTACTCGCCAGATGTTAGGGCATGGACAAGAGACACCACAATACGAGAGCCTGAGTTTCCGATCGCATGACCAAGTGCAACAGCGCCACTATTGGACCATGTTAGCATATATAAGCCCCTGAACGTAAAACAGAAAAACTCACCCGTTGATGTTGACCTTCGCAGGATCAAGTTGTAGGAGCTTTTCGGCAACACGGACGACAACTGAGAAGGCTTCGTTGACCTCGAAACGTGCGATGTCATCTACAGTCAGGTTGGCTCGCTCGAGCGCTGCTGGGAGAGCAACGGCAGGAGCCATAGGGAAGTCGATAGGCTCAACACCCGCATCTGCATATGCTGCAGAAAACGACGCATCAGATGATGCACAGTCACACAGGAAGTCGAACTTACAAATAACTTTGGCGAGCGGTTTTACGCCGAGCTCCTTTGCTTTCTCTGCTGACATTAATAACAGAGCAGAGGCGCCATCATTGAGGTTTGAAGAGTTGGCAGCAGTGATACGACCGCCTGGCTTGAATGCTGACTTCAGGGAGGGGACCTTCTCGAAGATAACTTTCTTGTACTCCTCATCTTGACTGACCACAATGTCGCCTTTCTTGCCCTTGATCGTGACTGGAGCTATCTCAGCGTCGAAGGCGCCCTCTTTCCATGCGCGATCAGCACGTTTATACGACTCGATTGCGTGCTCATCGAGTGACTCTCGGCTGATTTCGTACTTCTCTGCGGTAGCCTCCGCACAGCAGCCCATGGCGAAGTTGTTGGAGACATCCCAGAGACCGTCGATTTCAACAGAATCCTTGGTCTCAAATTTGCCGAACAAAGGGTTCGTGCGGGGAAGCAGGTATCTAAACGATATGTAAATCTTATGCAAAGTAGCAATCAGAACTGTAGTACTTACGGAGCGTTGCTCATACTCTCCATGCCACCAGCAGCAACCACGGTCTTGTAGCCGGATTCTATACTCTGGGCAGCAATCATGATTGACTTCATGCCGCTAGCACAGACTTTGTTGATGGTTGTAGCATCAGATGCGGACTTCATGCCACCAGCGAGCGCTACTTGACGTGCGGGTGATTGACCAACACCAGCCTGGACGACATTGCCGAAATAGAGTTCCTCAACTACTGAGGGATCAACTTTCGACTGTTCGAAAGCATGCTTGAGAGCCACGGCGCCAAGTTGGGGAGCGGTCAAAGTCTTAAGTGATCCATACAAGGATCCGACAGGCGTACGGGACGCAGCAACAATTACAACTTCGTGAGCAGGCTGTAAAGTTGTGAGTGATGAACGCTGTTCATAGGATGCGAACAAACCATTTTACAAAAAGGATGATCAGGTAGTGATAGAGGATGAAAAAGTAGATATGGATTAAAAACACGATGCGACCACCATGGCTTTTTATGCGAAACAAATTATTCGGGATCGAGGAAAACGATATAACCGATCGTACGACTTGTCAAAGTAACGCGATTATTCATGTGGTCTGAGGACAGCTAGCAGCAGTGCCACGTAGTTAATTAAAATAAAACACATGACACTTTTACAAGCATTAATGGGGTAGTGGTAACCTGGGTCGTTGCCATCGACCCGCCGGGGGTTCGATTCCCCCTTAATGCATGAAAAGTTTCTGACCTTTTTGACCAGCTATGGTCTCAATTGTTACTCCGGGCTGCAGCCTATCAACTCATTTATTTACTTGCTCAATGATATAATGATAAGCAAACAGTCCGTTAACATCACACTGCGATCGCGACTAACGGATGAGTTACTAATTACCTGGTCCGACGTAACAAAACTGCATGAATGAGGAAAAGATCGGTCATCTACATGATCACACAACATGAGTTTTGCTAGTAAGGCTGTCAGACCGAGCCAACAGACATAAAAGTCAGCTACTAACCTTCTTAGCTGTCTTGTAGAACATCTTGCTCTGTGCGGACAAAGCATTCGATCGCTCTACAAGGTTATCCAACTTCTCCCCGCGTTGGAGAACAGATTCGATGGTCTTGTGCTACAGTGTACCGTCACACCGATACAACAATCAAGCACAATGAGGGAGAACTTACCAGAACGATCTTTGTCTCATCTAGCTCCTGTTGTACCCGCATAATTGTATCAGCTTGGCGAGGATCCTGGTACTTCTGAATGTAGGTCTGGATCTCTGGGAATGATATTGATCCTGGGTTTCCGAAGGCAGATTGGGGGACTTTGGCAGTGAAATCATCAAGCAGCTTTGTCAGAAGAGAAAAGGCAGGTCGAACGGGGTATTCGTGGTCAGTAATAATGATAGCTGAGGAAGGAATGAGCTGGATAACTCCATTACATTCAGGGCTTCGACCTACCTGCAAGCTGCTCTGCACCACTCCTGTTGTATACATGGGCGGTATAATTGTTCTCTTGTACGCTCTGACGCTGGCCCTGAGGAGTTCTCTCCACGACCGTCTTGGTGAAGAATGTCAAAAACTCGCTGACAGAACCTCTCTGGTAGAACGAGAAACTAGAGACATCTGAAGTAGAGCTGAGAACTGAACAAGGGCCTGAGGAAGGTGCGAGAACAACTGAGAGTGAGAAAATCTTCATGGTCGTAGATGAGAAGGGAGGCAAAGCTGCGCTGTGCTGCCGGTGTAAAGTAAACGCGGCTTAGAGTCCGATTATGTACGTATTAGTACGAGGAGCCACTTCGAGCGAACCACCATGCACCTCTTCCACAGAATTCAGTCAAAGAGGATGAAATCGCTCGTTGCCTCGATCCCAAGGAGTATCTTTCATCTTCGCGTACAGACACGAGCATTCAATGTTCATCATGACACCTTTTCTTCGCGTCTGGCCAGTAGAAACTACCTGCGGACAAGAAAGTTTTTGCTCATGTTCTATGATACTGGCAGCGTACTGGTTATCTTTGGAATGTTCACTGCTGTTGTTTTGCTCGTATGGACTATGGTTTCACTCTTGTCTTCCACTTTTCTACGAGTGACTGCGCTAGATCCTTCAGCGTCGTTGCTGAAGAGAGCCGTCGAAGTCACGACTCGCGCAACGAAATATTCCAGAGTCACGCATGCTGTCAATCCAATTGTGAGTCAAATGCAATGCATATGCGTCGATCACTTTCAGTAACTATCATTATATCTCGAGCACTCACTTTATTGCGCGTAGATCCCTGGCTTAACCGTTCCATTAAAACACCTACCGCTGATTCTACTCTCCCTTTGCATTAGTCAAATCGTGCATGAAAGTGGGCATGCCATCACTGCCGCAATGTATGTTTCCCCTTACAATACGCTATAGTTCATTAGCCACAGCTCGTGTTTTTCCTAGTCATCGGATTCCTATGCTGGCGGCAGGAGCATCCATAACCTTAATGTTCCCCGCCGCATTTGTGACGTTGCCTTCCGCAAAGGTCGAAGAATTGTCTTTACTCGGTCGCTTACGGATCATAACTTCAGGCTGCTTTCATAACCTGGCGCTCTGGCTGACTCTACTGGCTGCCGCCTGGTCTGGTATTGGACAACGGATACTGTTAGTAGGTTACGAAGATGTTTTTACCCGAGGGTTAATTGTTGCCCGTGTTGAAGCAGTCAGTATGGTTCTAAGATTATCACCTCACTATCTTTGCTGACTTTCTATAGGATTCCCCTCTGAGCATGCATCTTCCTGTTGGATCTTTCCTGACGACACTTGACGATCTTCCGTTGCACTCATCTCGCGATGCATGGAACACTTATCTATTGGAACCTACCCCAGCTGCTTACAAGCAGGGGTGGTGTGTGGATGCGTCGCGGCTTAGTGGTGAGCATGGTACCTGCGTCATCCTGCCTGACTTAGTACCTCCTCAGATGATTACCAGTGTTGTAGGGATACTGATAATAGCACATCATTCTGTTTTGTGTCATTCGAAAGTACGATTGAGGAGTATTGTGCCGATCCGGTAGCCATACTGTCAAAAATGCAAAACCGATGCGACTCCTCAACATCGTGTCTGGAATCGCAGTCATGCATTAAACCAAGGGGAGACAGAGACATCTTACGGATTACGGTGAATCACGAAGGGACAGACACCGAGGGCGAGCGCATTGTACTCTGGAGTGGCCCCAGGTACGAAGTTTGGGAGCAAGGTATAATACACGAATTCAAGCATGTGTAGTGGTTGATCTTTGATGTTATCAGTTCAAACAACGCATCTCGCACCGCGTTTCGGCATTATACCACTAGGACTACCCCTCGTATTTGCAGATTTCTTCCAGTGCGTGACTTGGACTAACATCTACTGTGTGGCTGATTTTGGGTAGGTATCTGAAGCTCACAAATCTATCATTATATCTTCTGAACGCACTGCCACTTCCTGCATTGGATGGATCTCAATTGCTGATAATTTTACTAGAAATGGTCTTCACAAAATGGTTTCATGCTCCTTCGACCATCCTCGACATCGAGGCACTGAGGACACGTGGAGGCCGTCCGTATGAAAGGAGAGTGCAGCAGGTTCGAACCTTCGTGATGATCGGTACATGTACGCTTTTGGGGTCGTGCGTCATGCTTGGTATTATAGAATGGATGATTGTATGAATCAAAAGCTGTATAAGTCAAGCAAGGCGAAAGCTATTGTCTTTGTTCATAAGAAGACTACATGTGACTTGCATGCAAATTCATCATGGGTGGTGATGCATAAGTCGATCAGTGCACCTCCATTGCGAGGCACGCTGATCATACTGAAATATGAGATGAAGAAGGGTGTTACTTCTTCGGTGTTGTGCCGATTTCTACCACACTCAAGCCTGCGCCCATGCATCAGGTAATGAAACGGATTAATAAGACTGATCTGATCACGCACCTGGAGGCAAGCTCTGCTTGAGCTTTTCAGCCTTCTCTGGGTCGTCTACAGAAAGAGTGTACAAGTATCGTGAACACCGCACTTTGAACTTAGTCTGGACCTTTCCAGCTGCTGATTTTGCGGCAATTTTTTTGATACGAGCCTCTGGATAGATGACACAATGCGCAAAAGATCAGTGCATGTGAAGTCAGCGTGTTGTCGAAGCACGACAACAGTATAAACGCACGGGAAGCATCCTTCCGCCGCGCAATCTCGATGAACTGCTTGATATCCCGGATTTCCTTGGGCTAACATAGACATAAGTAATGAGAACGAGACAGTCAAATGGCCAGCGGACGTGAGCGTACCATGACGGAGTACTACTAAAGTCTTGAAGTCTTGCTTACCATATCTAACGATTTCCAGCTACTTGGGTGGACGCGGTGGCTGAACCTTATTTTGATAGCTACTCGCAAGTTCCCGAGAGGTCCCTTCGGGAAAAGATGTTTTGCTGCCGATGCACGTCATATATACACCCTTAGGCAGTATGTCGAGTTGATTATGTCTATAATACATATATGTGCATGGTGTTGAGATGGAATATACAGTATCTCGGATGTGACTGTATCATAAATCAATGATGAACATTTGAATACTAGCTAATGCTATGGAGCCGTCTTCCGAGGAGATCCCGAACCTGCAAGGGTGGAGCCTCCGTCACTAACGACTGACATTGGCCGATTAAGGCGTGCGCGCAGTCGTTCAACTTCACGTTGTAGGCTAGAACGTGAAATGTAAATATTCCACTTAACTTATCAGGACCTTCGAATTAAACTTACTTCAGCACTGCCTGCTTGGAATCCACAGCCTCTCGCTCTAGGCGACGTTTCGCGCGCTCAAGTTCACTCTCCCTTGATTGCTGTCGATGTGAACTAAAATTAGCCAAGCTACTAGATAAACAACGAAGAGGTAAGACTGACAACTTTGTCCAGAGTCTGTCGGAGCGAAGTGATTTGACCCTCAGAGATCTTTCGCTCCTCCTCCAATTTGATATGGTGCCTTTCGCTTTCGGCCAACTGTAGCTGTATGTCGCGAATTGCCTTGTCAGAGCTATGCAAGCGGTTGGAGTCGACTTTCTCGCTTGATACTTGCTTGAGTTGAGTAGTGAGTTCATCGATACGGCTCTGCAGCTGCCTGACAGTAGAGGATGGGTGAGGAGAGTTTGCGTATGACTTCGTTTCAAGGTCAACCACGCGAACGTTTAGGTCTTTGACTTGCTTCTCCAATTGTGCCTGTAGGACAGAGTGAGCACACTGGGAATCATGTTTCAGATACTTACATTGATTCTATCCAGTTCAGTATTCTCGACACGGGTCCGGTCAAGTTCTAGCTGGCTTTCATTGGCGTGTGCCTCAGCTCTCTTCAGGCGGTCAAAGGCCATGGCTACACGATCTTTTTGTTCCTCCAGAGATCGCTCAAGATCTTGTTTCTCCAGCTGTAGCTTTTGTAGTTCTCGGTCCGAAGTCATTTTCGTTGCATCGACATGGTCAAGCTTGATGCCTTCAAGTTCCGCCTGCAAAGAGCGGCGTGCCTTTTGTAGCATTGCCCTGTCCGCCTCCGCATCATTGAGGACGCTTCGAAGCTCCCGAACTTGCGAGTGCAGGGACACGATCTGCGCTTGTTGGTCAGATTGAGCAGTAGTCGATGATTCAAAAGCTTTGGTTAGATCAGCGATCTTCGTCTCCATCCGCTCTTTCTCCCTGTTCCAGGCGCCTCCATTGTAGACCTCGTCATCAAATCTTAGCTGCAGCTCGTCATAGTCGGAGTGTATTTTGCGGTTATCTTCTCGTAGCCTTGTCATCGCATCTCGCTGCGCTTGCATTTCTGGAATAAATATGATTTGCTGAGGTACACCAAGCGTTTCCTAGTTACACACCTTCACTCAACTGGGCTAGTTCAGCTGCAGCTTTTCATTAGATGAGATTTTTTATGAAAGTTGTCACCAACCTTGATATTTTTTTCGGGTCTGGTCACTAGCAAAATCACGTTCTGCGAGGTCTTTCTGATGCTGCTGACGCTCATCTTGCAGTTGTTGTACTAGACGGTGCCTGTGAATGCCCAACTCAGAAGATTCTCTATCTTCGGCCTCGATCTGAGCCTCCAATTCACGGAGCCTCCGCTGAGTATCTTGGAAACGCTCTTCGAGTGTCCTCTTCTCTGTCACCAAATCGTGATGAGTCTTTTCTAACTCAGCGAGGGCGCGTCGAACTATCTTGACAGTCAGTATTGCTTAGGGCGGAGGAGTCTGAACCTTACCAGAAGATTCTGCGCGTTCTTTTGCTTCTGCGCTAGCGAGCGCTTTGTGAGCCTTTTCCTCAAGGAACTTGGCAGCCCTTTCGGAGGCCCTACGCTCTGCCTGATCCACCCCACCACCCCTGGCAAAATCTTCTACCTCCCGGGTAAGACTTGCCTTGGCTTTCTCCAAAGATCGAATGTAGACGGCGTCCTTCTGCAGCTGCTCTTGTGCTTCCCTCAGTTGCTGATCGGTTACTTTCTTGGCCTTCTCCAGAACGTAAACATGTTCGACAATCGTCTTATCCTGTTTACTCTCCATTTGCTTGAGGTCCCACTCCCGATTCTTGAGATCAGTGATTGCCTTATTAAGATCATGGTCGTACTTTGCAATGCGTTCCTGATACTCCTTTTTCTGAGTTAACATGGCGTGCTGAAGGTTCTTGGACTTGGTTGATTCGGATTCCAGTTGTTTCTTCAAGGTTTCCAGCTGACGTTCGCCAGTGTGAGCATCTCTTTCCATCTGCAAAATCGTATCCTCGATCTCATTATATTTGGTCTGAGCAGCGTGGAGTTGTCGTTCCAGAATCTAATAAAGTAGAAGTAAGATCCATTCATTCCAACAAATGCAAATAATTGCCCAATCACCTCTTTCGACCTCAATGTCTCCGCTAAGCGACCATCTGAGTCAATCTGACGGGATCTCAATGCCTGCAGTTCCGATTCAACCACCCTTTTGGCTTTTTCCAGATCCACGACCATTGCCTCAAGCTTCGACGTTCGTTCCTTCAAGCCTCGCTCGCGCTCTGAAAGAGAGCTGTGAGCTGAATCTAATTGCTTGTGCTGACGACGCATTTCGTCTAGTTCGGTAGCGAGCTTGCTTTCCTTGTCGAGAGCGTTTTCCCGTAAAATACTGAGTTCTGTGTGTAACTGGAAAGACTGACGGCGGAGCTCGGAAAGTTCTTCTTCTTTGCTTTTCTCGACTTCGAGCCGGCGGGCATCTTCGGTGCTCTTGGTCTCCATGATTGCGCGGAGCTCATCCAGCTCGCCTTGAAGTTTTATCTTAGCGGACACTGCACGATCTACATCGGCCCTGGAAGCATGGATCTCCGCTCGCTGTCTGTCAGATGTAGCGTGAAGTTCGACAATTTCCTTTTGCAGTCGAGAACGCTCGTCGGCGGATGCGGTGATAGTAGAAATCAGCTGTGAATTTTGGTCCTCTTTGTTCTGGATCATAGCAGAATACTCAGCGGATGTACGAGACATCTCTGTTAGCTGCTGTTTGAGATAACTTAAACTTTTTTCCAGTTGGTCGACCTTGCTGCCGAGCGACGCTCTGCGCAAAACATCAGACCAAAAATCATGGTAAGTTTTTGGGCTCACTTAGATTGAATTTCCGCACTGAGCTTGGCCTGCAAGTCGCTCACTAAAGCCTCAGAACGCTCATTGGCACGTGCCAAATCTTCGTCGCGCTGCGAAACAAGGGCTCTGAGGTCCTCATTAGATTTCTGGAGAGCCTGGTGTTCCTGCTGCAGCTGAACAATGCTGCTCTCCTGCGTTAATACAATATCTGATAGCTCCGCCTCTTTAGCTCGCCATTCATTTTGCTGACCCTCCATACGGACAAGATGCTCCGCAGCCTGGTCGAACGCGACGCGCAAAGTTTCATGTTTCTCGTCACCCTCCTTCTGAAGTTGTAGAGCACGGTCCAGTTGCGAATCGAGGACGTCGAGGTCGGCGTGTAAAGCAACGATTTCTTCTTCGAGTTCTGCTTCCCTCTTTTTGCTTCTGTCCAACATGCTATCTTTGTCGAGGGCAAGCGCACGTTCTGCTTCCAACTCTTCGATAATCTTTCGCTTTTCCGCCTGAAGATTCATCTTCACATTCTCTAGATTTTCCCGTTCCCGTTGATCGCGCTCCGCTCTCTCCTTCACAAGTTGCAGCTCGACATCTTTCTTTCTGAGCTCTTCATCATTTCGTGTCGCGGCGAGTAACGGACGGACCTGTTTGAAATGATCAAAAAATTACCTCGAGATAGATAAGAACTACCTTACTTTCGTGTATAATTGCCACCATGGCCAATCTCGCAACTCCCCGTACACACGAGCATTACGCTGGATCGTTCGTATCGCCACCGCACGATTGAGAACCTTCTTCATCTGTCTGCGTGCGGAGAACTTCCTAGCAACAGCCTGTAATCTCGAAAAGACGTCGAAGAGAAGGGCATCCCGCCTCTCCTCGAGATCGGCGAGGACTCCAGCTTTGAAGAATATCTTGGATGTTCCCACACGGAACAACTCGGTATCAAGATCCAAAGCTTCTACAATACGGATGCACGATTTGCGACCATCCATATATCCACGAGGAATAACGCCTGGAGTCATGATCTCGTAGCGCTGGCGAAACTCGACGAAAAGAAGCCGATTAGGATAACCAAGGCGCGCTATGCGAATACCCTCCAAAACACCGTTGCAACGCAACTGATCAAGGACAAGAGGCACGTCCACCCTTCCAGGTTTCTTGTTAATGTTGGGCACGATGCAACGTACGAAATGTGGTTGTGTCGCCTGTAACTGTGCCATGAGAAGCGCTAATTGCTCCTTGTGCCGTTGCCCAACTGTCCTAAACGCCCCTCTCTTGATGGTGCGCCTTTTTCCTGCAGAGAACCCGGCACTGGAAGATGGCGGCATGTCGGCGAAGACGCCAGAAAAATCTTGGAAAAGCAAGGCCACATAAGGTTCTGATGATGATGCCAGTACACGTGTGAGATTATCGTTGAGGGGATCCTTATTCTTCTCTAACCACCCGTCGGTGCGGTACTCGACTTTGCCTGCGTAATGCGTGATGATGAAACCTTGTTCAAACTTCGGTAAGGTGTATTTCGTCCGACCTGGATGAGGATGCTCTGTTGCTCGCAGATCTCCACTCCAGATCGAATGGACTTTCTCCGTGAAAGTGAGATCGGTGGCTTTGGGCATGATACATTCCTCGTCTAAGCAACTGAGGATACCAATAGCGTTCCCGCTGCTCTCAATAAGGTCGATAGTCGGCTGCAAGTCCAGCTTGAAGTTCACGTAATCCCATTCTATGCCTTCCCTGGAATACTCTTCCTGCTCAAGGACGAACATGTGGTGATTGAAAAATTGCTGCAGTTTCTCGTTGGTATAGTTGATAAGCAATTGCTCATACGTGTTGATTTCGAAGATCTCGAAGCCTGCGATGTCGAGAACACCGATGAATGTCGACTTAGAAGACGGTCGATCTAGCGCACGGTTAATGCGCTCAACCAGCGCACCGAAGGACTTCTCGTATAACGACTTGCTCAAGGACGCGAGTTCGTCAAGAGACTGTTGCCCTGTCCTCGCCTGAGTGACCCACTCACGTCCAGCAAGAACCCTGGGCCGTAAGATAGCTCTCGTGAACTCTGCGATAGGAATTCCGAGCAAATGGCAGACACGCTCAGCTTGCGAGGGATCAGGCATGAATGCATCGTCCGACTTCGTAGAACGGATGACGATGTTGCCAATATGAAGAATTGCCGCAACGATGCGGAAAAGGTCGAACTGTTCGGCGGCCGTAAAGCCAACAATATCAAGAGCATTCTGGGAGTGTGTTAGTCAGGTATCAAAGACTTTACATTCACAAAACATACTATCAGAGCGTCCCAATCGTCACGATCGTTGATGCCATCAACCTCTCGCCTGCTTCTATTGAGAAATTCATATTCGTCTAGAGGTCGATCCAGCAGAAGAGTATCTGCAGAAGCACGGATATCAAAAACAAGTGGAGAGCATGTATTTAATGACTTACCTTTCAATGATCCTCCACTTGATAATAGCTGGTAAAATACGTGGAAGTTTCGCTCCGCGGCACTGCGAACCACCACTCGACTCTTTTCCAGCAGGTACCAGTCGATGTTCGCCCCGGATATACTCCCGTCTGGAGAAAAACTAATTCTAATAAACTTCCCGAATCTACTTGAATTGTTGTTCCGCTGAGTCTGCGCGTTACCGAATGCCTCGAGGATGGGATTCGCTTGGAGAATTTGTCGTTCGAGTAAGCCTAGACGACCCTTGGCGCCTCCAGTGCTGTTGGACACAACATGAGTAGCTTTTGCATGAAAAGAGCTTCTTCTGGGCAGACCCAAAGGTGGGGATGCGGGAAATGAAGATGCCATGGACGTAGAATGTGAATGTGAAGGATGGCGCGGGTGAGCATCAGTTGCTATAGCAGACAGGTATTGTATAACTTTCTTCGTGCTCTCAGTTTTTCCTGCACCAGATTCTCCCCTGTGGGCGGCTAATTAGTTGCATGGTTCACCGAAATGTAGGGATGGCTGACGTTATAAGAATGCTCTGATTTTCACGCTCCTCCCCCATGTTAACCCATGCGCGCTCTGCAACCGCGAAGATATGAGGAGGGTTCTCATCCCGTCGTTTACTGCGATACTGCGATACAATTGCGTCTGTATAGAGCGGAAGGTTCTGGTAAGGGTTTATAGCAACCAAGAATAAGCCAGAGTATGTCTACTCGGTACGTTTCAGTAGGCGTGCAAAGTAGGATGTTCATGAACTGTGCGCAAAAAACCGCTGACAGGATAGGACTCACATAGATAGCACCAGATCCATACCTTAGACGCAGATTATGCACGACGCTCGCCTCGTTTAAAAATGTGAGATCTGCGATGTCTTCGACACGATCGAACTTGGGAGGGTTCATCTTGGAGAGCGCATACAAAGGGACTCGACGAATCTGACGCGTTTCGTGTCAGCAATTGGCACGTTACGAAAGAGATTAAGGTAAAGATACCTCGCCACCAGAGGACATAATAATTTCTGCAGTCTCATCATCTTCTTGGTGTACCCAGCCAGCGAGATAACCGTCTTTCTCGTCTGGTACCCACACCCATTTCTTTTCATTGAACTCAGCCTGTAGCGCAGCGGCGCGCGCAGCTTCTGCACTCTGAGAGGGACGAGGAGCTCGCATCAGCAGGGATATGAAGCACCGAAACCGAGTTTGGCTTGTAAGCTGTCTGGAATGACTGAATGACTTCGGGAATATCCAGGTATAAGGTGTCTAAACGTGCTGTCAACCTCGAAGTGAATAAGAAGCAAAGCAAATTGTCAAAGAAAATATCAAAGTACTTCACACAGCTGGGTATGCTCACGATCGCGAACAGGTTATGGATATACAGGTCATGGACCGTGACAGTAACTGCACTTTGCAGCGGAATAATGATCACTTGAACCAGTATGCCTAATTAGGTACTTGAAGTACTTAAGCGCTTAGCGCTTAGCCTTAATATTCATCGTTTCGAGAGTTTTCTTTAAAACATTAGTGCACTGCCAACACCCATCGTAAAACCAGTATATGTACTTTCAGCTCGATCTCACACATTGAGATACTGGTCGTTTTGTTATATTCGATGTCATGCCAGAGCTCACCTCAACCTGCACCATATTTTAACCTGTTATTAGTATACGTGACACCTGCATTACCTGAGGGGTGGTATCAAACGTTCTCATATACTGGATTAATGCATGGTTCGAGTTGATAGTCGTCCTCGTTCTATGGAAATTGAATTCAGCCTTATCTCAAGGGGCTTGCGGAAAAAGTATTGCCCGAGATATCGTACAGGTACCAATCTCAGCTGAGAATCAAATGTCGAAATGAACTTGAATGCGTGAAACCAAGGACTAAGGCGATGAGACCTTTACCGAGTTGATGGGTACGAGAGCCAAAAGTACTGTGAATTCGAATTGATGATGACCTTTGAAGTTAGAAACTCCTCTTACTATACGACTCGCTAAATTGAAGCCTCACCCATGACGCGGGTCGTCGAGCCTCGAGGTCAGCTTGCAGCAGTCAACGTTAACATGGTACAATATGAGAGGTTCAGTGACATTCCTCACGACATTCATATCTCTATTGAAGTCTGTTCCAATCGTGTTGCCCCGAGATCACTAACACCATAAGCTCACATTGAGCATTAAAATTCTTTCCGACAGGCGAAAATTATAAGTCTTTTGCTGATGGATGACCGGCTGGGTTGGTATTGGCGTGGTGTCTTCGAAGTATCCCAGTGTCGTGCCTGCCATAGATATTTCAAGTACTTCTTAAACAATGATGCTGTCTGGCCTGTGACTCAAGACAGCTTTGTGCATGAGCATAAATTAATGACTTCGAATTCGTCGCCCACCGACTAGGAGTATCTTGTAGACTCGTGTGCTTAGGATATGGCCTCCGTCCGATCATTATAGAAAGAACGGAATGACCTTCTATCAGGGCCCGCCTACTAGGGCCCCGATAAAATTTGCTTTGGCAAGTATCATATGAGCAGATACCCCGCCACCTAATAGCAGTAAGCAACATTTGGATGTCATGCTAGATTGTGTATTTCAAGAACTACCCACCGACTTCGAGCTCGTTTGAGAAGCTCGCAGCCATGCTTAGATACCTCCTGAAGTTCTTCATCGGAGAGCTGACGAGGGGCGTCTCGAATTCGGTCGTTATAAAACTTGTGCCCAAGTTCAGCGTTCGCTGGATCCAGGTCCATTTGTGAACACATAGGCTATGTGAAAAAAGTCGTTGAATGAAATATCGACAGGAAGGTAGATTTGGACGCAGCCAACGCATCTCTGATATTTGACAGTACGGAGATACTGATGTTGGCAATGGGCTGGCGACACATGAAAGTAGATATCATCTAGTTGCGCCACAACTACCGAATTGGCAATGTGGCATAGTTGTTGAGTCAACAGTACCCGGATGGATAATCATCATCATATGGCACAAAAAGCCATTTTTTCCGACAGGGAGAGACGGCGATCTCGCTAAAGTGCCAGGTTGCAGAAACTAAGTGGAGCGCTATCTGATGACGACTCAGAGTACCACTTACCTTTGACAACATTGTAGTGTCTTGTACGGCGAGGGCTTCATTTCTTGACCATGAAAGTCACCTACAGTTCGTAATAGTGGTACTACCATCGATCAGTGCGCGCACGCACAATTCCGAGGTCTTGTCACGACATTTGTACCGGTGCTCCGCACAAGTCCCACTGCAATCGCGAGTAAGGTTAACTAGCGCTTATCATGAACGCCTGAGTTTCCAATAACTTTTGGTCCAAGGTGAACGATTTTCAATTGCTCAAGTATAGAAGTGCTTCGTCAACCGAATTGGATTCGTCATCATCGTGCCACGCGTGCCCTATTTTTGTCGCCCCAACATCCATTACATAATGGTAGGTTCCGACATCAAATTCCGGACCGCTTTTATCCCTCGAATTGTCTTCGATAGTCCGCGCTCCGCGGTTTCTAGAAGAAGGTGACATGGACAGGGTGACAGTTGTCTTCATCGACCGGCCGGGACTTGCCATCTACAGTGCCATAGTACAGGACATGCACGGCTTTTGACTCCATTCTCAGCTGTCAAGTTCGCCACGATGGGCTCAAAAATTTGACATTTGCCTCGAAAACAGTACAGTGAGGTCAAGATAGTTGATACTGGTCAAACTCATAGATCTAACGAATACGACCAGCGCCTGTGGTTGGCTTCTTAGCCCAGTAAAGACGTGACTTCGGAACAATTAAGATGCCCTTCCGCATCAAGGGCTACAGCCTTGTTGACGCGTGCACAACACGTTGTTGTGAGGGATGGACCCTCAAGTGTCAACAGAGAACCTGTTTGTTGGCTTACAAGGCAGATAAGAAGGTCGCCTTCCGTGAAGGTGCACTTCCTTGCATCTTATCCAACACTTTCCTCCAATAATCTACCGACATGCATCTGCCGTCGTCCAGCGACTACAATGAATACCTTGTGTATCCCGAGGATTCAGAATTCTTTAAACGGGAAACAGAGCTCCCATCGAAGCTCGATTTCATGGATGGTCTAAGGTGAGTATTGTAATATTAATCTCATGGTCAAGTAAATGATCGATTGACTGACCGAGGACAGAACCTTCGAGTTCGAGTCATCCACAGCACCAACGATGCTGTGGTCTTCTGATATCCTCGATACTCACCTCGAAGATACGGACGATGCAGCATACATCGAGAATCTGGCTATCCACAAAATGCAGGCATCTAACGTGCGTGAACCGAAGATCTATCAAGTTTATGCTGAAATGTGTGTCTTAAGGCTGCCCGATATCGGTACCCAGAAGCATCTGCAACCGGAGACTTCTTAAGTTTACCGCAGTTGAGTCCTGACGAATCGCCGTTCAGTGTCGCGTCGAGCAGGTCCCCCTTGACTCCACAAGGCGGTTCACTTCTCCCCGACCTCTTCTGTGGTCCGCTGGAAGACTTTGGGCTTTTCGACGTCGCAGCGGATTGCAGTCCGTTTTTTGAGGAAGAAGGATTTATAGAAGACGCAGCTTGTCCTGAACAACTGCAAGAAGACCTTGCCTGCCGGGCGGTCTTGGACATGCCTTCTCCACTATCACTCTTAGAGAATGTCTCTCAGCCGATGCTTGTGCTTCCAGTTGATGATGCAGAGCTGATGCATGACTCGTCGTCTATCTTGCCAGACTCTAATCCCGCGGAGCGATCTCGTGTCCTAAGATTTACAGAGGGCTTGACGGAGAACATTACGTCTCAATTGCAAATTTGCATTGCTCCAAGCCCAGCCATCCGTTCGCTCCGTACTAATGTACAGCATTCGGATCACCTCTCGTCGCCTTTCAACCCAAACCATGCTGATATTGAATTGGCTGACGTTTGTCGAGGAGTCAAGCGCCGGCGGACCGACGACGACGACGACGATTATCAACCCAGTCGCATCCATAAACGTGCAGCATCCGAGAAGGCTAGAAAAGTCGCTTATCGTTCCTTAAAAAGAGTGACAAGGCGCGAAGGAGCTAAGGAAGAGCGATTTGACTGCTTGATGAAAATTCATGGCTGCAAGAAGTCTTTCACGCGTAGAAACGACATGGAGAGGCACTTGGGGAGTTGCAAGTTTAACCCAGACCTGCCCTCCACGACAGTCATATGCCCTCACTGCCAAAAGTCCCTGTCACGTAAAGATGCTCTTTTGCGCCACATTAAGCAGAGCCATGTGGATGCCCAGTGACGACACATCATATAGCGTACATCAACGTTGGTTCTGGCATTCAACCGGACACCAATCGGCACTTGAGCTTGCTTCAATCTGGACCAATTCTTACTCTTGCCCATCGCAATTATATGTAGCCATAGCAGATACTTACTTGCATCTTCATTCAACGTTCAATGTCAACCTTGCATGGCGTGGCCTTACATGCCCTGGTGATCAACTGGCTACCACTGGACTCGTGGTTATATAAATCAGACTGTATGATTTCACCCAAAATAAATAAATAAATCACAATTTGAGGGAAGTGGCAAAACAGTTTGCCGAGTTTTGCCAGCTAGTTGTGCCATGTGACAGGGTCACATCGGCAGAAGGGAGGGGCCCTGGTAAAAACTTGGCACAACTCGCAAAGATGTAACTTCAAGAGACCTGATCGATGCATCCATGATAGCATCACTATCCCTAGATATTTCGTGAACATATACATATAGCCTAGAGTTTTGCCAGTTTTTCTACTAGTCCGGAAGAGAGAAGAGGGATCACAGAGACACCAAAGTACTAATGGTAGTAGAAGATTTGGAAGTTACGACTCGTATATCTTAGAAAGCCTGAGTAGTGAAATGTGAAATTCCTAAGACTACAAAGGACAAATCTAACTATAGCAAATCTAGAGCACAGCGAGCGAGGTTACCTATTCTCGATCGCGCAGACAATTTTAACGACATGTGCAAATGAGCTCAGAGTAGACCGCTATCCGCTCTACTAGTACCAGCGCTCATCGTAGCCCAGACCTCGCTGCCCAAAATTCCATGGAGCGAAAACGACCATTCGCGAGTGTGGAAAACTCGTCATGAAACTCGATCAAAACGCGAATCACAAGGTATTTTTTGCAAAAGGACCTACACGAGGTGAGTAACTATAGTTGTACTAAGTATATCATTAGTATTGGTACCATTAACTTGACGAATTACATCAGAACACCTCCGGCCAGTGTCCGCAAGCGGATTGGCGCTGTCATTTTGCCAGAATTCTACGAGATCGATCCCACAGCAACTGGAAACCGTGTAAAAGGCAAATCTGAGTCGTTAAGGTGCTTTCTCCTACATTTGTTTACTTTATACTATATACATATTCAGCTTCATAAACACATGCTGCCAAGCTTCAGATGACAGGTGAGGATCTCCACGACAGTCAGGACGGTGAAAATAGTGATCCCTACAATGAGTTTTGCTGATTCTACATTGGTCCGAATGGCCCTGATGCTACTAGTTCCGAGGAAGAAAAGAATTTATGATGGTGGTTGGCAGGGCTGTGTGTCCATTCCCATGCAAGGTGTAAGTTGCCACATTTGAGGACAGGGGACGAGAATGAAGGTCGCGAGATTTTTGTATGGCTATGATGCAATTTATATCCATATCAAGCTCTTGTGCTAAGTCCCCTTGTTTTTGCGCAGGTTGGAAGAGGTCATAAACCGCACATGTGAAGCTATATACTGCTGATGTAGCGAGCGCCGAGCCATAGTATAGTTGGTTATCTGCTAACCCTTGACGCTCACGTGCCGCATCAACAGCGAAAGCGAAAGTATTAAGTAACGGTCTACTCTGAGCCCGCTTCCCAGGGACCTTACATAGATGTCCAGAGTGGACTTGGCGCGGAGTTTCGATTCACACAGTCTCGGCGTAACACTTCGGATATGATTGTCACGTTTGGGGCGATACGTATTTATTTTATTGCAGATCATCCTGACAAGGATGTGGCCCCGGAGAAATTTGTTTTAGTATTCTCTCATCGTGTATAATTATTGTACCGCATTCCAGAATTTTATGTGGTGATCTGACCTTTAGAGCAAGCCTTCTATGCACACTGGCAAAACTAGCCTCCAGCACCAATAAGTTGGCCATGGACAAAATCTTCTTCAAATAAGAAACATAACACTGTGTATTATGTTTGGGGAACATCAATGCAAGCATTCAGTGCAGAATTGCATGTGCTAGAGCCAATGCGCAAACTCTTGGGACACACGGACTCGTAGGACCATCTAGAAAGGTATGGCAGAAGGACAGTGGATTGGTGTATCCGCGACTGTGTGCCTGCGTGTCGCGAGCAAGGCAAAGTGATGAAGAGCACTACGACAAACTTCAAGAAAGCCGGAAACCGAAGTTCAGAACCGGGGAAATGTACATAGACGATCAGAAACGTGTCCGAAGAAAACACATACAGACAAGCATAGGAGCGAGGCAAGCGGTTCACCGGAGTAGCACAGATATGCAGTGTACATATACTAGCGTGGCAATAGTGAGCGAGGAAACAAAGCCCACACAGTTGCTATCGACCTACTGCAGAAAAGCTATTGTCATACATATATACTCACATGGATTGATGCGCTGAGTGCTCATCAAAGATTTTAGGTGCGTTGACGCGCATCATGAACACCAATGATAGGTGCGCGAAGTTAAAGGCTGGAAACATGTGGAGACTGTCCACACCACTTACACGGAGGCTGGCGGCAAAAAAAATATTGACAGACAAGTGGTAAGCAGTTGCTGGAGGAGCTGGTGAAGAGTGTTCGTATGCGAGAGGGAAGCCGCTATTGGACTGGGTTTCCGGGATCCGGAGTTGTGCAGCAGGATAAGTCGACGGAAGAGTAAGAGCATAAAATGTGCCCATCAAAAGTTAGGATAGGTAGAAATACATACCACAGTTGAGCGCTGAGATGCCTCGGGCATTTGTTTTCTCGAAAACTTTTGGCGAGGGATGTTGATCGGAGTGCAGGTTAAACAATCTTCAAAGGTGAACAGTGCAATGGCCGGCCCGGAATATTCCGTTCCGTAGGTTTTAAAACTCCGTCAGGATCTATAGGACCATAGTAGACCGCTTGCCAAACTCCAACAAATTCACATACTATGTTTGTCGTTCTTCCCCGGTGACCTAGTTAACATAATATTCACTGCTTGTCAATATTCAATGGTTACGAATTCTGAGGACATTCTCGCACAACCTCCGCAAGCAGACAAGGACGACTCATCTTTGAGCGCTCATCTCTGGTTTCCAGAGCCCGAAGCTCAAGAACGAGTTATTGCTACACCTCAAGCATCGGGTTCATCTTCGCAATTAAGGGATCGCTTGTATATTGGAAATCTGCATCCTACTGTCGATGAGTGAGTGAGTTAGTTGTGTTTTGGCTCATATCCTCTAATTGTGGACAGATATGCGCTTCTACAGGTCTTCACCAAGTTCGGCAAAGTATCGAAACTCGACTTCCTCTTTCACAAGACGGGGCCAAACAAAGGAAGGCCACGAGGATATGCCTTTATACAGTATTTGCACGAAGGTGTAAGTCATGATGCTGTAAAGCGCCCCCGCTTGCTCTCGCTATTGCGTGGATATATGGTGGCGCATGTAGCGGTCATTGTCTTTTCCAGTCATTGACAGCTTGACTGATAAACAACCTGCACTAGGATGCTCAGACGGCATTGGAAAACATCAATGGAAAGCTACTTCGGGGCCGTAAGCTGGCAGTCACTTTTGCACATCAAGCTCCACTCGAACAACCCAGCGGAAGTCGACAGGTGGGAAGGGCAAGAAGAATTGATCCGCGGCCGACTACCTTGAGTATGATAAAAAGTGGAATTCATACTCGGTCAGAAGGGTGAATTTCATCTCCACAAGGGTGCCTATCAACTTACCCCCAAATTAGCACAGATAACAAAATTGCTATGATGGAGGCGAAGTTACGCCAGATGGAATCAAGTACTGCCAATCCGTTTAAATCATTACCACCAAAACCACCGCCATCGGCCGTGTCATCGAGTTCGGCCTCAAGGCACTGTTTTGGTATAGGGGGTTCTCTCTTTTCCAGAAATCCGGCAGGTCCAACCGTTCGGCGTCCTACAGCCCGTGCAGAACCTACTACCCTTTCTGCGGACGCCGATACCACACATTCAGCATCACTACCGATACTTAATACTCAACCGGAGACCGTCAAGTCATCCATGTCCTGTAAACGCATAATACCTGGTGTGAAGATCATCAAAGAACGTAGTAAATGAAGGTAATACTCGGCATCACACCTTCATTAGACTGACAACGATCTTCACCAGACCTGTGCAGCTGATACTTGTCGCTGAGATCGCTCTGATGTTATAAAGCTTTTCTCGCGAGATTCTAGCGCACTTCCGAGTTGTCCTGATGTAGTCCTGTATGGAATATACTGGTTCGAGAGTGCTGAAGTTCTCATGGATGTGTTCCGCAATGACACTTTACGCTCCGACCTTCTTCACTGTCCAACATGAGAAAAGTGAGGTCATTTCTCACTTGAATTGTGCATTGATCCAGTGCATGAATATTTTGCAACTTCCCCATGCCGATAGCCGAACCAGTTTGGAGAACCAACGGCAATCACACGGTTCAGTTTGTTCCGATATCTCACCTAACAGTGAACGGCTGTCGTTGGCTACGAGTTGGGTACTGACTGATGTACGGAACGCGTTCGCAATCAAAATACAGTGGCAATGCCATCTGGAATATGGAGTCCCGAGTCATGGCAGCGATATTCCTATTTCGATAGTGTCCTAGAAGCTCCTGGACGCCAGGCCGCCGTGTCATCTAAGGTTCTGGTGCGTGCCGAGGGCTAGGTAAACTTTTAAAGGATAAGACACGTTTCCTGATGACTTGAACCTCGTGGCGTGGGCGAGGGCCTGCTGATTGGTGGTTCTCATTCTGAGGCAGGTACGACCGTGCGAGCTCGTCGTCAGTCTCACGATCTAACTACATAAGCGGTTCCAATAATGGAATTGCGTAACCATGATTCCAACCAACCACCCTTTTTTGTATTGCTAGCGGCGGTAGCGCATTGGGCAAGATATGGGTGACAGGGGTAGCAAGTCATTCGTGTCACCAGATTTGATGGACTATTCTTGTGTGGGCACACAGATGAGACCTAATGGGTGCACAACGGAGCGCTCGAACCAATCTTGGAGCGCGTGATCATCCCCACGCATTCGTAAGACGATTCCGAGCGGTACTTATAATCCACTCTCCATCTCGAATAAAGCTCCCATCTTTCTCTTGAGCATTCATCATCTCTCAATCATGCCTTCCCCGCAAGTCTTCGCTGCTACAGATGGCGCAGTGTACACTACCTCTAACGGTGCAGCCGTAGCGCATCCCCTTGCTGCTGAACGTGTTGGTCCTGTGGGACCCCTCCTCCTTCAGGGTTAGTTCACCCAGCCAGTATAGATTTGTATGCTGATCCACACACATATTAGACTTCCACCACATCGATCTTATTGCTCATTTTGATCGGGAACGAATCCCGGAGCGTGTGGTAAGTGCAACAATCAGATGAATAGGCTTCTATATCTATCACATGCTAGGTGCACGCCAAAGGCGCTGGTGCTCATGGTGTTTTCGAAACGACTCACGATCTCAGTGATATCACTTCTTGCAAACTATTCACTACCGTTGGCAAGAAAGTTCGAGTCACCGCCCGTTTCTCCACTGTCGGTGGGGAAAGTGGTTCCGCTGACACGGCTCGCGATCCCCGTGGTTTTTCTCTGAAACTCAGAACCGAGGAGGGTAACCTAGACTGGGTGTTCAACAACACACCTGTGTTCTTCATCAGAGATCCCACCAAGTTCGCGCCCTTCATTCACAGCCAAAAGCGTGACCCTCAGACACACCTAAAGGATCCAGACATGTTCTGGGTAAGTTCCATTTTACTTTCAAAGTGTCCAAATCGAAATATTTTCTTCATAGGATTACCTGTCTCAAAACCCGGAATCGGCCCATCAAATTATGATCCTGTTTTCCGACCGCGGGATAGCCGACGGCTACCACAACATGCACGGTTATTCCGGCCATACCTTCAAGCTCGTGAAAGATGACGGCTCATGGGTCTATACTCAGATTCACTGTATTGCTGATGGCGGCTTCAAGGTTAGTATACTTTTTCGACGCGACGGTTTGTTGTTAATATATTGCAGGTTCTCGATACTGCTACGGCTCGCAATTTGGCCGCAGACAACCCAGATTACGGTATTCAATCGTTGTTCGAAACTATAGACGCTGGGAAATTCCCGTCCTGGACCGTCTACATTGTCAGTGATTTATCGTTTATGCCTTCAACTTCAGTAATTCATCTCCAAGTCAGCAAACTATGACTCCAGAGCAGGCTGAAAAGTTCCGTTACAATGTCCTAGACTTAACAAAAGTTTGGCCCCACAAGGACTACCCCTTGCGCCCCGTAGGAAAATTCGTACTCAACGAGAACCCGCAAAATTACTTCGCTGAAATTGAACAGGTGATGGGAATTTGTTTTTTTCCGTCCCGATGTGGGCTGACCGACATACGCCATAACTCTCAATAGGCCGCTTTTGCGCCCAGCCATTTGATTCCTTACTTCGAGGTCTCTGCTGACCCCGTCCTTCAATCACGACTGTTCTCTTATCCTGACACCCACCGTCACCGGCTTGGCGCAAATTACCAACAGCTCCCTGTCAATGCACCCATTGTTCCTATTGCCAACTTCCAACGTGATGGCCCTATGACATTCAACAACCAGGGAGCCCGGCCAAATTACCAGAGTTCCATTACGCCCTTGACATACTTGAACAACAAGGGATCTATCAAGGGCGCACCCAGAGACTACGAGCGAACCAGCCAGCATGAAAACTGGGTCGGTGGAGCATTCTGGGACTTGAGCGAGATCACCGAGCGTAGGCGGCCAAAATACTGTTTATTGGACTTCGATGACAGTGACAAATTTTCTAGTTGACTTTGAGCAGCCGCGCGCACTCTACCAAAATGTCATGGATGAAGCAGCCAGGACGCGCTTTGTTTCCAACGTTGCTGGCCACCTTGGTGGTGCCAAAAGTGCTGAAGTTAAAGCCCGGACTCGTATGTTCAAATCTGATCTCCAGATATTGTTACTCCACTAACGTCGATCTAGTTTCTTACTTTGCATCTGTCGACCAATCGCTGTCTGACCGCATTGCCAAGGCTATTGGTGCTCCCACTGCAAAGCCTTTGGTCGTCAAACCTGCGTCTGAGGCAGTTCGCTTCAGGCATGGTGTTGTTGCTGCTGCGCAGAAGCTGTAAATGTCCGGAGTTATTCAAACAACTATGGAAACAAGCTATCATGTTTATTGTTTTAGTACCAGAAAGTAGAATGAATGTATCGGTGTCGTTATCAATGGCTAAAATACGGCCGGAGAGCGCTGCATCTCCTCTCCACAGAGAACGAGCAAATTCATCGAAGTCCTCAAAACTCATATGAATGGAAGATTGTTCGTGTTTGACTTGACAGCTCGTTAATCAGACAGATAGAAGTTGTCCATTCGAAGTCAGGTGCTTCGAGCTGAATCGAAGGAAGATATAAAATGGTCAGTTCGCACAACATGTCCAGATGGCACACATCAACGCCCGGAGGCAAGATCTAAATGGTAGCGGGTCTTTAGGCACTTAAAGTGACGGATTGATGGTACTCGTGTCGTTGTCGTCAGTGGCAGCAGCAGAAAAGTAGAATTGATTAATCGTACAACGGAAGTACTTCGTACATTGAAGTATAGGTGTAGCGCGGTTAAATCCTGTCTACACATCTGTCTCCTAGATTGGCTGCACATGCATTTGTTTTGACTTTCAGTTGTAACTTGTCATATCTGTTTCTGATTCCCGCAAACAAAATAACAGAATTAGGGCGTTAGAAATGAGGTTGGAGCATCCTACAGGTACAGAGAAGAACAGAAAATAACGGAATTAGGGCGTTCTAGCATCTCAGACGCCTTCTGAAATTTTTCTTGAAGTTCCAAGTTGCCAATGACTTTGGCGGCCTGAGCCATCTGACGAAGTAATTCACCAAGGCGCCTGAAAACACGTATCAGGTTTCCCTCGAATTGATCAGTCAGCTGTATCCGGTCAATAAATCAGCAAGTTCATAATGTAAGGTGGCGTCAACAAACTTTGCAAATGTCAGAAAACGAAGCTCCTCTACACCATTGGAAAACAGCGTCCATCAATTCGACTTTGAAAGACGCAACATATTCTTCCTCGACTAACGGTAATTTTGATTCCTGCGACACCTTTGCTATTCGGCGTGCAATTTCTTGCATAACACGCAATGGCGCTGCTAGTTCTTCTGTGAGCTTGGTCACATGCTCACTCTGAAATCAGGATGTTAGCTAACTCATTCAGAGCGAAATATTTCTGAATACCTTTTCTGTAAAAACAAAGCAGCTAAGCAGACTGGCACATTGCTCAGGGAGTAGGGAGTTGAAAACGCCATTGAAGATGAGCTCAGTAAGAAGAAGCTCATCCCCAGTGCTAATTTCGCAGGCTACACGACCCTTTAGTTCCGCGATGTCAGATGAGTTCGTGCACTCGAGTCGCCGGAGTACACGTTTCCGGTATTTCAACTCCTCAAGTTGCAGCACATCGTGGGTTGCCATAATACGCTTCTTCAAATCCCGTATCTTTGCTTGCGCCTCCTGCTTTTGGGCGTACAGCGTGTATAGTGCTGGGAGACGAGGATCATTATGCAACGGATTCGAGAACATTCTTTGCTCCATGACATCGATTTTCTGCCCGCAATATTAATCCTTACGCGATACGTTGGTAATTGACGACGACTTACATTAACTAGGGCTGTAAACTTTTCATCTTTAATGTCCATGTTTTGTACAGGATCGAGAAGGGCAATGCCATCCGGGAATCTCCGTTGCACTTCGAGAACGCTCTTCCAGACAGTGTCACGCGCTTGATCTTGTCGAAGATCTTTCGGTAAGAAGATACGGATGTGACTGATCGCGTCTACGGCAGAAAGGAAAATGGGCACTACGAGCGGCAAGCCCTTATTGCCAGTGAAACAAGGAAATATCCCCCCTAGTGTGGGTGTGGATATCGTTTTGTCTTTCGGTAGGGTAGTGCCATCATTGCAGTTCAATAGCACATCAAGGACGTATTGCTCGTGGGGAGGGATATCCGCCAGCTGATGTTCTTGCCATGTCTAAAGAAGGATGAGTGTCGAATTAAATTTCACCGACGAAGATAATGACCTTTGGTGGCAAACGCTTCTGGTAATTTACGACCACGCCCCACCCAAAGTCTAAGTCTTTATACTTTACCTTGATCAGGCGACCGGGCTGCAGGAACGGAAGTGAATAGTTGGGATGAGTAATTACTTCGCGGAAATCCGCTGCCATGCGATCCAGTTGTTGACGGTAATCGTAATAGGAAGCAACGATGGTCTCATCAGGGATGGTAATAGCATCTCGCCGTTTTTCTTCCTTTTGCAGCTCTAAGCGGGCATTAGGGATTTCACAACACATATCCAAGATACTCACCATCTTCCAGGACAGGAATCCCGGCACTGCTCTGAAACTGGAAAAAGCATCGCTCCAGCATGTACTCAGGACTAATGCCTTCAACCTTGAGCAAGTTCAAGATCATGTTATAACCGAGGTGGAAGGCAGAATCTAGCCGGTCAGCCTCTCCCTTGATCATTTCTTTGGCAGCCGATGGCTCTAGCTTTTCGTCGCACATCATGATGACAACGCCTCGATCGTCAAGACCACGTCTACCTGCACGGCCAGACATTTGAATGTACTCTCCCGAAGAAAGATTTCGAAATTCTCTTCCATCGAATTTGCGGGCGGCAGTAAAGACTACTGTTTTTGCAGGCATATTGAGCCCAATGGAAAATGTCTCCGTGGCAAATAGAACCTTTATAAGGCCTTCTTGAAAGAGGATCTCAATAACTTCCTTCAGAATAGGTAGTAAGCCTCCATGATGTATCCCAATACCTCGCTTGAGCAACGGAAGGATATTGGAAATTTGGGAGAGGTTCCGATCTTCTGTCGAGAGATTTTCGATGGCGTTTTGAAAAATCTTCGAAACAAGTTCCTGTTCATCTGTGGAATTGAATTCGAATTTAGACATAGTAAGCGCAAGAGCCTCGCACTCTCGCTTGCTGAAAGCGAAAACAATGACAGGGTTGTAGTTCTTGAGCATGATCATTTTGATGATTTTGGAAATATCGGATTGCCCTGGCAATGATTAGGCAGATTAGGCAGATAATGAGACACATATAAATTAACTACCTTTCTTTTCACCTCCTTTTTTCGTCTTGCCTTTACGACCTTTCCCGCTGCGTGGGTCAGCGGGGTCCTCCCCGGTTTTGTCTTGGAGTGTACCCATCGCTTTGCTGAAGTTGTCTTCACGGAATTCTCCTTTTTCATTGACAACCAGATATATACCCTCGCCTCCTGCAGGGAATAGATAGTGTTGCAAAGGTGTTGGCCGAAAGTCGGTAAAGACAACATGACACGGTTGATCATGGGATTTACAAATCCACTCCGCGAATTGCATGGCGTTCGGTATAGTGGCGGAAAGAAAAACATAGCGAACCGTGTCAGGCAGCAGAATGATAGTTTCCTCCCAGACGACCCCGCGTTCTTTGTCTCGCATGTAGTGAATTTCGTCAAAGATTACCCACGCAACTTCACGCATTATTTCGGACCCCCGATAGAGCATTGACCGCAAAATCTGCCGAATGTCTCTGAATTGGTGAGAGGATGATCATGAGCCACACATACCTCTGTAGTCATTACAAGGCACGTCGCAGAAGGATTTATAGTAACATCTCCGGTCATCAGACCAACGTCCCCAAATTCTGCAAGCATCTCACGGTACTTTTGATTACTCAGAGCCTGTTTAGACTTCCAGTTATCCCTTCGTGATTACACACCAAGACTGCTGCTCACTTTGATCGGACTAGTGTAAATAACACGTTGTTTGTTCTGCAGGCATTGCGCAATAGCATATTCTGCAACGACCGTTTTTCCAGCGCTTGTATGCGCCGAAACCAAAACACTTTCGTTACGCTGGATGGCGAATACCGAGACTTGCTGAAATGGATCAAGAATGAACTTGTATTCCCTCGCCAGTTTGTCAGGAGGGACATGTTGCGCAATCGGCACATAGTGATAACCTGGTGGTATGGCAACTTGGTGGCGGACCTGGCAAAGTTAAACATCAATGCAAATTATTCGAGTGATTGGTTAAAACCTGATGTCTAAGTTCCAGCCGCGAACCAGCTTCGACAGACCCCGTGAGCCCTCCACTTGCGGCCATTTCACGTTTGGCCTCTGTCTCAAACTCATCTACGACAACTGGTACAGGTGATGATACACGGGGTTTCTTGATAGCAAAATTGCCAGAAGTGCCACCGTTCGTGAAATCATCCGGAGGATCCGTGCTTGCACGTCGCTTGATTTTCTTGTCTACGTGACGCGGCTCAGAAACATTTTCGACTTTATCCTCATCCCCGGAAAGCACCCCATCGAGGAATGAAAATAAGTCAGGCATGGACGTATGGAATGTTGCAATGAGCAAAGTTAAGCGCAGGTGAAAGGCTTGCTTACGTTCTTTATTAAAATATCTTAATACATCCGAGGTACAAGCGCGGAGTTTCAACATCCGGCAATGGCCGAGAGCGAATTTTTTATGGGTAAGATATCGGTGTCGTGGGCAGATTTTGCGTTGTGCAATTATGTCCCGATTCTTCAGACAAGCTGGCGATTCAGACTCTGATACGGAAGAATCCGACGAGGAGCTCCTCACTAGCGGTGATGAAGATGCTGCTGCCCCAAAGGCTGCCGCCAAACCGGCCATGTCAAGATTCCTGCGCACAGCAGGGAGCGATTCTAGTAGCTCAGACTCAGAGTCATCCGATGAGGACGAAAGTGAGATGTCAGATGAGGAGCCAACACAGAAGAAGAAATCCCGATTCATGCGTGGCGATTCGGATGAAGACAGTGAAGACGAGGATGTCAAACGTGTTGTAAAAAGCACCAAGGACAAGCGCTTGGAGGAAATAGAAGCTACTGGCAAGGTCATGGACAATGGGCTTAAAATAAATGACTGGGTTGCCATATCAAATGGTGAGTTTTGTTAAGTTTTTATCAGATTCACTGACTGTCGTTCTCTTAGAATTCGACAAGCTCTTGCGTCTTGTGCAGCGACAGAGTAATGCTGCGGAACCTCTGCCTCCTTTTTTTATCAAGACCCTTCTAAGTTTAGAGGATTCCCTTAATGCTGCTCTGACGAAGGAGAAGGAGGCAAAGAAGAAGATGAACGCCACCAATGCTCGAGCACTCAATTCCATGAAGCAGAAGGTTCGCAAAACGGCTAAGGAGTTTGAAAAAGAGGTCCAGCAGTATCAGAATGTAAGTTTTTTCGACCATTTTATTACCATCCTCACCTCTCGCAGGATCCAGAAGCATTTGAACGTGAATTTGCCGCTCACGCTCAACCTG